TTTTAAAGCTCTGTCGTACTATATTTTCTACTTAAAATGGTTAAAATCTAAGATTTATTGAGCTACTCACATAAAACGGTCTTAGTTTGCTCAATGAACTAATTTGCATAATCGGCTGTCACGCTTGCAATATCGCTAAAAGTGCGAAGTCACCTCGGCGAAGAAAATCAATAAGTGCAAGATGTTTTTATATTTTTCTGCAGCCAAACATCTTAATGGCAGAAATCAAGCGGAGTTTTTAATTGTCTGGTCTGGACTTGAGCAATATCAATCGAGAAAGAAAGAGCACTTTTAACCAATTTCAGAAAGCTGTCCAACGAGTGTTTTTAAATAAATTACGACGAGCCTCTGAATAAACGAATATCAAAATTGAAATGCATTTTATACACCTTGTATATCACACACTTTAAGAATACAAAATATTTTTTGTTGCATGCGGTGTGATACGAGGACCGGGCTATTCAACTTTTGAAATTTTCGATGTCGCAAGAGTTTTGACTTTTGAGAGCTCTAAAAATGTAATTTTGAGGTATTTCCAGAAACTAATGTGGTTTTATTTACTTGTTACCAAAGATAGTTTATTGGGCAAAGTTTGAGGGAAAACTTTTTTCCGATGCGAAATGCCCTGGACCGCTCTTACAGAGATCGCCTCTTAAAACAGTATTTTTTTGGAGCGATCTTTTATAGTTTGTTTGAAAATATGAAAACCGAACAAACGTCCGGAAAGCGAATAATGTATTCATTTATCTGGTTCTTAGGCGATATTAAGATATGCTATTTGTATTTGAACAGTAGTCGCTTGGTAGGAGAACATTGTAAACCATACGCGCTTAATTAAGAGGTATTCACGAATCACACTTGCTGATTGTTCCTGAGGACCAGGGAAGGTATTGTTGTGAGAACACTTGCTTCCCACCATTGTGGCTGGGTTATATCCAGGACCTTGCTTCTCATGTCGGCTGAATTTGTTGTTGATCCGCGTCTTTTCCCTCAGGTTCTTTTCTTCAGGTTCTTCTTGTTTTCATTCTCATTAAATTGACATTCCGAATTCCAATCACTTTGCGGAAAACCATACCCTGGGAAATGTGAAATTTTTGTTCATTAATTTTGATTTGTTTTTTCTTGTTGCATTTACAGGCTAAAGTAAAGTTTGACAGCGGCTATGGCTACAAACTAGAAAGACCTTCACGAAGAAACAGAAGGCAAAAAGAAAAAAATTCCAATTTTTTAGGAATTTTTCACACGAAACTCTAGTTTTAGCCGAAAGGAAAGCTTTAGACGAGATATAGCTTTTAGGAAGTCGTAAGGTTTTCGGTTTGGATGAGCTTAAGTCACTGAATGGCTACCGAGTTTTCGTGGTTTGATTGAAATTTTGATATAGAGTAATTCTTAACTGAGTGTAAAAAGTAATCCCCTACTGCTTTGGTTTTCTTTATTTCGTTCTGTGATTGGTCTCTAGTACTGGGAAACTCCCACAATGTGCGAAACAAATAAGACGCCAAACGAAAAAGAATCGTCACTGGTAATTTGCCCCCAATTTCTGTAGTTTGAAACCTAATTGGCTAATAACGATGCAAAACTTCGTCATTATTGGCTGTTCTTATTACTTTGGTTTTTGGTTTACGCCGGCCAATTGAAAATTGCTCCAAAAAGCCATGAATCACTAATTGCAATTTTTACTCCTCTCATCGCGAATTTCTGTTCAGCAATTATGGAGCATCTCTCATCCGGAATATTCTTATGTCTTAATGGTTCATTGTACTTTGGTGCCGCCGTTATGTGTTCACTTTTACAAGCTGAACTAGACGGTTTGCTCTACACTGTAGTGCTTGGAGTGATTCACGGAATTGATTGATTGATTTATTTATCATTTACCTTTATTACATATTAAAAGGAGAACAAAGCTAATTTGCATAGATAATACATGGGAAATACAAAATAGGAAAAGGAAAAGGCGAGGAAGTTTGAAGAAGCCATAAAGGCTTCTAAGTGAGGCTCCCTCTTTAAATTAGAGTTTGAGTTAAAACTAGAATGTAGAACGTAATTTAACAAGTGTAAAGTAGGAATTACGGAAGTCGTGGAATGCAGTACTATGGTGGTTGTCGATCACTTTTGGTATCTGCCTTGGAAAAGAACGCCAGCGCTCTGGGGAAACTTTCGAATTCTTCACCGTGAGAGACTTATGGCAGACAATGCTATCATGAGTATGATGTTTAAGTCTGCCGCCATAATACTCTGTTAACGGCTTGTTATTATTTACTCAATTTATTTACTTGCAAAGCGATTCCTTTTCAAATTTGCTAATGTAGTTTGCCATTTAGACCTCAGTTCCACTGATGATTGAGTGGCTTTTTTACAAGTATGTCTCTTGCAATTGAAACACGTTATCAGAACTGTATGCACTAGCTTTGTGGTTTAGTGGTAACTATTTAGATGCTATATATTATCAGTTTAGCAAGGATCTGCCACCCATATCAGATGTTCCCTGCAAAATCCCCTTTTCTTGAAATCGGAGATGTTTGACAACCGAGTTCGAGACTGAGTAGAAAGCTGCTAAGTCTCCAACGTATGCTTTTAGTTAGATCCATTAAAGGATTTTAATGAAAATTTCCGGTCATTAATTCATCCACTGTCAACTAAAATTTCAATCAACCTTTGTCTTCATATACATTTGTAAAAGTAAGCACCAAAATGTAGTATTGGTAGAGTATCACTGTTCTGTACTGTACTATATATTGAAAAAGATGAATACACAATGAAATACAGTAAAATAAAAAGATTAGGACATATAAAGATTTTCCTTTTGTTTTCTGTAATCTCCTACATTGTACTTTCCTTTCTCGAACATGAAACACCTATCAAAGGAAATTTTGGGGAGAACTCAGTTCAAATGGACTAAAATCTCTAACGAGGCTGAAACGGAAATTCTTGATTATATTTTCGAAGATAAATGAAATGTTCCTTGGAGCTAATTGTTAACTATTTGATTAAGCGCTGTCCTTAACTCCTTGCCAGGAAATAAGTGTCCGACTTGGAATGTGCTTGTGTTAAAACATGTCATCGGTGGATCTAGGGGAGGGCCCGCCCTTCCCCCCTCCCACTTTGGGTTAAAAAAAAAAGAAAAGAATTGCAGAAGGAAGAAAAGCCGGCAGGGTTAGCGACAGAAATTTGGGCCCCTTAACCTATACTCTTCAGTGTTAGGTGGTATTTCTTCTTTTGGGGACTAAAATTCAGGAGCCACACCGGATTTTTAAGCATCTATTCATTTAAACTAGAATATGGACTTACCATTTTTTACAATGGCACCTGTTACATAAGCTGATATACCAAAATTCGCCGTCTTTTACAAGACAACTGGGGTATTGGATTTTTCTTGAAATTGCCATGAGTTAGGGCGGCATATCGCTCTTTGTAGAGTTGATTAACTTCTTCGAATAACCTTTCAAATAAGAATCACGGTAAATTTTGGGAACGTCAAAGTGATTAAAAAATATTTTTTTCCGTCTTGTCTTGTTATGGTCCTTAAAATGGCCTGGCACATCGTGGAGTCTCTGTGGCCCAGTGGTAAGACATCGGAGCGAAGAATCAAAAGGTTTGACGTTCGAGTCCTCATGAGGACTGTCAATTTTTTTACTTTTGTCCAACGCTCGAGACAAGACGAATGAACATCTCCACAACCGTTCAAATGTAGCATACCTACTTTTTTTTTTTTTACGTTTTTTCAGTTGTAAGTCCAAGGACTACTGCAGCTCGATGCGCAGTGTAGCCGGTCACTCAGTCATTAACAAGTAACCCAATGCCCATCTTATTTTTATTTTGTGTGATTGAATGACAAGGCTTTTAATCCATTAATTTCTTCATAATTTTCCTTCAACAGCGAGTTACATTTTTTTATTACCTTTGCGTTTTTTTTGTCACGCTCTCTTCCTTAGAGGATAACAAACAATTATTCATTTATTTACGCAGTACTTGTTTATGTATTATGGAGATCTGCTTTTGATGATATGAGCTATTTTAGAGTTTCAGAGTAATTTCGTTGTCAGATAGAATTCCTAAGATAATCCGTATTTCACGCTTAATTCAAATTCTTCGGGGTTGTTATGCTCCGTTACAAGCTTGTGCGACAGTCGCCGATATTTCCGGTCGTGTCCACGCTAAATCACACGTACAGTCGACCTTTTCTAACCGGTCAACTTTTTATTAGGCGGTCGGCTGTCAAAGTCCTCTAGGAAGCAGTAGTGGTCACCTTTACAAAGTCCAAACAGCCTGTTGGTATCGTTTTCCTCTTTAATCGAAAGTCTTCTTAAGCGAAACCTCTCAATAAAACTAAGAAAGATGAATAAAGTGGAAAAGTTTCGAAAGATACTGGTGCTGCGTCGGTGGACGAGTATAACAAGATAATTTGGTTTTATCAATTGAGGCCACCGTGGAAAACTTCGAAAGTGACGTTTCAAGCGTTGACTCTTCGTCAGAGCAAAACTTCTGCCTTTGTTTTATTCAGTTAATTTCCCCAGTTTGTCTCAAGCTAAAGGTCAAATGGCTGAACTACAAGCTCAAGTTTGTCCCAGTTTGTCCCAGTTTGTCTCAAGCTAAAGGTCAAATGGCTCAACTACAAGCTCAAGTTTGTCCCAGTTTGTCCCAGTTTGTCTCAAGCTAAAGGTCAAATGGCTGAACTACAAGCTCAAACAAATGGCAGACCAAGGGGAAGGATTGTCAATCTCGTCTTGGGTAGGTGAGCCTGACAGGGTCGCCTTAACTTCTGAAGCCGATAGTTAATATGGAACTTTAATATTATAGTGGAAAAATGTATTTACAGAGGGGAGGGTCTCTAATTACTTCAATCTTTAATTTCTGAGATTCTAATCAGACACAATTAGATACACATTTTACTTTAGTGGTGCTAGAATTGAAATTGCAGTGATGCTGACATATATTCCAAGGGACGTGGTGTTTATCTCAATCCAAAATTTTTGGAAGCGAAAAAACTACACAGCCTGGGTTGGAGTTAACAAATGCAAAGGTTAAACACTTGACTAAAAAGACGCTCTTTAACTATTCATTTCGTGGGAAATTTCAAAATACCTGGTTCTCTTTCAATCTCTCAGCAAAATTTTCGGCATAAACTGTATTCACCTTGTTACGATACGGTCCTACATTTATGAACGTAACTAAAGTGTGTGCGAATATATCGATAATTTATTTCCTCTTGGTGATAAATACTACAATAGATATAATAATTGCTCGAAAACAACAATTGCAATCCATACATTTTAACGAGAAACATTTTTCATCATTAGAAAGCTCAATTGATGTGGTTGTAATAACTATATCCCAAGTAATCAGGGTCAAACCTTTATTTACATAGAAAACAAGATTAAAGGACTGAAGCGCTCCACTGTAAGGGCAGCTACTACCGAGTATTTTCAATGGGGTAAGAGGTAAATTAGAATTATTCAGCATTATAACGTATTTAGTGGCAAACGTGGCCAATAGTAAGTAAATATTGCAAATTTGGGAGGGGGAGAGCATCTATACTTTGTTTTCTCTTTTTCGGCAAAATATTTATTGACATTTCGAAAATAGAATTTAATGTTTTATATCAAAATTCTTACCAAACCACGAAAACTCGATAGCAATTTATCGTGACAAAGCTTATACAAATGTAAAAAGCTATGTTTTATCTAAAGCTTACGTTTTCAGCTAAGTATATAGTCACGTGAGAAAATAATCCTAAAAATGTCGCAGTTTTCTTTACTGGTTGCCATCTGATTCTTCGTGAAGGTCTTGCCGGCTATAGCTATACCTGCCGAAAATCGTTCCTTTAGCCTGTAAAACAAAACATCAAAACGGTGCAATTAGAACACATACGAAAATAAATAAACAAGAATTTCAAAGAGGCATATTAAAGAGATGATTTTAGGTCTAGTGATTGGAATTGAGGATGCCACTTAGGAGGGAGGAAACCCAGAACTGTGGGAAAAACACTCAAAGAAAATAGCTCAGAAAAAACAAGTAGCGAAATCAAACTCAGCCCACATAAGACGCAAGGTGCAGGAAAATAAACTGGACCAAAGAGGCGCAAGTCCTTTCACCACTAAACCTTCCATGTTTCCGATGAACATGAAGTCGTTTCGATACAAGGGAGTTCGGACACCTCTCAATTTAACCATGTAAAACAATGCTCCACTGACGATGAACGTTTGTGTAGATAAAAATAGTCTACCTTGATACGTATTAAAAAAACCAGATATTTTAATATCTAATTTGTTGTTCAAACACTTTCTTCGATCTTTTCACAAAAAAGAGAGCATAAATCCTTAGTAACACTGTTGTGACTTATTATACCATCGTGAAATGCATTGGGATGAAAAAGTCAGAGAGTGAAATTCGCAGCCTAATTTATGACTCCGCACGACTTATGAAATGATAGTATTATAGTAGACTTAAAGTTACCAAAGACACTGGCGTGTCGTGCCAGCAAGGAATTAGCGCGTTTGGTTCGTTACCACTGTTAAATATAAGCACGATCAAATAACTAACCATCCCAGTGACCCGAAAATAAGTAACAGTTCCTTGGTAGCCCCCTAGGTCATAGTTAGTGCCTTACGCAAAAAAACATGCGGTTTTTGAACTGCGCTATGGATAGTAATTGATATGGATAATTGATCGATATCTTTTCAAGTTGAAAAGCGCGTGATTTTTGCTTTTTCTCTTCTTACCTTGTATGGGTTGAAGACTGACATAGTGTACCTCATGAATATGTCCCAGTACTAGAGGCTTGCTTTCGTCAACAGGAGAATGTGGCCTGATGACTACATCATTGTGTAGACTGCTGACCACGTGAATGCACGTTTCAAAGCAATTCGCTGCTGCACAGAGAATAAGGTGATCTCCCCAAGTGCCATCATGTTCCACATATGTTAGGTAATCATCCCATGTTTCATGGCCATGGACAAAGTGACACAGATCTGTTCCATCCGCCTGTAAGAAGAAACAATTAAAGACGTAATTAAGACTTGAGTTCCAAATAGCATAAGGACGGGGCTAGACACAACTGAAGGGAATTTGGACCACAAAATGAACTTCCTTACAATTGAAAAGGCAAACAGTAAAAATTAAAACAAAGATCACGTGTCATACTGTTGGGTATCTGGATCGACAGCTGCAGTATCAACGTGATCTAGAGCATATTCGGCGACAAGCAGACGCGCGACGAGCGTTCATATAAATACCGTCACGCTTCTAGGAAATGATTGTCTTAAGATAGGTGACCATACTAGTCAAATGTCAACCAATTTCTTAATAAAACAATGTAAAATTGTGTGTTAGAGGAACATCATTTAGTCCGATTTAAACTGACAGTAGGTAACTGATTCTAAAAGTAATATTTTTTTAGGCGCGCAACTCACATAACTTAGGACACGAGTCTACCAGAGAGTTTTTATTAAGTTGGTTGAGAATATGGAAGAGAATGTCTGGTCCTCTCATTCTTATGACAGGGAGAAGGCACTGAAATCCACGATAAGAGCTCTCAACGCATCTTGTATAGGGTAAAATATAACTGTATTTTTGAAGTCTAGGAGAAGACAACTCATCGGAAACGTGACTCTCTCCAACTATGAGTGTATGTGATCACAGAAAAATTGTCAGGCCAACGTGAAAAAAATGCTTGAAGGTATCTAGATATTAAGTGTGAAGAGGACTAGTGTCCCAGCGAGGTGTAGCAGCATTTCATAAAACGGAGAGAGAAATAAAAAGGTAAAGTTGGGGTCTGTACTCAAGCCATGATGGTGCCTTCCCCCCTCCCCCACTCAGCTGGAGTTTATCTCGGTTTCCAGTTAGCATAAAGCGAATGGGAGTGTTACTATTTCTCCTTGGATGGGATGCTAGTCCATCACAAGTTTACCCGCCCACCCCCCCCCCCCTTCCTACCCTTGCATTTCATCAGGCTTCCCTAGCATTTCGCCAGTACCCATTTATACTCCTGGGTGGGGAGGGGGTGAGAGTAGAGTGTCTTTCGTAGGAATCAGCCTGGTCTCTAACCTGGGCCTTGGAGTCAAACGCACTGACCATAAGTCAAGCCATTGAACTGGTGAAAAAACTACTGATATTCTCTTTACGTATGAGGCTCATTGTAACTTACCAATTTTGGGTTTTCCCTAAGGTACTGAACTAAAGATTGTCTCAACTGGCCATTTTCGATTTTGATTCCTTTGACGGTTTCTAGTTGTTCTGACAGGGCATGGAACATGCAGTTTCCTGACTCTTGATTGTCAGAAATTCTGAAGCCCTTATCTGATGCAATCTTCGTTAACTCTTCTGTCAAGTTAGTGTTGCTGTTGACCTTGCTTGCAAGGAAGTGCATCTGCTGAAGATCCTGAATGATTCGCTCAAACGGCCCTAGCAGAGAAATAATTTGAGGTGGGTTTCATTGAATCATACAATGTAGTTCAAATAAAAGGTTTCACTTAAGAAAAAATCCATCAAATTTTAGACCGAATTTTGAGTTTAACATGATAAGTTTTTGTTTTTTTCCCCACTGGGATCTCTTTCGGCATCGGCATCGCAAGCTAAGTGAAACTTTAATATGATGTGGCTCGGCAACGAGTTTTCTGTCAGTGAAGCAATAACTACCCAAATTAAGGTTGCGAAGGAGATTAATCCAGTCGAGATCTCTGATTTCGTATCCATGTGGCATGCTAGCCTCAAATGAACGAGATCTTTCCCTATTACTAGGGTCATGCACGGAAAAATAATTAATGAGGACATAAATTGATCCAAAACTTTGCCGACGGGAATAAGGCTCTTCTTTCAGCTGGAAGGTAAAAACTTGAAAAATACGACAAGGAGTTCCCAATCAGGTTCTTCGCATGACAGGTCAATAACCTTATTTACTAAGCAAATTCTTCCTTCTGTTTCAATAATGAGAAAAGTAACAAAATAAACTATCAGTCTTCAGAAGATAGCCGGTTATTGGTCAGAATTTCCACTAAACTTTCTGCTGCGCAATGTTTTTTCTTGCTTTCTTTTTTTGTCATAACAGATAATTATGATGCGAAGTGAGCAATAATTGCATTGTGAATAACCGGAGTATATAACTTTTTTCATGAGCTTATCGCACAATATAACATTTGTGCATCTGGTGCATTAACGTTTTGGAATACACTCGTCTCACGAAAGATAATGAAACTTGAGTTTGATGCTATCGTTTTTGGAGAGTCCTTTCTGTTTTTCTTTCCTTTTTTATCCTGTCAATTTTTAAAAGTTGTCTTCTTTTTGGCAAACATAGACGATGTACACAAAAATGAATGAAAAGCCTATGTTTTAGAAACATAATTCGTGGTGGAAGATGTATTCATATCAATGATAGTGGAAGGTTACATGCCACAAAAAAAAAAATCAGTCTACTGAAAGGAATTAATGAAAATAATTAGCATACCCGCACCGTGAACTTTGTTCCACATCTTATAAACAAGAAGGTTACACTGTTTCTCCCAGCTGAACTGCTCTTCATAAGATGTCTGCAGTCGCTGAGTCTCTTGTAGACGCTCTGGTCTCTCCTTCTTACGGACAACAGTAATTGCCTCAGCCCACACCTTGGGGTCCTCAGAATCAACCACAAAAGATTTTCCGGACGGCACTTTACGCAGTGCATCTCCGAACCCCGAGTTTCCACTAACGAGAATGGGAAGACCAGCTGACAATGCTTCCAACGCGGTTAAGCCGAACCCTTCCGTCCGTGATGGCATGATACAAAGATCAACTTCACAAAAACACTCTCTCAACCTCTCTCGGCATTGCAAAAACTTTCTCACTGTCAGCTGACGACTAGAAATACCACTCTGCAGCAAACGTTCTTTGACTGCCTCCTGTTTTCCATCAGGTGCACCCACAAAGATCAGATGGTAGGAGTTGTCATCCAGTTCAGCTATTGCTTTAGCAGCGATATCATACCCCTTAAGACCGAAGTCCTCAGGGTCACCACGACCAAAGGTCAACACCCTAAACTTTTCAGAGTCAACTGGAGCATGTTTTAAAGTGGAAAACTCCTTGAATGTGCCAGGGGTCAACATAAAGATGTCTTGCTGCTTCTCGCTTGAGCGTAGATAGGCAGAGTAGGCCTCCGTCAACTTGGGTCCTACCGCTACAACTATATTTGCCAATTTACACAAATCTACTTCAGTTGTATTCTTCTGTTCTCCTTTAGCAACGGCTCTAGGATGGGTCTTGAACATTCCGAGCTCTTCGGGCGCAGTGTGCACTACTTGCACCCATTGGCACCTGTGAGACTCCCTGATGACTTGGGCTTGCTTTCCTAGCTTAGCGCCATGACCCAGGACCACATCAATGATGAGCTCTTTAGGTGGAAAGCTTAACCAGTCAAGGGGATCAAAACCAGGAAGTTTCTCTGCTTCTTTAATGAGAACATTGTGATTCCAAGCGGTCCTTTTGTCTTCTTCAGAGCAGTTAAATTTTGGGACTAGGAAGGTGACCTCTATTTCCCTGCGTTTGGCCAGTAGTATGGCAAGCTGTCGATTGATGGTGGACAAGCCCCCCATAGACGATCCCCACTCGCTAGCCAAAAGAGTAACTCTCAATGGTGACGCACATTTAACCGGGTAAATTCGAGCTGTTGCATCCCATGATGTTTCAGACGCATCAGTTTTGCATGAATCCTTCGAAAAAATATATATAGATATTATTCCTTAGTATATACATACTAAGATTTACATACTGAAAAGATGCGAAATAAATTTTCATCCACAAGCTGATCGATTACATTAATTCTCTGACAAATCAGAATCAGGTGAGTGAGTGGGTTTTTCTTCCATACCTAAACCTCATTGTATGACGTCGTATGACATCGTATGACATCATATCATGGGGTAAAAACGTAGTGGTATTTATACGTTCTCAGCGTAAAAGACAATTAAATGTTACAGATGGTTTGCTCTTTCATGCCATTTTAATCAGTCACTCCTCCGTTGATCTCTTCCGGCCCGTGATTAGGCTAGCGTTTTGGCGCTTTCAAATGATGAGTTATCCATCAAAGTTTGAGAACTTGGGCGGTCCTTTAGATTACCTTGCGCGAGTATTAGAACACTTTAGTTTACCGACGAACTTGAAAAACCAGCAATTGGAACGATAAGAAAAAACATTATAATGTCCGTTAGAAATCCAGTAGTTTCTACCCGTTTAACGGAATAACCTTCAAGGTTCTTTTGCCCAGAAAGGTCACAAATGATTATTAACGAAGTGAAAGCTAAAATGCAAATGGCATTCTTTCTTTGATGAAGTGTATAGTTACCAAGTTTACAAACCTTTGTTTGGTTCTTCTGTTACTATTTTCCAACTTGCCTGTTCCGAAATTCACTTTCAGTTAAAGAAAAAAACTGGGGAAAAGTCCCTGTGAAAGCCGGACATAGCACAATTTGGCAGATGGTGTGACAGCTTTAGCTCAGCTCAACGCTTTATACTCTCATAGAGCACGCACTTTCAACCAATGACAGCGCACGTTATATCCGAACTTTATTATGAAACAAACTATGATATTTTAATAGTACCTCGGTTCCTCCCGATGAAAACCACAAATCCTGTCCTTGAACTGTTAAGACCTCACTACATCCAACGCTTTCCATACAGATCAAACGTTTTCCTTGTTTAATTTCGAGAAGGTGTAAACAGTCCTCATGTGCACACGAGGATTTTCTGTGGATGGCACATTCTTGAACCCTTTGCAAACAGTACGGACATTCAACAGAGAATTCATACCTCAGTTTGCTCAGGTATGGGAATTCTTGCGAAAAGTGTTCTAAGCTACTCTCCAAGAACAATTTCACGCTTCTTGCAACGTCTGCAGATGTTGAAGGTGAGAGAGAGACTGGAACTGCTTTGGCTTCCTTTCTTTCTCTCAGTAAAATTTTAATGAATCTTTTCTGGCAAATCAGGATCATATCATGTATGCTGTTTCCCTCTAAAACAAACCAGGCTCCATTCTGGTAGAGTTTTTGCAGGTGTGATGATTCATTCCCGGCTGCCGAAGCCGTCGTCCTTGAGACAAGGCGCGGGAAAAGACCATGCGGAACAAAACCATCGAGGAAGTGGACATACAGAGGACAAGGATCAGTGGATGATGGCTCCATTTTACGAAGCTCTTCCGGTGGGGACCTCAGTTGACATGGTACAAAATACTTCACGTCAGGCAGAGATGGTGACGAGAACTTTGCAATCAAACCAAACAGCTCCATCATGTCCAAGATGTCTTCTTTGATAACGCCTTGACGAAGAAATTTTGAAAACACGTGATCAACAAGCTCCATGCTGAGGAAACCATTTCTCTCGAGTTCGGGCCAGTGCTTTGATTCCACAGGATCCTAATTAGGAATACAATGAGCTCGCGAGGTGAGCTCTTCTTGCCAAAACTAATAAAAAATACACCCGTTGGAAAAGCAAATTCGACAACACTAGCTATCTTGGGAAGATTCCATCTCAAGTAAAAAAAAATAGATGTTTGAACACAAATTAATGTAAATCCAAAATGGCATTGATGAAATCAATTTTTTTGAAGGAAATTTGTGGAATTTTCCCTGATAAATCCAGTTTGGCTAGTATTGCTATTGCATCGCAGCATCACGCAATTCAGTGCTTCAAAACCGTTACCTACTTAACACCTCGAAACACGGCTACTATCTATCCTCAATTCAATAAATGAACTAATTTGATTTCTTACATTAATTATAGGACAAAAAACATTTTAACGTGAATTAAAGATTTCATACCATTTTGTCAAATGGGGGAATGGTTATCAGCTTCCTGAACAGATCAATTAGCCACTGAGCTTTTAGAATGACCGTACTGCGGTGCTTGACAATCATTCCCAAATCGTGATAAAAATTAAGCATGGTTTTGAAATGTTCATCCCCGTCTATAATGTTCGCCTTCTCGACAACCGTTTGAAGCTGCTCCATATTCATAAAATAAACATTGCCAGCTACCAAAGTCTCTACAAGTTTTTCAAAGTTGAACCACCTGCACAAAAAGAAAGGCAATAGTCTCAAAGGACAGAGGTTTATCAATTTATGCAATGATTACCGCACGCAAGCTAACAATACTTTTAGGTGCAATTGTCATTGATGCAAAACAAGCTTGCATAATAATAGACTGCTTTCTGTCCCCTTATTCGCTGAGAGCACATCGACGTTGTATTTCTCCAGCAGTCAAAGTCCCACCAAAGTGTTTCATTGCAAATATGAGGGATTCTGAGAAGCAAAATCTGAAACGGCAATTGTAGGAAATCTTATTGTAATTTTCATAACTCTGCAATCAAATTTTATTTCGTCGCTCCTGTAGGCAAAACGCTCTATACCTAATTGGTATCCTCTCTCCCATGTATGGCTCCTTTCGCAAAACTTCCATGATTTTGGCACGGAGAGTATGAATCTCATCACCAATAGCTCTGCCTTTTTCTCCACTTTTTCCTTGAAATCATAAATGAGATCAATGATAAAAACGTTACTTAGTATAGGTAATTACATGATTTTGGGTGCAATTTGGAACTAGTAACCACCAGTAAATTTTTTCAAAGCTTAACAAAATTGCACGAGCCCGAAGGGCGAGTGCAATTTATGGTCTTTGAAAAAAATTTACAAGTGTTTATTTATTCCAAATTGCACGAGAAAAATCATGTGATTGCGTATTATTAATATACATAAAAAAATACGAGATAACAGAAGCAAAGCATGCGCATCAAGTGCAAAAATAATTTATTCAAACTCTGCAAGTGACAATCTGCGCTCGGTTAAAACAACCGCGTGCGATCAAAACAATAATATACAATGATATTTTCACAACTTTAAGGCACAAAAAAGTTCAAAGTCCGGCTAAACAGTTCAAGGAATTGTTCATTCTGGTTTGTTATTTCTTTGCACTGAATTAACCCCCTTCTGCAAACTGTATTTATCTTAGGTAATCAGAACTGAGTAATTTTTTTTATGTGTCTAATTAGTATCCTAAATTACTGCCCTAAGGTCACCCCGCTATTATATGTATGTCCAAGGGCCAATTCTCCTATCAGATCTACGTATTGAAAAGAAAGAAAGAAGCTCTCTCTTGTGCTCACACTCTATGACAGAAATACTTAATAATAAAATGGTTTGATATTGAACTTTTTTCGTCATTCATTGAAGTAGTTATCTTCAGAGCCAGATTATTCCACAAATAACGAATTTAACCGGCTGATTGTGGTAGGTTCCACGCTTTTTGTTTTATTTCAAAAAACGGAATAACATCTAGTGACAGGTGAATTGAAATCAATTTAGTTTAATTCCTGCCCAGAACTGAGTCAACGTGGACAGCTTTAAAGACAACTGATCGTTCAGATTATGATATATTTACAGCTTGTCAAAAATATAACTTGTTTTCATTTACATCTTTTTCACTTTACCTCTCTGATGACTCCCCTGTGACTGCTTACTGAACAACCTCTTCAAGATGCTTTGCACAGGTTTGTTTTGCTGTGTTTTACCAATCAATGACTGGTGACTTTGTGTGTTATCAATGTTGAGCAAAGGTGGGATCACATGTTTTCCGTACTCCTTACCAGATACAGCCTGTTGAATCTTTTCCTTCACAGTCTCGGTATTTTCTATTGGTTGGTCAGCATGTGTGCCGACAATGAATACTGGGGGTCGACGGTAGGAAATCAGTGTGTCTGAGTTGTCAACTGGCGTTCCCTCGTCTTTCGGTTTGATACTGTGAATGGTTGCAAGCCATGAAAGCAGATCTTCTAGATTTGTTACTCTGCCAGGGTTTTCCAAGATGATGTTGTGACAACCTTGTCTCACACAAGGCTGAGCTAGGGCATTCAGTTCTTTGCTGAGGTTATGCACAAGGATATACACTGCTCTTGTAGTAAAAAATACTGAGTGAGCGGCATAATACAAGTGTTGTCCCGCGAAGTCCCACAAATCGATAGTTATAATCGATTCTTTGTCATCTTGGGGGCTTTGTCTATCCTTACCGTCAATCATTTTCTTCAATAATCTATCAGCACGTTCCACCATTGTATCTGGTATCAATTCGGACTCAAACTCCATACTTGCGCAATCGCCTCTTTTCTCTTGCGAGCAACCACGGGTTTGGTTTTCTGTTTCGTCATCTTGCTTTTCACTTGTTGACGAATAAACGTTCGGACTCTTAGGACTGTCTTCAGTACAAGGAATCTAATAAAGGGGTTTTAGATAGGCTTTTAGGTCTTACCTACGTTAACTTACGGAAATAGTTACTCTCTAAAATTAGGGAACACTGTTCTTTTCCGGGTAGCTGCTGTTGTTAAGTCTAAGAATTAGAGTAAAATTCATAAGAACAATGAGTAGACCGTTTTTGTCTGAAAAGCGGAGCTATGCATGTTTAACATTAAGAAGTGTATTGGCCGCAGTAATGTATATATGTTTTTAAATTTTCAACTCTGAATGGTGCATTTATATTGTTTTGATTGGTTCATTTAACACCAGTTGTCAGCTCATATTCCGAGTCACCCTATATGGAAATGAATTACGCCAACTGTTCGGAGCTGAAAAAAGACTCCATATATCCAAACGTTCAGCATTTAATGAAAATTAATAAAACTATTATTCCATTAACGCTTGTTAGATATGTTGTGGTTTAATTTTATCCTTGGTTCAAATTTTGTTTTCCTTTGTTTCAAACTCATTATCATACATTACAATACCCACAAACAAAAGAAAAGAAAATTTGAACCAAGGATAAAATTGGACCACAACAGATACGAGATTGGTTATGGCCAACTCGGCGCTATGCACTTCAGTGGCTATTTACCATCTGATATCCAATGCGCACTCGTAGCACAATCGTTTAGTATTTTTTCGATTTACAGGTAAATTATTCCTTTTATACTAATTCACATCTTAATGAAAAAGAAAAGGTTTGGTGAACAGCATCTTTCTTCCTTGCAAAAATGCATCGAATGGTACGGAAAAATATGGTCATAAACTTCAAAAAATTCACACGAGATCATATGGAGCGTGTGAATTCAAAACTTGCACTGCAACAAACCTCGTTTTCATCCTCGATGTTGGAGTCCCCCACGGGTTGTTCTTGTTTGGGCTCTTCATAAGGTGCTCCTTCTGATTCAGTTTCTTCTATTTTAAGAATCCACTGATACTTTTTTTCAGCCAACATTCTTGATATCTCTTCAGAACATTCACCCAAACATGATTCTTTTTTACCAGTGGGATTCCAGTTCTTAATTTGGTCAACTTCAATGGTACACTTAGATGGATCGACCTCAATTCCATCGGTACTCTGTTCGTCAGGGTCAAACGGTTGACCCAGGAGTGACTTCTTCAAACTTGTTTTGCCAGCACGATCCTGACCAATGATCAATATTCGAGCTCGGCAAACACTTACAGACCCATCCTTTAGAGCGTCTTCATAAAGCTGTTTTGCAACGGGTCCTTGGGCCAGTATTTCGGCCGGAACTACAAGATAAAAAATGAAGCAATTACTTAAACAGCAATCATATGTTATGTTTCCCTCCGTGTTAGTAATGGTCTAGCGTCGCCAGGAGTGTACTGATTCAAGAAATATTAAGAAAAGAAAACGAAAAGAAAGTCGACTACGATTCTTCAAATTTACGCTCCTTTTTCAACTTTCATGAAGAATTCAGCAATTGATAAATCAGCGTCTTAGGAGGAGTAGGAAGAGAAACTGCTGCTGTTCGAAACCATTTTTAAATTAGCTATGAATTTGTCCCGCGTAACAAAAAGGTTATTATCTCTTTGCTTCTTTTAAAGATCGCAACATAATATAATATACTCGTTAAATGTTTTGAGGAGAATAAGATAAACCTAACTGCTGTTGATATGATCTTTAAAAGCGAAGGAAATATGAATGAAGATCAAAGCAAACGAGGAAAAAAGCCATTTATTGCACGAATCGCTTGTTTTAGGATAGTGGACGTCTTTTCCCCACTCCTATCAGTGTCCATGGAACAAAATTTTTTTTATCATTGACGGAACCCTTACACGCTATCCCTCATTGCATGAGAATCAATTTACTCTTAACCGAGATGTCCATAAAAGAAATTTATATTTTTACGGCCACCTGCAATATCCAAATGAATCCTTCCTTGATATTTCTCCTTTAAGTCCATCAGACTTCTGACTGCTCCAAAGTCTAAGGGGTTACCATTCACAGACAGCTTCTCAAGTCGTTTCAGGCAGCTGATATCTACATCAAGTCTTTGTAATTTGTTATTCCTCAATTCCAGCACCTTAAGTTTTTGCAGACGTTTGATATCTTTTGGTAGACAGGAAAGTTGGTTGTCGCTCACGTTAAGACAAATCAGATTGGTCATTTCAATAATACCATCTGGCAGCCGTTTCAGCTTATTTTGAATCAAGATCAACATTGTCACATTCTCCAGTTTTTTCAAATATCTTGGTAGTTGTGTGAGATTATTTTCTGAAAGGTTCAGTGTCTGTACTTCCCGTAATTCTGCAACGGAGTCAGGAACTCTCACCAGCTTTTTTCGTCCAAGATCTAAGGCCTTCTTATTTTTATCTATTGCCTTCTTCAAATCTGTCACCGATATACGCGCCAGCTTTAAGTTATACCCTACGAAAATTAACCATAAACCATTGACTAGCCAATAACGCTATAGTGGAATACTACTAGTTTACTATGCAACGTTTCATGGCTGAGACAGTAAGACAGATGCACTTGTGTAGTAGCATTACTTGTGCACTAATTTTTACCATAACAGCATCGCGTTTACCTTTTAAAAAGAAGGTTGCTTTAAATAGCTGCTGTTGGTTTTGTTGTGTTACTGCAGAACTTCTCTAGTGCCATTTTGTTTTGCTAACACGAACGTAGCTGTTCTTTGGACACGAGTTTAATTTTCTCTTTGTCTAACGCTTGATAAACATTTTGTTTTGCTAACACGAACGTAGCTGTTCTTTGGACACGAGTTTAATTTTCTCTTTGTCTAACGCTTGATAAACGTGGGTTACTTACCGATTGCCAAAAACAATTCCTCCACGTTGCAGCCACTCTTGGCTGACAATTCAGTAAAGAGATCTATTCCATTGGATTCTGCATAGCTCTGAGCATCCTGAGTGAACAAATTGCAAATTAAAACCTTTATAAGCAGCTCCCCCTTATCCCGGTCAAGCTTTCAGTTGTTGTTGAACATATCTCTAATTAGAGTTAAATTGTAACCGTTCTAGTCTTTTCTTAAGATGTTATCAACCGGCGTTGTTTTGACAGTGATTGATCTTCTAAAAAGGCCAAATTCCTTTCTGGCCGATCATTTGTGTTGAAATGTATTAGACAATACAAAAGCTTGACCTGAACCTTAAGATAACTCATAACATTACTTAATCCTTTGTAGTTTAAGCTTAAATAGAAGTGTGTTTTAAAGCTTTCTTTGGTGAAAACAAGCGTAGTTTTTGGTAAAAACAAGTGTGGTACTTGGTTTTAACAAGCGTAATACTTGGTCAATTGATTTGGTCAGTATTTTGGTCAGAAATTTGGTACCTAGACGTGCCAGGACCGCAGATTACAACGTGTGTTGAAGTCAAGTTTACTGTGAAAGTCTTTTTCAACAGGCGTGATAGATCCCGACCTTTCGTGCAGCTAGCGCAAGTTCCCTAGTAAGAGACCTTCTAGAGAGAATTTTGTTGAATTTTCCCCATCCGTCCAAATATTTGTGAAGGCAAGAAACCTGTTTCACATTGTGCAATTTTTGTAACACGGTAAACTAAACGTTTAAAGGATAAACAAACATCTAATCTGTGACGGAGAAGAGATCGATGGTTTCCTTTATTTAGTTAGGATATCTAGAGAGCATTTAACACTATGCGGCCTCAAAAGACAAAGGAAACAATTTGATGACATGAAAAATTTTAAACAAACTACCTCACGTTTCACCTTCCTTTTAGCTTCAAGGTCTGCTTTGGTCCCTACAAGTGCCAGAAAAATGTTTGGGATGGCCATTTCCTGAATCTTCCTAACCAAATTCTTTGCTGCTTCAAAAGAATGTGCCTCTGTTATGTCATACACAACAATGATAGCATCAGCTCTATTGCACAGCTTTAAGCAAAAACCGTTAGATCTTTCTGTACCAGCGGTATCCCAAATATAAAGCTCCACTTGTGTGCCATCTTCAAGATTTACTTCCTTAACAGAACGGGAGACTGAAAGTACAGAAGTTGATATAAAAAATGGTCAAAAACACTTACTTAATCAATTGTTTCTGATTGAAAAAGCATCTCTTACCTCCAATTGTGACAATGATATGTTCATTGATGCAGCCATGAACACATCTGTGAAGCAGCCACGATTTCCCTACACTGAAACCACCTATTTCATGAGATAATCACAAAAGGTGCTTGGAGGGTTAAACAAGGACGGTGTACTCTTAGGTTGCGAAGCATGAAAATTCACGCACACGTATAGTTAAACAATAAATGCTCATAACTGTATACAAATATGTAAAGACACAATTCTCAAGACACGAAAATGTCACAAACATATTAGAATGATCCGGATGGTGAAGAAAGTAACAAATGGTGGTTTGTGTTTCAAATTTGCCGGTATATTTCGCAAAAAGCAGTGAGATGCAAATGGAATGTAGGGTACTGAGGAGGTAAATTCTTAACAAGATCTATTGCTTAATGAAGCTTTAACGATATGTCATTAATTTTATCATGTACAAGTTTTCATATTTCGATGAAGCGCTGGTTCCCTCCGCTATATATGGTACATTTGGATCTACATCAGATTCATATTATACCTATGCATTGCTCATGCTCGGCGCGTTTGCTTTCTCTGTTTCATCTCTTTTCTGTAGACAAGAGCTAGAGAGGAAATTCTCTTTTGCTTTAAATTATACGCACCACCTTGCTAAAACCTACACACACCTTTCCCATCATATTTAAAGCACTTACCTAGAAGAAGTACTCTGAACGAGTTTAACACATCAGAACTGGGTCTCAACATTGCGAAGTATCGTTTGAATTCCAGACGATCAAGTAAGTTTTGTCAGCTGAACAAGAAAAAGGAAACAAACATCACTGCACCGACTATTTAGTCAAGATGGGCCTAATAATCGCAAATTTAAATGAAGTGTTGTGTTTTTTCGTTTTTTCAGTGCGCTCTTAATCGTGAAGTTACAGACCTGTGATATAAAACATTCATTCCATGAGCTTGTGTTGGATATGAGATAGTAAATAGCCAATGTGGTGACGAGGTGAGTTACGCTGAGTTGTCTATAATTTGTCGGAAACAGAATAATAGCATAGATATCAAATAGCGATTGTGAAATGTTTGTCTGGAAATTTTGTTATTCTTATGTCTGGAAGATTCGTATCTAGCCAATCAGCGTTCTTTTTAACTAAGGTGTCCCGCAAAGATAAGGAACAATTGTCTGTGATTTATTTAGCTTTCAGTCGAAGTAATCTTTCATATCAGTCGAGTCGAGGAGTTGTGACAGTTGTGAAACCTAGCGAGAATAGAAGAGGAGAAGAATAAAAATCTAGTGAAGACGAGACAGTGTGGGCTATCCTTACTAATTCCCCACAAATTAATCTCATATCCAACAAGCGCCAATGGAGTACTTATTTTATAAAAATTTCCACTTTTAAAATAGTTGTGGGAGCTTACTAGAAATATTTTAACTCTACATTTTTTTTTTTTGAAATTTAAGCAACCTGAAGACAATACATTTTTGTTTATTTTTTCTCTTTTGAACTGAAGTCAATGTTACTTCCTATCGCCAAGACGGCAAAATTGAATCACATAACATTGCAATGCTTTACGACCGAAGCTACAGTATTGTGCAAAAGTAATGCAAACACCTGTCGACAAAATTCGACGAAATTCCTAGCTTTTCGACGAATTCTTGACCGAAACGAAACTTCGACGACATTTCTGCGAATTTTCGAGGCATGTATTGTTTTGAACGGCTCGAACTTTCGGCGACATATTCCTTGATGGCGTTAATGCGGGTTAATGCGACTCGAAATTTCGAGCGAAAATTCGTTGCAATTGTTCATTCTTTCAAAAAAAATTTGGCTGAATTTGTGGTTCGGTACTGCTCTATGTAAAACTCCCATGGAATTTCCCGCTACGATTTGAGTCCTCCGCGTGACCTATGTTGTTTGCAACCATGGCAACACTCAGTGTATCAATTGTGTCGATGCGTTTGGGATCATTTATGTACTCTACTTTTGGTAGTCATCGTGGCCAAAGTTTCAAATTATTCTACAAAAAAATAAAAAAGCCCCTCCACAAGCAAGGCCTCCACCCAGCTGAAATACCGAAAGCGTTGAAACGCGACGGGTTACTAGGTTTTTGTCATTTGAAAGTTGCGTCTCACCAGTTTCGGGGTAAATTTACCTCGATCGGGAAGACCTAAAATCTGTCTATGGAAGCGAACAGTGTATGTAGAAACTGTGCAAAATAAGCATTAGCAAAAGATGCCGGAATTTACGCAAAAATAAGGCAACGTGACCTAAATAATAGTTGTTTCAGCCGTCATTTACTAATATTCAGTATTTTGTTGCGAAATGTAAAGTATTTCACACTTTTATTAGCGTCTGATTGTGTAGGATCAAAACGAACTAAGAACGCTTAAATGCTAAAATACTGCACGCGCTCTGAAGCTCGCGTTTTATATATATATATAAATTGTGAAGAATAAATATTTCCAAACAAACATGGGTATAATGATATCTGGAAAGCAATCAGCGATATAGATGCTGTCTATTTGCGTAGCGATTGAGAACGAATAAACAAGGAACACATTTCTCGATTGACAACGTTTGAAAACACTCAAAACACGTTCTCTGCTCTGTCTGGTTTAAAAGCGGAGTACTGAAGTTAATGTTTACAACTATTCCAATCATTTGAGAGTTTATTTCCACCAAATACATGTCTCTTGGTTGCAATTTCCGTGTTTAGTCTCAAACATCAAGTGTCTCTGTCGTGGTGAAAAAGGTTGGAAATACGTTTGATAACATTTCGTGTTGCTTACATGAATAGTAAACAAACTTGATCACTCGCAGACGGCTACTGTCAGTTCGAAGCGAAATTTCGAACACTAATGATCGAAGAGACACTTTCCGCCACGAATTTTCGCTTCGTGGCGAAAATTCATCGAAAAAGCGTCCTTTGTTCAGACGAAATGCATTACTTTTGCACAATACTGTATGAAGACTAAATTTACACACGGAACTGAATATCCGCACGAGATAAAATAAAGCCCGAGAAGAAACGCTCATAGGTACAACACCTGCGAGACAAAGATTTGAGTGTGCTTAACTTTCAGCTTGTGAACAGTTTGTTCAAGAATTTTTTTTGAATATTTAAAATGAAATCATTACCGTGACCGAATCTTACTCGATCGTCTTTCGGATCAGTCGTCCTGGGTGAACAATTCGAGGTGATTTGTTTATGAATTTTGCATTCATCGCAACAACCTGCAAAGAATATAGTGTCAATTAATAATAAGTGTTATGCGGATCATGATATTAGCCCTTACAGTCAACTGCAAATCACATCGATAGACTGGCTGTTAAAGACATAAACTATTTTGCAGCACTGCTTTCTCTTCCGAGTAGTTATTATGGCTCAATGATTCTTCCTGTTTTTTACTGTTATTACCAGAGAATTATCTTAAGGGGAACAACTGGAATAAAAACTATCATATCAACAAGAAAGACGATTAGTTATATCTTTCACTATCTTGAAGACGGCTAGTTCTCCAATTCGAAGATATTGAGGGTAGCAACCATATGTAAATACACATTGAAGCTTGTTTACGAATATGGTTCCGCACAGGTTTATCTTTGAAACATCGCCTAGAACCGGCGTTAATCAGAACAAGAACATCTCTTACCAACCTAGGGAGGTTGCCTCACCGGCGTTGTCCTGCACAACAGCCTGGATGATCAAGACTTTTCTCATCAACTAAGATGTACCTCACAGAGCTTCCAAAATGACGCAAGTGACTCAAATTGGTTGTCAATCGACACGGACGGGTGACCTGAATGATGAAAAATTGAATCGCCTCGAGGCGGCGTCACGAAATCAACTAATGGAAACAAAGGACGATAATAACACGGCGTTTTAAAATCATATGATTCTTTTTTCGCGTTTTTATGGACCTCAACTTCGACTTCGTCAAATTACGCATTTATCCTTTCAGATGACCCTTGTTTTTAACTCGTGAATTGCGCGCATGCGCAAGAGCGAGTTATAGATACCATGTGGGGAGTGGCATTCGCTCGCTCGATTGGTCGATTCCTGTAAACTTTTTTTAGATTTTAGGCTTTTGAGTGCATTTGATAGTTTTTAGCGAGCAGTAAACAGAAGAAATGGCGACCTTTGTTGCTAAGAATAGTGGTGGGGTGAAAAAGAAGCCAATGATAATCTTAAAAGAGTTTTTTTTTCGTTTTAGTTTCAACAAGCGGCGCCAGCGACTGGCAGACATGCAAGGATTCATACTGAAATAACAGAACGACCTTCGTTTTTCATAAAATTGTAATTTACAGTCCTTGAACTCGAAAACAATTCGAAGATTCATTGAAAATATTACTTACTGCGAAGCGCTCGAAGTTTACAGATGTTCAAAAGCTTTTTCTGATATGGCGTGAGATTGAGGACAAAATTGATCATTACGTTTCGTCGCGTGTGTTTTTTCTGTGTGAAGCAACAGAAGATGCCGGCGACTGACGAAATTACAAGTTAACTCGAAAATCAGATAACACCTAAACAAACAATTTTAGCCACCAATTTTCAGTGAATTTTTAAAGAACAATTTTCTTTTAAGTTTCAAGACAATTTGAAGATTCAAAATAAATATTATGTACTAAAATGCGAAAGTTATACACCATAAAATTGATAAATAGGCCTGAAATGAAATTCTATCTTGTTATTGATTATACGTTGCCTAGCACGTGACTTAAATCTACCCAGGCGGAGATCCAAAATGACGGTGGCAGGCTTGGCTTAGTTATATCACTCAAAACTCGTTCCAGTTTGTCTGATTTGATAAAGAGGGAATCGTTAATGTTTTCATTAAGACAGTATTGCCTTGATTTTCTAATATTTACAACGAAAGACAGTAAATTTCACTTTTCACCCGCATTTACTTCCAACCTTTTCTTTTAAACCAGAAACAAAAATGATAGACGTTTAAAACTCATGACATCATCCACCTTGTCAAATGTAATAGCATGATCATTTCAATTGTAATGCCTTCTTATCCCAACGTTACTTTGTTTCTTTGCTACATTAGCGAACACTGGACTACTGCTCGTACTCTAGATATGACAATCAACCACAAAATTCCCTAAACCAGATAACATTAAACATCATGTGTCAAAATCATGTGTCAATTCACGAGTTTGCTCACAGAGCACTTTGATTATCTACCAAAGTCACGCAACATGGTTTCACAAGAGATCAACTGAGGTATTAACCACACTAATTTGTGCGTTTTTATTCGGACTCATTCGATAAGTAGAGTGTTCTGGAAAGGTATCCGTTTCTTACATCTTACGACTACTTATAGACGGGAGCTCTTGGAAACGTTGACGAGAACTGTTTGATATACTTTCGCATCCATTCGAATTTTTGGGCACAAATCAAAATATGCACATTCGTTCCAAAAATGAAAACATGATAATTTAGACAGTTTAGTAAATATTAAGAGCGCTAAGCGCGGGTGTGATTTCAAGAGAAGCACAATGTAATTGCATTCACCAAAGGTTAATAAAAAAAAAACGAGCTCCGCAGGAAATAAAATTAGACTAACTCCATTGATTCCTGTGTATCTGCTTGAGACACTTAATTCTCTGTTGAATAAAAACATTCTTGCCTTTCAGGCGTGATGTCTTGATCTTGGTCGCGTGTAGAGAGACTAGAGACGTTTAAGAGGTGATACCGATCGAGGTCCTCTAAAGCAAGGAAAATTTGCGCGTTTAAATGCACCTGAGAGGACAATTAATAGGGATGTGTAGAGCTGTATACCGTCACGGAATGAAAAAAAAAAATATACATCAACAAAATCAGACTAGCATGCCATTTGAACAACAACAAAAGTAAGTGGCCAATAACATCTTATTAATCACAATAAAATAGCTTTAAGTAGTGTTCATTACTGCGAAAATCGCTCTAGTAATCATTTCTCAATCCGCAGTTGTTGTATTTAGAGCTCAGATACACTGTTGTCCTGCACAAACCATAAAAATTAATCGTTGCGTCACGGACTATTGAAAAACAAAAAGCAAAAAAACAAAAACAAAACAAAACAAGACAAAACAAAACAAAAAAAAAAAACAAACAAAAAACAAAAAAAATTGATAGCCGGGGTGCCTGTAGAAGTGTTATTCCACTGGAAGACGTATACCGCTGACCTTGCGCTCAGACCGTCGGCGGGAACTTTGAAAAACAACATGGCTAAATCTAAAGACAACATCGAGGAATCAAAGTTCCTGAACTCGCCAAAAGTTGAGCTCATTGAGTTTTTCCGCCCTTACAAAAACGAAGTCAATCTTTATGTCACCAACATATCAAGGCGGCTTGAGAAAGAAATGGTGCAAGTGAGGTTTAATTTAAAGATGATCTTTAGTCCTATTTAGGTTACATTTGATTGCTATTTATAGCTGAATTTGTTTACAGGTGAAACTGTTAGAGATATTCTCCCAGTTCGGCTTGATCTACGAAGTACAAGTGATGGACTCATCAGATAACTCAGAAGGTATTTTACTGAGACAGTTCATTCCTCCGATCTATAACACGAACTGAGAGTTTTGTTAAACTTTGCCTTTATCAATTTTCAATACTTCAATGTTTACAAGAAATCCTAATCATTCTAGCTTCAGAGGAGATCAATTCAAACTGTGCTTCTTCATATGCATTTGTCAAGTTTTATTCCGCAAGGGAAGCAAGAAGGGCAAAGGAAAGCACACATGGAAAGTGGATTCTAGGAGGACAGTTTTTGAAGGTAAAAAGATTATTTATGTGTTTATGATAACTGTTTGGTAGTGATTTCTGCGGCATATCGTTAGAGTACATGTAGTTGATAAGTGTCGGACATAACCTGAGAGGTTCGTGCAGGTGCTAGTATAAATTTGATGTTGTCTTTGCTTCAAATGTATAAAAGGCCCAATATATACAAGACTAAATATTATTACTATAATTATTGTCAACACATGATTATTACTTTAGCGTGCATTATGAATCAAAAACAATCCCAATTACAATCATGATACTAATGATAATAATAATAATTATGATTGTTCCTACTTTATTATTATTATTATTATTATTATTATTATTATTATTATTATAATTATGCATTTCTAAATTTACATATGTGGGACCCACAGGTTCAATTTGCACAGCGCAGAAAGTTCACAGAAGTTGTTCAACAGCCATTGTACATGGCAAAGTGTACTGTGCTAGCTAACTATTATTTAGGATTCAATGGCTGGTCAACTCGAATCATGCAGGTAAAGATCTTTGGCATCCCCACAATCTAAACTAATCATTACAACTAGACAGTTGGCTGTATTTTTTTTTCGCTATTTAGGTGAGTTTTTTAAACTTTGTTCTTAATAACTAAGAGCTTTCAACTGGTTTGCATCGGTCCTGCAACAAACATTTAGCTTAAGGACAGTATTGCATGCACTGAGTCAGAAATCCCTCTCTCTCAGTGGAGTCTATTGCATAAGAGAAAAGTGATCAGTGCCACGTAAGATTTATGAGAGCACACAAGGGTATAATAGTATTTTTCCTTTCATTGCTAATTAAAATTGATTTTTCAGAAAGTAGAAATAACCAAAATATCTCACTTGAGCTGAGTTTTGGCAAAAATAAGTGAGGAAAATAACATGAATTCGTTTGAGGGAGGGTCATGCTTTGAATAGCTTGTCGGCAAAACCCTCACCCTCCCAAGAATTCTCCCCTCCAACCCCCCCCCCCCCCCTTTAGGTGGTTACTTCTGATTAATAAAGGTGATAAACCTATCTGGGAGGAGGAAACTGTTCACACTTCAAGCCAGGTAATCTGGCAAACACTGGGGGATTTGTTAGAAATGATACATCAATTGTAAGTGCAAGAATCTACAAAGAGAGCACATCTTGAAGAGGAAAATAAAGAGAGCATTGACAAACCTTGCCAGAGAGCTAGTTGTTCCATATCCCTGTGCTACAAATCCTGCTTTGTCACAAACAAGTGTTGAACAGATGTTCTGTTCTTTTAGTTGGATAGACTTGAGAATAGGTCAGAAACTGAAGATAGCCAGGAAAAAAAGAATGCTGTTTATAGATGTGTAGTAAGGCTGGAGATAAAAGATTTTGAATTCTTCTGTGAAGGCACTGGATATGGTGGAGATAAAAACATACTGGAACAAGGTTAGAATTGAAGGGCTTAATAGAAGATAGCTAAGTGAAACTGGTCAAATGAATAAAAGGTGGTGAGTTTCTAAAGAAACTGTGGTGCTGCATTGGTGGGAGAGTATAACAGGGTAATCATAGTGTTATCAACTGAGTTGAAAACATAAATTGGCCTCTGTAAAGAGTTTAAAGGCTTATGTTTTGAGCATTAGCCCTTGGTCAGAGCATCTGACAGAGGGCTATTACTTGTAACCTTAGCCTTTTAACTCTTTACAATGGCCAATTTACATTTTCAACTCAGTCACAAAGGGCTAATGCTTGAAACCTCTGCCTTTAACTTCTTCATGGGGGCCAATTTATGTTTTTAAGTCAGTTGATAACACTAAATTACCCTGAAATTGGTCAGGTCAATAGAAGACATCTTATTATATCTCTCAGTTAGTATGTGCACCCCATGATTGGTCATTTAGTGAGCCATTTTTCACTTTATGGTACTCTAAATTCAAAATTTTGTTTGAATTGAAATCTTTTCCCCTCTATATGAACCCAGAGATACAATAAATATCTTACTAACTTTGTTTCCTCTTCTCCATGTTGTAAGTTTATGGAACCTTGTTTTTTTTCTTGTATTTGAGAGACCTGGCCTGTTCATTCATGTTGTGTTCTTGGGAAAATTTACACTTTTCTCTCATAGAGCCTCCCTATACCCAGGTGTCTATAATATGGTTACAGATGAATGTCAGGGAAGCCTGAAATGCTTGCGAAGAACCTTGTGATGTACTGGCATCATATTCAGGCAATGGGGAGGGGGTGGGAAGGAATAGTAACACTCTTAGTTGCTTCACTGCTTAGGAAACAGGGATAAACTACTGCTAAGTGAGCAACTTGGCTCAAGGAGGATTACGTATGAAAGTAATATTTTCCAATTTAAACTTTGGCTCACATAAAAAAAAGCTACAAGAATGTCAGAAAAATCAGCTCTGCAATTTGACAATATTATCTTCTTTTTTGCAGAAAGAGACCCCACTAAAAAGATGGAATTGCTAGGATATGCAAAGAAACTTGCTCACAGACATGCTTATGAAAATGCATTCAAAAGAGTTATTATTATAAGTTTGGACAATGGTAAAGTAGGAGTCGAGATAAATATGCAAGATATCCCAGAGTGCAGTCTTGATGAATCAGGAGAGGAGGGAATAGTTCAAATAAATTATTTGGAAGAAATGCCGTTCAGTGATTCAGAGGATGAGAAAAACTCAGAGATTGGATTTCAGGACACAAGTAACACTCTACTTGATACTCATGTTATTGATGTTTCCAGCTGAAACTTTATACTTTTCAGTCAATGTCATGAACCCTTCACATTTTACCCTAATGAGTGACCAATACAGAATATTTCCTTACAAGATCAATACTATTGCAAGCAGACAAGTAACACTAATAATAATAATAATAATAAAACAATTAGGGAATAATTAGGTGATGCAATACTAAACTCTCCAAACTAACATCATAAGAATTGTATAGCAGACAGTGAGGAGAATTACTGATGACATCTTGGAAGTGAAAGGGTTAATAGGAAAGTATTGAGTTGGAGGTTATATTAGTGTTACTAATTTTACTCTTGATAGTTACTGTATTTCCTTGAATAAATGCCCATGCTCTGATAAGCACCTTTCCCTGAATAAGCACCCCCCCCGCCATAATTTCAAATAAGCACCCTCCTCCTCTTTCACTTTCTTAAATAAGAGCCACCCCTCTCCTCCCTCACTTTCCCAAATAAGTGCCCCCCCTCCTCCTCTCTCACTTTCTTAAATAAGTGCCCCCCTCCACCTCCCTTGCTTTCTTAAGTAGTAGGGTTACAAAGAAAACCTGTGTCTATTGCTACTTTATTTTCAACTTTTAAGCTTCAACTAAAGTGGAAGCACTACAGGAGAGAGGTTTCTCTTCTTTTTCAGTTCATCTATGTCAATGTGTTTTCAGAGTTCCTTTATGTATATTATCTGCTCTGTTGATTCTTGTCCTTTTGCTGTGCTAAGTTAGTAAGCACCCTCATTAATTAAGCATCCTCCTTTTAATAAACCCTCCTCGCTTAGCTGAGTTTCTAAATAAATGCCTGGATACTTATTTGAGGAAATACAGTATAATTATAGCAAGGAGAAAAACACTATCATCAATTGTTTCCCCCTCTGGCTTCTTTTGCCAAGTAAAGTGAGAATGAAATTTATTCAGCCAGAAATGTATGCACATGGTTGAAAATATAAATTATGTACATTCAAGAGGACATTTTAGAAGTATAATTGTTTTGTTTGCTTCTTGAGGAAAGTTAATCTGAATCATACTTTTTGAAAGAAAAATTTGTCTTGACCAGGTTTTCTTTCAAAAAGTATGATACTCAGTTGTGCATACTTGGAAGTAGTGATATCAAAACGATTTAGAGGAATCAGAACACCCTGTAGTACTTGTACAGAACATCAAATTATTTGACATGGAAAATTCCAATTTAATGCAACACAGTGCCTATTAAAAATTATTTATTCCTTCCTTATCTCATTTCTCATTGTTTATCTAAGGAACAAAGGGGTCAAGCAGAAAAATGTTAATTAAAAGTAAAAAGTAAAAAAAAAGGGGCAAGTGTACATAAATCTTAGTTGAGGTGGAAATTAGTAGTCTTTCTTTTCCTAATAAAGTAAAATTTAGCTAAGCAAAATAAAGCGCAGGCAGCAAACTGCTCTCAAGTTCTGCCAAATACTCTTTGGAAAAATTAATTATCAGACTTTTTACAGGTGTAATACAAAATGTAAGCAGATCTGCTTTTAAGGAACTATTTGTAAACTTAGATTTTCAATAAACACCAATATTTGACCATCCTTTGATTCCTAAGAAAGACTAGCATTGAACTTCTTGCTAAAATATCACCTTAAGGTCACAAGAAAAAAGGAAATGAAAGAAGAGAAGAAAAAGAAGCTCTTGATTATTACACAAATTCTCCTTAACAGTGTCATAAACATCAGTATGGAGACACTCAATGGTTAATAAAGTAGCTGGACATAGTGTTGTTCTTCTTTAAATTTGCCTTCAGCAAAAATATTTTGTTAATAATATCACTCTGTAGTTAGTGGCTGATGAGATGTCACTATTTATGAGCGAGTAGAGTACATGTCTTTGTCTTCAGGGTTAGATTGCCCTGTGTCTCCTTCTGGCTTGGGCACATCACTTGATGTCTTCTCTTGAACTATCACTTGATCTTTGCTACTTCCAGTCTTATCAACAGACTCTACCACTTTGACTGACTTCACTTCATCAGCCTCACTTGGTTTTGCCCCCATAAACTTGTCGAAAAATGGGATCTTACTCCAGAATGATCCCTTGGATGTGTTTTCAGTGGACACAACTGGTGGTTCTGCATTTGTCTCTTGTGTTTCTTGCTTCTCAATAATTTCCTGGTTTGAAGCACCTTCTTCTTTGACTTCATCCACTGAAGCAGTCTCTGCTTTAACTTCTGCTGTGGAGGTTTTTGTTTCATCAACAGAAGTTTTAAGCTCCTCCTTTACAGCTCTTTCAGCTTGTCGTTTATTATGCTCCTCCCACTGCTCTATTACAAAGGTTTTTAGTCTGTGGTAATTTGTTTGTGTTATCAGAACTGCCTCTTTTGGATAACATATGGCTGCTGCAGTTGTTCCCAAAACTGATGAAAAGAAAATTCTCCTTATTGGCCGACCTGGAACAAAATAATAATCCATGGTAGTCAATAAAATCCAAAAAAAAAAATGGAAAAATAATGAGAGAAATTACAAATAAAATGTACAGAGTACATAGAGGGACATATAAGGCTGGCAAGTGAAGCTGAAATTTTCTCTGAAACCACATATTTGCTTCCTGGTGGAGAGTGGCACATGCACATGTGAGGTGAATTGCCTAAATGTTGTCATCATAAGGGTAAAAATGGTCCTGCAAGCAGATGATCTGATCAAGTTATACAAAGTAGCTCTGCTATTCTTTGCAGACTGGCATGAGTGTTGTACTTCTTCACAGTTCACCATTACAACAGGAGTACATCAAAACTGATAGGTTTTTAAAAAAATTTTTCTTTGATGTGGATCATCTGTTTCTGACCAGTGAGGTTGGCACATTTACTTGTAGTTGCTCCAATGCAGTATAAGGAAATTCTCAAGGGAAGGCAAGAGCAAGTTTACGATGTTTGCTGTCAATTTGAAGTACATTAATTTTGTGTTTATTACCATGGATTCAAATTATCACTAGAAAATGAGCTAATCAAACACTGAACTAAAAAATGAACCATTTTGAAATAAAAGGATCAACAGATTTGCCAAGCCAATGGATTGAATTGAATGAATCTGGGCCTTAATCCTTCTTGTTTTAATCAACATCAAGTTAATGAGAATGGAAAATGTGTCAATTGTATTGGCTGAAGGTTGTTACACTGATATAGGACCAAATTCTCCTTTCTACTTAGTAATGTAAATAAAATGTATGATGTCTGGAAGAGAGATTCAGAAAGAAAATCTTGGGAGTTAAGAGGTAAATTGCAAAAGAATTCAAAGTACTTACGGCCTCTTCCTGCTAGCAGTGCACCGGCTAACACAGATGCTGTTATTCCACCAACTTTCATTTGAAACTGTCTGTCAGTGTGCAGGAGCTGAACAAATTCTGTATTATTGAAAAAAATGACTCCATTCAAACACAGTACTAAGGTGTGTGCACTGTTTTCACAGATGCAACAAAAAATGTGTCAGAGATACAGGACAGGGAACTTTCTTTTCTTTTTCTTTGCAGGATATTTTTTCACTGGGAACAGAATGATAAAGTTCAGGGGCAAAAGACAAAATCTTCAAATATCAGAACCTGTAAATCTTTGAGGCTAAATGGTTTATGAGAACTGCAAGGGCATTAAAAATTGAGACCAAAATAATTATCCTCTCTGAAACAGTTGTCTTATCTAAGAGCCATGATTTATAATATGTACATGTACCTAATGATCTTTCCTCAACTGAAGAAAAGGTTCTTCTTGTTTCCTCTACACTATTCTGTTAGAAGAAAGCAACATTATCTTTAATAATTGTTTAGGATTTATTTTTTACCACAAAAAATAAAAATAAAAATCATTGCTACAAATCAAAAATGATTTTCTTTTGGCTTTAAAGCTAAACTACAAACAACTAAAGCCCCAGTATGCAATTATGTTCCAGAACAACTGCCTTTAGTACAGTGTACCTATTATTACTGTCTACAGTCACTTGGAATTCTTGAAAAATTAACTGGCAACAGGATAACAGGATTGCTCTACTGCTCTAAAAGTTTCTTTTACCTGTCCTCAGCTAACGATAAGGGAGAACACTGCACCGACCAGTTGACAATACTACCTGTTCTTGATGGTAACTTCAGTATAGTGAGAACAAACTAGGAACTGTTATACATAAGATTTGTTGCAAATTAAAAGTTATTTCCCAACCTTCACTTTGGAAGTCCAGCCCCATACAAATCTTCTGGCTATTGAAACTTTCTCCTCAAATGCTGAGACTTTGTCCTCATCTGGCTTGACTTGTGATATCTCAACTGGCTCATCATAAATCTCCAACTAAAATCAATTGGTCAAAAATTAATTTAACCCTTTAACTTTCAAGATCTGATTGTTAATTCTCCCCTCTACCTGCTACCCATTTCCTTGTAAATTTAGTTATGAGAATTTTGTGTTAGATCAAGTAAACAACTTCTACCTGATAAGTTTGAATATTCTCATTACCTGTTTGCTGGATAATGTAATGATATTATAGGGAGAAGTTTCATATTGATCACTTCTGGAAGTTAAAGGTTAGAGGTTAACTTGGTTAATGTCAGCTAATGAGCCATGTTACCCATCTGGCACCTGTGGTTTGAAGCTTGGATAATGCTATCCACTGGATTAATCTCTATCTGGTGGATAGTGAAATCTTGTAGTGTAGTAATATAGAAGTGAAGGTAAAGTGTTACTAATTACCTCTCTGGGATGCACCTTTATGGAGCCAGCTTTCACAGTTTGCAAGAAAGGAACACCAAGGGCAGGTACTGAGACAGCAACCAAAAGTCTGCTCTTCTATTTATTTGTGTCAAAAAACATAGAAACATGCTGTTATTACACTGGTTACAAAGGTATTTAACTAAAATTTAAAAACATTTGGAAAAGGAAGATAAATTGCATGGCCAGCCTTAACAGGTAATTAAAAAACTGGGGAGGTCAGCAGCACAAATAAAAATATAGAAGTTTGTTCCTGGTTCTCTCGATTTCTTTAGGGGCAAAAAAAAAAAGAAAAAAAAAGAAGAAAGAAAGTTGGCCTTCTGTCCCCTCAATTCCTTTTCTTCCCATCTACTTGTAGCTCACTTACAAATTTAAGAACTCTTTTTTCTAACTAAAGTGGCAGCAGGTCTAAGAGCACTACCCTTTTTCTCGGCAGAAGGGGATTTCTTTCCTTATTTATATAATAGAATTTGATTTTTTTTCATATATATAATATAAAACCCATAAAAGTCTATCATATTATGCTTGAGATAAATGAAAACAGACTGAACCATGCAAAGTTAAAGTTAACCAAAAACATTCATTTCTTGATCGAACGAGGCTTAGGATATATCACTATAAAAATGGTATGATTAACTGATAAGAAACTTCACAAGATGATGACAATATCAAAGAACGCTGAAGGACGAGAAGTTTGTATCTACACTGAGGACGAGACACATTTGAACCCCAGGATGGGGTTGCAGGCTTCAACTTAACCCCTTCGCCTTCGATCTATATCGTATTGGCAGCATTTAAAATCTTAAAGTACGGTTCATCAACTGCATCAGCTATGTGTACATCTCTAACTGCACTAACCCAAGGAGCTGCTCCGACTGCCATCTTTGCCGCCATCTTGAACAGTGATCGATGCTTCATGTAATACATGCAGGAACCTTCTCCAACCTTCTCCAATATCATAGCCCTCTTCGAAATGGCACATGGGAATTTTCCTGCTCAAAAATAAAATGGCGGCCAGGTGGTGTTGTTATAAATTTTCCAATATTGCCGGCAAATGAAGCCAAACTTCCATCTTTGAATTATTTGAAACAATAACCTGTAAACATGTTCATATATCTGAGCAAAAAGGTTTGTCACTTTCTCTCTTGTTGATTCGTTAATCTATTTTCACAGGTTTGTTTACATCTGTGAACGTTGTCAAGGCGAATTTTTCCTAAACCTCTTACTTTTTTTTCAATTTATAAGATTGCCATACCGAATAATGTCAGACTGCGATGCCTTGCTTGGAATCGAGAACACGGGTACATTGCTTGTGGAGGTGAAGATGGATTGCTCAAAGTTCTCAAACTGGAAACACAACCAGGTATGAAGCTTCAGCCTTTCATTCCTAAGATCTCGACATCAATTCTCCTAACCATCTTCTATAGATTTCTTTTAATCATAATGAAGCTTTTAATCATAATAAAGCTTAAAACCCTTCTATTCAAAAGATCTCAACGGTACTTCCTCTAACCATTTAGAATGGTTTTGTGGTAATCTTAACTATGAGAAATTGTTGCCAAATCAGACAGTATTCCCTTGTTGATATTTATTTTTCTTCTCATCACTTGTCTGGTTCATGTTGCATTGATATTTTAGGAGAAATTACCTATTGGTCATCTGTGGGAGAGAAAAGGTTTTAGAAAAGAACAAATCATAAATTTACATGCTTGTACCATAAACTTTGATTGTTGACATGATATGTTAACTTTCTAATTCTCAGTAACGACAATTCTTTGTGATAATTATGTTTTCATTGTTATATTCTGTATTATTCATACTGTTATTTTACAGGAAAAGATGCCAAAGTCAGAGGACTTGCTGCTCCAAGTAATCTCTCTATGAATCAAACCCTTGAGGGACACACTGGTAGGCCAAACAAAGATGTGTGTCAGTTTTGATAATTTAAGTTCTTTTCCTTTCATCATAACCTTTACCACATGCAGGTAATAATGAAAGGTTAACCCTTCAACTCCCAGAAGTGATGAACATGTAACCTCTCCCTAAAATATCCAAACATCATACAGAAAACTGGTAATGAGAATTCTCAAACTTATCAGGTAGTAATTAAATGTTATCTTGATCTTAAACACCAAACTCTTGTAACTAAGTTACAAGGAAATGTGTAGCACCTAGATGGGGAGAAATAACAATCAGATCTTGAGAGTTAAAGGGTTAACCCTAATCAACGATTTTCTGATGTTTAGACGTCATAAATCTATTTTGTTTAAATTTTACTCCTCAACAGGTGCTGTGCAAGTAGTAACCTGGAATGAACATTTTCAAAAACTGACCACAAGCGACCAATATGGCCTGATCATTGTCTGGATACTTTACAAAGGTTTGTAGCAATACAGATTATACTGCTGTCTAATCTGCTGGGGAAAGGAACTGGCCTAACAATGCCTTAACACTCACCTTAACTCTGCATTAAGAGATTTAGATTTGAGATTTGGTCTTGTCATTATGTTGTGTTCCTGTGCAAAACACTCTACTCTTACCAAGCCCAATTGAATTGAATTGAATGCTGCACCCAGGAATTTAAATGGGTACAGCAAATCTCAATTATCTGGACCTGGATTATCCAGATTTTTCAATTATCTGGACTTGCTTCTCTGGTGCCATAATCTATAAACATTCATATTCGTATGTTTGACTTTAATTATTTTCATATTTATATATATATATATATATACATATATTAATATATGAAAAAAATCAAAGTCTATTATATAAATAAGGAAAGAAAATCCCTTTCTGCTCAGAAACAGGGCAGTGCTCTTAGAATTCCTGGGAACTGGGCTTAATTATGGACTAGTAATTAAGCCCAGTTCCCAGGAATTCAGATAATAAAGGTTTGACTGTATAAGAAAACTTTCTAGGGAGCCTAAAAAAATGGTGGACATGGAGAGGGGGGAAGGGGGGTAATCTGGGATGCTGTAGCAACCACAGCCTACTGCTAAATGGTCTTAGGGGTTTTAAAATTGAATATTTATATCACTTGTCTGAGAATAATCTATTAGAGGTGTGATGAGACCAACTGAGTTTCAAACTGAAAGAGGGCCAAGTAGAAAAGAAAAATAGACTTATAATTTTTGTGAAATTTACAATATTCAGGGTCATGGTATGAAGAGATGATCAACAACAGAAACAGAAGTGTTGTACGTGACATGAAATGGAATGCAGATGGCCAAAGAATCTGTATTGTTTATGAAGATGGTAAGTGTATTGTAGTCAGTATATGCGCTTCTCCTAGTTCACCTTTGACCAACCTTGAGTGTGTCATTTTTTTTTTAATGGAACATGAAGCAACATGAATGATGATTAGCTACCTACATATGTGTGAAGAGTCCTCTATTTACTAAGCAATCTGTAATCTGGATTTTTATTGCTTTGATTACATGGACTCAATTTTCCCTTGTTTAATGATTGTCCTATGTACGTGTGTGAAAAAAGTTGAAAGGATCTTTAAGGATTTGAACCTCAGATTTTTGGATTCTGTACTTCCACCAATGATATCAAGCCAATCATAGATTACTTTTAATGTTATCTTTAATTTTTTTGGGTTGTTTGTGACAATGAATCTTTTTAATATATCATTACAGGGGCAGTGATTGTTGGTTCTGTGGATGGAAACAGGATTTGGGGAAAGGAACTGAAAGGACTACAGCTTAATAATGTGGAATGGTCCCCAGATGGAAAAAATATTGTGTTTGGAATAAGTAATGGAGAAGTTCAAATCTTTGATAACACTGGAAACTTTTGTGTGAGTTCTGGAAACTTAAAGAATAAAGGAATTTCTGTCATACTCACAACACACTTACATGTACATTTGTAAAGCTGTTGGTGGTCTATTAGCCCTTTGCTCCCTGACATCAGTATGCATATTCTCCATACTACTCCCTAGACATTTCCTAAGGTTCTGACAAGGAGAATTTGTTCAACAATCAAGAGCTTCTTTAGTTGGTGATCATCTCCTTTATTCTCATGACCTCAATGTTTGATTCAGGGGTGATATTGTTAGGAGAAAAAAAAAAATTAAGCAAGTAAGATTTTTGTTAAACACACAAACTACATGTAAGTGTTCATGAACAGTTTACAAACTGTATAAATCATTCTAAAAATAACATTAATTTTTTTTTCGTTTGTAGACTAAGATGACATTGTTTTGCTTGACCAATGTTACTGGAGCTGTTAAGATTGCTGGGATTGAGTGGTAAATGTTAAACCTCTTCTACAAACTTAATAATTCTGTAATTTAGTGTGGCACAAAAGTAACTGTCTTAGACTACAGTCGGTTATTGGCTTGCATAGATGAAGGATTTCATCTGTTGTCCTTACCTGCTGAAATCTGTTCAAATTATTAATTTTTTAAAATCATTTTTCCCTGTTTCAAGGTATGATGGCCGAGAGGGATATGTTGAGCCTAACTGTCCTTGCCTGGCAGTGTGCTTTGATATTGGACGTATGCAGATAATGAGACATGAACTGGATGAGAGTAAGTGATTTGAAATGGGATTGTGAAAGTGGTTAGCCTTTGCCAAGCTGATTAGTTGAGAAAATTTAAAAAGTAAGCTAGTAAGTCCAATTCCTGGACCTGTCTGTTTCTTTTTTCACCTTTTTTCCCTTTTGATTTGTCACTGATGGCATGTGTTTATCCCTTCATTATATACCAAGATTGTGAATTTAAGCTGGTGAATGGTAAATTTTACTGCCTACACTGAAAAACACATCGGCTATTCCAAATGCTTGACTGGCTCAATTTTCAGCATGGAACCATGATGTTGTGCTGCCTAGTTTGGATCACAGTTTGGTTAATTAGGCTGAGTCTTGAACAACCCTGATACACTGAATATGTGGCACAGGGTTGTCATTGTTAAGGAAAAGTCTGCGATCAACATGAAATTTCCAAGAAGTCTGCAATGTTTTGACAAGATCAAAGATCAAAGAAAATCTTATCTGATGTTATGATGTACTATTGTCAAATTTTATTTTCCATTTCACAAGTCTTTGTGAGGTTGACAAGTGTGAGTAACTAAATGTGATCATGGAAGCACTCTTCTTATACATTAATTAAGTGATCAAGACAGAATTTCTCCCTACACTATCAAACAGACAAGTGATGTGAATAAAAAAAAGTATAAATGAGGGGATGATTAGTTGGTCCAACACCAGATTGTTGGAACTAAAATTTACATCATGAGAACTGTATGGCAGATAGTAAGGAGAGTTACTGATAAAGCCTTGGGAGTGAAAAGGTTAAGTAATACATCTGTGTATTGCATTTTGCACTTAGGTCCCATATTGATTGATACATCAATGTCAGTGATGAATATTCAATGGAATAATTGTGGGTCTGTTCTGGCTGTTGCTGGAGTGCAGCGAGCTACAGGACAGGTAGGTATAGGATTGTACAATTGTATCACAAGTTAATCAAAACTATATCAAAATTCTCAAACATGATTATTTTCAAGGCATCTTTAATAACTAAATGTGGCATGTCTTAATTGTTTTTTAATTTGTTTTTGTTTTTGTTTTTCTCCTCTAGGAAAAGGATGTTAATGTGGTTCAGTTTTATACTCCTTTTGGAGAGGTGGGTGTCAGATTACCTTTCCCTTACTTATTCACATGTACCTGTAACCTCTTAATCCTTTAACTCCCATGAGTGACCAAGATAGAATTTCTCCTTACAATATCAATACAATATCATTAAGCAGACAAGTGATGAGAATAAAGAAAAATATTAATTAGGGGATTATTAATTGATCCAATACCAATTCTCCAAACTAACATCACAAGAACTATATGGCAGACAGTAAGGAGAATTACTAATGAGATCTTAATTGGGAGTTAAAGGTTCAACTCCTTGAAATGATGAACCTGTGCAACTTCTCTAAACAATCTCAACACATTAACCAGTTACATGTAACAAGTGTCAAGTGGCTCATGGATTTTACCTTGGTAAAGTAACAAATTCTCAGATTTCATGGATTTATATGTTGTGTTTTTAGCATCTGCGAACTCTTAAAGTACCTGGTAAACAAATAATGCAAGCATGCTTTGAAGGTGGAGGATTGCGCATTGCCTTAGCTGTGGATTCATTCATCTACTTTGCCAACATCAGGCCTAATTACAAAGTGAGTGGAATGTATAAGACTCTCAGGTTTAAATAAACAGACAAAGTAGAGCAGTTGCAGCACAAATCAAGATTGATTGTCTGAAAACTTTGCATGTTTTGGAAAAACCAGGGAAGTGTTTGGTCTATGCTCTGCAAAAATTATAAATCATTGATTTAGAATCTGTAATCTGGGAACAGGACATGAAGTTTCAATGATAAATTCAACCCCCCTAGCTTGTATGTTTTATTTGCTTTTTCAGGTCATGTGATAATCCTTTAGTGAACTCTCTCTTTCAAATTTTCTCTTATTTACCTGCATAATTTGCAAAAGTTGGAAGAAAGAGTTTTACCGAGTATTATCGCATGATTGGAAATGGGCAAAACAAAACAAACAAGCTAAAGAGGTCTATAATGTTACTCATTTGCAGTCTTAGCTGATTCTTTTAATTAAAGAATTTAGAAATGATAGATAAACTGATTGACTATGCATATATACTATACACTGTATGGCAGGCACATAAAAGCAGATTATACTTGATCTGATCACCAGGAGGTAATCTTCCTATGATAAAATGTTATAACTTTCTTTTCAGTGGGGTTTTTTCTCAAACACTGTGGTATATGCATTCAACAAGCCAGACAGACAGGAACATTGTGTGGTTTTCTGGGATACAAAGAATGGAGAGGTGTGTATTTGTATAAATATAAAGGAGTGGTACATGCGTAGTAAAATGATGGCCCTCTTCTTATAAATTATGAATGTTTATTTCGATGTAATTTCCTCAGGGAAAGACTGGCTTCATGTGACTTGTGGAATATTTGGAAAATCGTTGACCTTGCAGTATGATTTTGTCCCAGTAACTAGTTACATCCAATAGGACTGAGTTGAAATCATGGGTGTGAGCAGTGACAAAATTTTGTCGCACTGGAGCAAGAATTTCCATTCGTCACCTGATGCAAATTGTCGTTTTGACTTATCGTCCCGGTTTTAGCGGGTTTGCCCGGCATGTCAATGTTTCAGTAAGATACTTTTCGTAGATGTCCTACACTACAGATGTTTTCTATCTGTCTGTTAATCTTCCTTTTTATTTCTTTCACTAGAAATACGTAAAGTACGTGCGGAACTTATTGTCAATCACAGCCTGTGGAGAACATTGTGTGCTGGCTACTAGGGCTGATGACAGTAGTGGACAGGTACAGTATACGCTATACGGCGCAAATTTCAGTAGACTGGTAAAAGTAATGCAAAATTCTTTAGTTTTGCTCTGCCTCAGTCGGTTTCTGATTGGTATAAAAAACTCGCAACTCTCTTTCTCAAACAGTAAACGGTCAACTCGCCACCACAACAAACTCGTCAACTAGTCAATAGGGACCTTTAGCAAATCACGATGGCGACGGCAACGGGGACGTGGTAAAATAAAAGATCTAATGAGCCGAACAATAGCTCAGCACGTGCGTTTTAATTCTGTGTACATTTCTTAGCCGTCCTCTGCAAAATAACAACGTGAGATATCAAAATTTGCGTGTTCCGAGAAAGGAAACCCCGACGGCAGATTATTTAAGTTTCCATTTGAAACTCAACGCCGCTCTCATACGTTATGCTGAGGTTAACTTGCAGCGCCATAAGAGATAGTAAACACATCCAGTCATACGCAAGATTCCAACTATAAGTATATATTCATTTTTAAATAGACCTCTTTCCTGGTGTTGCCGTTCTAACTACTCAAGGTCCTACTTCGCCCCGCCGGTGGCAAATTGACTCTCCGTGGTGGCGAGTTGACCGTTATCCTCTCAAAAAATTAGCTCCGAAGCGAGAACCAATTTGAATTTGCTTACTCGTATTTTTATTTTTCAGCATGTTCTTGTGTTGTGTAACGCGATTGGTACTCCATTAGACTCTAAGTATATTGAAATAGGTAAGCTGCATCTACAAGAGTAATGCATATAGCACAAACTATCCTTATTCTGCATTCTGAATTTACAAACTCTTTAAGGTACAAAACGTTTAATTAAAAGATGAGATGAACGTAGAAGGCAGGGTTTTCTTTAAGGTTTTAAGTAGCTGGAGCTTTTTTAAAGGTAAACGGTTGTGGGTCTTGAAATACAATATGGCGGACAAAACGTCCGTCCACAGTCCCCATGAGAACGTTTTTAAACAAGGTTTCCAAGGTCTTTTTATGTTTTCAGAATAGATAGGCAGTGCAAATTTATATTTTTACTGAGCCCAAGTTTAGACCTGATAAACGTCATCTTTGTACGGGCTCTCGAAGCAATGAAAGTAGCCGGCGAACCTGCCGGCTCTTATCTACAACCCTGGGAAGGCAGCGGGATTTGCGTAGTTAATTACAATTTTTTTGCGTGAGTTCTGTCGAACATTCATTCCGTGCACCTTTGAGCCTGGAGGGTCTTTAGAACCTCGTGTATCTTTTATCTTTCTCACTGCCATGTTCTCCAAAATTGTCACTCGATTATACTTGCGCGCAGGCTTCGTGCTTGTTTACTGATGCGAAGCCTGTTCCAGACGTTCAGTCACTAAAACGAAGCGCGATGGTAAATGGCGCGAAAATGACTGGGCGAAAAAACAAGGGGGCTTGGGTCGAGTGACGTAATGGTGACTGAACCCAAACCTACGTCCGCTTTTTCGCATCGCTGCGTTTTACGTACTGAATACCTGAAACTGATGCGTGTTAAACATTCCTTCATTGTAGAACCTCTTTTCGTTGCCATGACTCGAAGTCACGTGATAGCTTCATCTAAGGAGGCTTTCTATTCCTGGCAATACCGCAGCCCAAAGAAACTCACTGCTCTGGAACTTCAGACTCACTCGAAAAGGAAGGATGTCAGAGAAAGGTGGGGTTTGATTTGCCGAACAAGTTAGCAGACTTGAAGTTATTTTTTACATTAAATTTGGATCAAAGTCAGTGTCTGAACAACATATTACCTACCCCTCCCCTAACCCAACATTAAACCCAACTTGTTATCAGTTGATTGTTTTTATGGGTTAGGGGAGGGGTAGGTGTGCAGTTGCTCAGATGCTTACATTCTCCACCCGCGGAAAGATTTGGGACGCGTCGGGGAGGGGTTTGCCGGGGGCTCGGTACTAATCATGGGGTTATCAGTCCCAGACCCCTCGCAGAACTCTCCCCGGCTTGCGTTGCGCAAGGCCTCATACTTTCTTGTGGGGTGTGCTGACCGCGTGCTCGCAGACTACCAACACTTTCTTGTCGTTTTCGTTCCAACTTGAAGTTACGATGAAACTAAAAAGCAACATTTGATCTTAAAAGATAATGGCTTAATGGGTATCCTTTGAAATTTTCTTGGGTTAAATAAACCGAAAAGAAAAAAAAAAGGTGAACACATAGGTTTAATGGTACTTAGTAATGAATTCAGTGACGACTGCCTTATGATCAGACCGTTAAGGTCACTGTTTCTTCTACTGAAAATATGATCTCCAGTTGAGGAAGAAGCCAACATACGATTAAACAGTGAATTACATATATCAAGAAACATTTTTAAACTTATTAATTATTAAAAAAATGAGAAAGGTTAACATTTCAGTCTTAATTTGAGAAGGAAAGAGTTTCATTTGATCGCTTTAAGTTCTGGTGCTAAAAACGAAAACAACCACAAGAAATTGTGCAATAAATTTCATGCACAAAGACCTAATATAATTGTGCGCAGCTTGCGTAGCGGGCGGTTTTGGGTGTGTCAAAAGGCGAAAAGGAGCTCTTTTCCGTTCCAAACCTTTCGCGAAAGGAGCTCTTTTCCTTCTCTGGTCTCTCTCGGCTACATCACTTGTTTCCACGACCCTAGTGTGACGCTTTAAAGCGCTCAAAAAACGGCCAGCTATGCATTCTAAATTGTGTAAAACATGACAGAAATAATATGACATAAAATTCCATAAATAAACTGTAAAAAAAGCGTGGCATAAGTTTTATCTTCTCTGATAAACATTTATTTTAAATTTGTTAACATTAAACTATCGAAGTGATGTTGGAACCACCTACTACCCTGAGTACTCCAATCTCCGGTAAGAATTCTCATTATTTTTATTTAAATCGCGTTGAAAATAACGTTCGAGATAACGATCTGAAGTCATCCTTTAGTCCTAAACAGGGTCCTTTAGGAGATGTAGTTTTCGGTTCGCTTCTAGCTAAACAAATTTAGCGTTACGAACCTTAAGTGTTACTTTAAGGTGATTCTTCAGAAATAACAGTCGTTAAAGACGATTTTTTAAACTTTCAGGTGTCTTTTTCGAGAACCACGGTAAAAAAGATGGGTGACCGTGCTTGCCAAAGAGATATGGGCCAATCTTACCCTATTTATTTCTGTGCTGGTACTAACCACGCGCCTTATTTTATCTTTCACGGTACCTTTTACGGTAGCTGGATTTTTAAAGTCGTACTTCATGGTTATTCAAAGAAAAACTTGCAATTAGTATCAACGTTGTTTAAATCTACTTCTAATTTTAAAGAGGTGAAAAAACGATGATCTATTTTTAAAATCGGTTTTTGAACGTCGAAACAGCCTTTCGCCACAAATTTCCTTCCATCACTTTGCAACATTTGCAATCCCAGAAACCTTTGCGCAAACACAAGGATCCGATTGTTGGCGACGGATTCTTTGGAAAAAAATATAACAAGAAACTCATGAAAGAAGGGTTAGATTTTTGGCAGGATTGGTAGGGTAAGGGGATAATGTCAACGAGTGACCAAACTTAAGTTTAAAGAGAGTTTATTTAATTCTTATTTATTGTATTTTTATTTTCGCGAACAGAATGTTTCACATTGACGACGTTCCGTCAGGAGCCGGGGAAGGCATAAAAGACGCGAGCAAGGCTTTAGCGGTGCGTAAATCGAGTCACCTACTATAGCCAATGACTAAAACGATAAAAAGGATATTTAAGTAATCACTATACCGAGAAAAATTTCTACGACCGGTGTCTTGCGCGGGAAACTTACGTGATCGAATCGTGATTGGTTTGACGACGCACGGTACTCGTCACAGCTCGCAACCCTTTTTCTGTCTTTTGTTTTTGATATTGGTACCTATTAGATTTAACATGTCTCACTATGTTCTTTGCAGCCAACTCATGATCCAGTATGTTGTATTTCTGCTTCTGATAAACTTCTTATATTGGTAAGCAATTAAAAGCAGTATGTTACATCCTTTGTATGCCATGCAACATCTTGTTACAAAGGAAGGTAGAAAGGCCTACAGACAGACTGACATACACATAGACAGATGCAGATAGACAGTCGTACACAGTCAGACTCATTGACAGACTTACAGATAGACAGACAGATAGACTTACTAATAGAAAGATAGACAGACAGTCATACACAGTCAGACAAATTGACAGACTCACAGACAGACAGATAGATTAGAAATAGACAGACATTCATACACAGTCAGATACATCGATAGACTTACAGATAGACAGACAGATAGACTTACAAATAGACAGACATTCATATACAGTCAGATACATTGATAGACTAACAGATAGACAGACAGACAGATAGACTTACAAATAGACAGATAGACAGACAGTCATACACAGTCAGATACATTGATAGACTTACAGATAGACAGACAGACAGATAGACTTACAAATAGACAGATAGACAGACAGTCATACAAGCGAAAGTTTAGACAAGCAGACATTCAATCATACAAACAAACATTCAGGCGTGCGTGATACCCTTTTACAAAACTGAGTATTGTTTCATTCATTCGTACACTTTTCTTAGGGACGTGAATCAGGAACCATTCATCGCTATTCCTTACCAAAGCTTGCTCTGGAGATGAAAAATGTTCTCAACTGCCGTCCGCACCAGCTGTCACTCAACTGTACCTCATCGTAAGAAAAGCTAGAATTAAGTCTTCTTTGTTTTTCCCTTTTTGCTTTTTTCTGTCCCTTTTCAAACTATCAGAATCAAGGGAATTGCACTAAACATTTATTGTTTAATTGATGGTTAATTTGTTATTAAAACTAGTTATAAATATGGCACGAAATAAGACATAAGCGGCGTGGAGTATAGGATGTTCTTTATACATGAGACTGACAAGCGGAATTAAGCTTAAAATCAAGAGCTTTTCAAGTTTGTGATCATTTCCTTAATTCTCATGAGCCAAATGTTTGATTCAGCTTTGATACTTAAAGAGAAATTAGATTCTAGTTGCTACCGACTAGTCACCCTCAGGGTTTAAAGGTTCAATATTGCACCATTTCAATATTTGTCCCTCTTTAACCGCATAATCTTAAAATACAAATTATGTATTTTTTTTCTCTTTTTCAGGCGCTTGGCAATCATTGATATTTCTGGAATATTATCATTCTTCGATTTAGTAAGTTTTTTAAAGAAACTTTACACTTTAGTATTGTTATTTAACGGAGGAAACCTCACCAAAAGTAAACGTGGATGGTTTTTCTAAGCGCATTTTAATTTAACCAAATTTTTTTGCCTCTTTTTTTTCCTTAGGAAGTGAGAAAGACAGATCCGCAAAAGAACGAGAATGTGGTTGGCGAACATTTGAAGTTTGAAAGGAAAGATGTGTGGGACATGAAATGGGCTGACGTAAGTTTAAACCACCATAAGTCACAACAACCAATCAGAGCAAAGTAAAATGTTGCCAGTAACCAATGAGAGCTTAAATTGGGGAAAGCGTGGGAATATGTTGAGGAACGCAGTCACAGGAAAAATCTAGATAGCAGTATCTAGGAACAGTTGAAGAACCGCATAATTGGCAATCAAAGCAGTTTGCAGTTCTGCAAGTCAAGAGATCATGAACTGTATTTGCTGTCCTGTGTACATAGAATTTTGAGTCAAGAATCAAGACTTTATTCACCCGAAGGGCTACACAGCGCCCTAATATTATTAGACGTATTTCTATAAACACTGATAATTTTTCACAACTCTACTTTTCTTCATACTTACAGCGATTTACACTGTAATGTGCTATCGTTCGTGTCTCTGATTGGACGAACGATTATTTTCAAAGTCGTTCGCTGCGTACTTCACAGTGTAAATATCAGCACGTATGAAATAAAAAACATCATACCATAGAAAGTGCTTGAACGGTTTTTATGCATTCGTTACGATGCATCAAAAATCTCACTCGTTCGCTGCGTTCGCTCGTTCATTTTTTATACATCACAACTCGTGAATAAAAATCGTTCGTGTGCATTGTTTTAAGTACAGGGTAACAATTTTTATCAATTCAATTCCCATCGCGTCTTCCTTTTATTTGCGTAATCCAAACCTAGAAACTATGACAAAAATGAAGTTTCAAGCATATTAACCGGATAGAAGCGCTGTACAAAGGTTTTGTGGAATATAGCGGTAAATATTTTGTGGGTAAAGGGGCAAAACTATTCGAAACAAAAAATTCGCCTCCTCTAGTCCCCGCTAGTGGGGCTAGCAAATGATTATAGTTAATCAACGCTGTTTTATCCCGCAGGATAACGCTGAGCTGTTTGCGATGATGGAGAAGACGAGAATGTACATATTCCGGAACCTAGACCCAGAGGTATGCATTACATGCTTAATTGATTTAAAACGTCCCTCATAAAAAGAACTTTGCTTTCTCTTAAGAATTACGCGCATACCTTGTGAATGATGCGTCAAACGTCTTTTATGGCGCCAGATCTCTTCTTGAGCAGAGCATCTCATTGCAGCGTCGAATTCGAAATAAGAAACATAAGTAATTTCCTTAGGGGTACCCGTTCTCGGACTATGCAAAATTTGATGATTTCGATTTATTGTTTCGCAGTGGGCGGCTGTGAAGTTTACAAAAGTTGAAAGTGTACCAGCTGAGCTAAAGCTCTGCTCATTAAATATTTTGTTTCGCGACGTCCTCCTTGTCTTCGTCCACGTGATTTTCTTTTTTTTTTTTTTGTCCCTTGTCAAAAGATTTAATGAACAAAACAATAGCTCAGCACGTGCGGTTTAAAACCGTGTACATTTCGTAGCCTTCCTATCCAAAACAACAACGTGAAGTCACCAAATTTTGCTTAGTCTGTGAACAATAAAAGTTATTTCTATTTCTTTTTTAAACACATGGCCTAAAACTTCCTCTTGCTTCCAAATGGCAGTAAGATAAACTTTTCCCTCTTAAGAAACTTTTTCGAGCTCGTCCACTTTTTTTTTTTAATGCTACTGTACATATATGTTCTAGTATTTAGAAATTTGAAATTTAAAAATATTCTGATCGTAGGAGCCGATTTTGAGTTCTGGATATATATGTCAGTTTAACGACCTGGAGGTGAAGGCTGTGCTTTTAGACGAGATCATGAAGGTAAATCGTTGACTGAGGTGGAAAACGTCCCCATTTGAAAACCATACCAGCCCCTTTAATTGCTGATGATGTTTCGAAGTTGAAAGTTCGGAAGACGCATGTTACTAACGTCTGCACTGATAACATGCTTTGCTTTCCACACAGGATCCTGACCATCCAAACAAAGAAAGCTTGATCGACTTAGAAGTTAAGGTGAGGAACTCTTCGAACTTCCCAATTACCATCAAAATATATCGATGAAAGCACTACGGACTTTTGTAGAAACTGTTTTTTTAACATTTGCACCGTGATAGTTCAAACTTTCCTTGGTTTTAGTAGTGTCCCTATAACTTTTCGCTTTTGTTCGCAGTCCTTGAGAGATGCACGCGATTTGTTGGAAAAAGTCGGTATTCCAGATGCCTACCAGTTTATTGAAGATAATCCTCATCCCCGGCTATGGTAAGATATTAAGTTCATTGGAGAGAGTGTAGATACGTTATTACGTAACCGCCTTGCATAGTAACGTCCTTTATATCACAACGAACATAAGTAGTTAAACATGATGATTAAGCAGGGAACGGAGGGGAGGAAGGGAAGAGCCACAGAAATTCCTGGGGGGGAGGGGAAGAAGAGCCACAGAAATGCCTCCTCGGGGGGGGGGGAGGGGAGATAAGAGCCACAAAAATACCTCCTTGGAATACAGTAGCGTACCAGGGACCCGTTTCTCGAAGGTCCCGGTAACTTATCGGGCTCGCAAAGCTGTTCTGTTGTCATTCAGGAGAAGGGTTGATACAACTATAGTATCGGGCCCGTTAAATTACCAGGACTTTCGAGAGACTGGCCTCAGGATACGTCATATCGTAAAAATTACGAATCGTTACTCTTTGATACCAAAGACCGGGGGAGGGGGAATGGGGAGCAGTTGAAACCCAGGTGGATGTCTTTATCATCATCGTGTCCGTAATTATTTATCAAGGGGCAAGATAATTGGCTTTATCAAATAAGTTGACGAAGTGCTACCGCCCAAAACTCAACGGTGCCCAATTTATATTATCGACTCAGTTGATAAAACCAAATTATGATTTTTTACCTTTTCATTATTACAGGCGTCTCCTAGCTGAATCGTCGCTCGAAAGGCTGGATCTTGAAGTCGCTGAGAAAGCCTTTGTTCGGTGTCAGGATTATCAGGGAATCAAGTTCGTCAAGAGACTTACCAAGTTAGACGTGAGTTTGGCGTGATTCACTTTTGGTTCATGTAATAAGCTGAATTGTACACGCATTTTGATTGGTCCGTTTTTATGATCTATTGGAGAGGAGACGCATGGATGACGTAACCATTTTTGTAGAACAATTAGATTCCATGTTGCTCTGCGTCTGTACAGTAAAAGATTAAAGAGGACGTTAAAATGTGGTATTAGCGGTAGTGACGCACTCGGCGGCACATTGTAAGCCACTCTTTTTGCTCGTACGCATTCTGTCTGTGATGTTTAACTCTTCAAATTCACTGCAATATGGAATCTGCTCTATTAAAGCAGTGTGCATTTCGAGTTGATTGTGGTAAATCCTGAACCACCTTCGAATCGCTGTTTAAAATTTCTGTCTGTCTATTCTTAACACTCGTTTGCTAGATAATGCATCGTCAATCACTTTCGGGAGTTGAATTGTCAAATGGATATCTCAACGAGAGGGGATTGGGGAGAGGAGCTCCAATTACAAGCCTTAGAGATTTGACTCAAACCTGGGATGTCCAACCAGACCAGAGCTTAACCCTTTAGCTTCTAAGAGTGATTAGCATTCACTTTCTCCTTACAATATCAGCCCTAAATCAAACATTTAGGTCACGAGAATAAAGGAAATGATTACCAGCTAAAGAAGCTTTTGATTGTAAAACAAATTCTCCTCGTCAGTTCCTTAAGAAATGTATGGAGAAAAGTATGGAGAATATGCATACTGATGTTAAGGTGTAGAGAGTTAAAGAAGAAGTAGTTGTGAGGTGCTTTTGTATTTTTAACAGAATGAAACCAAGAAGAAAGCTGAGGTCGCTGCATATTTCAAGCGATTTGAGGAGGCAGAAAGACTATACTTAGAAATGGACAGGAGGTAACGTTTATAGTAATTGTTGTACCAGAGCCTAAATTATTTTTACGTTTTGCATTGTAGATTGATTCCAAATATATTGAGTCCTCCCAAGGCATATCTTTATCGTTTTATCATTGTTATTGTCGTCAGAGATCTTGCTGTTGACTTGAGACTGAAGCTAGGGGACTGGTTTAGAGTTGTTCAACTACTTAAGACCGGAGGGGGAGGTGGTAAGTAACATAAGATATGCAAGCTTCGTTACAATTCAAACAACTTTTTGTTACCGATTCAGGCCAGTTTTCACGAGGACACTTTTTTAAAGAAAACTTTCGCCACTAAAAGGTGACAAAATATTGCTTAGTTAGTCCTTCCTTTTATACAATGTATCCAGATTATCATACCTCGATAATGACGAGTTCTCGTTGTATTCATTGTTTTTATGACAAATGTTTTTCAACTTTTTTTAGTATTCATTTTTTCCCCTTTTTTAGTGATCATCATCATTAAACCATGTTGTAGTCGTACTTAGAAACTGACCGGGTTACAAAGCAAACACCCCTATTATGTCAATGTCCGAGTAAACTGTGTCAAGTTGATCATTTGAGCATGATCAACATAACAAGCATTTTAAACCACTACTCGTTTCATTTGTCCCTCGACGCAGCTAAAATGTTTCCCAACACGTTTTTAGGACCTTTGTTCACATGAAACAGCGCGTAGTTCATGCAGTCTGAGTCTTAGGTAATAACTTAATCTTCACTTGATACAAAATCCGACCCTGATAATCTTCGAAAATTGTGCCTCGTTCAGGTGATGACCAACTCCTTGAGCAGGCCTGGAACGCAATTGGTGATTACTACGCTGACCGGCAGAAGTGGCAGAACGCAGTCACTTATTACGTGCAAGGAAGAAACCAGGCTCGGCTGGCGGAGTGTTACTACATGCTGGAAGATTATAATGGACTGGAAAAAATGGTCAACACACTGCCAGAAAATCACGTCTTGTTGACGGTCAGTAGATTCTAAGGGTTGGGTGAGATTTAAATGTTTGGCACCGTACGGTGTAATGCGTAGTGTCATTTCTACTTAAATTTTGTTCTGGTGATAAATTTGTACCTTGTTTTGCAGGAGATTGCTGGTATGTTTTCTGCAGTTGGAATGTGCGAGCAAGCAGTACTCGCTTTTACTAAGGTACGCATATCACGCACACTCTCTCCCATTTTACGCTGGTGTACAAACTACCAAAAGCAACTTCTAGAGGTCCAATCGCCTCTACTGACCTGCATCCCGTGTAAGGCAGGGAGGGGTTCAGAAAGGAAAATCGTTTAAACAGCCTTAAAGGAGCTGCGTCGTGGAATAACCATCATTTGCAATCAGTGTCAATCTTTCCCTATACCCCATCATATTGACTCCCAAGATCTGATTGTTGATTCTCCCTTCTAGATGAGAATTTGGTGTTAGAATGAAATAACAAATTCTACCTGATAAGTTTATTATCCATCAGCACTTAATAGAGTACAAAAAAACGCGCGAGTCGAGTACAAATGTTCTGCGATATAGGACAGTTGGTTATTTTGTATTGTAAAAAACCTTTCCAGCCAATGGGCTGCACGCGCTACGCTTAAATCTGCTTCGCTTTTCCCACATTTTAAGAAAAGGGAAAGAAGTGAAGCAGTTGAATAATAAATAACTTATTAAACGTTTTGGTATGTAGTGTTGCTGATTATTTTTACTCTCTGTTTGTATTTTGACACGGCATTCTTATTATCTATTTGCTGGATAGTGAACTTTCTGGTCCATGCATTCTAGGGATCTTCCTCCGTTTCACTCGCTAAACAATTTTTCTATTCATTTAGAGTTATTCATTGTTTATGCATTATGTTTAGACGGGCAAGGTAAAGGAAGCCATTGACTGCTGTGTTCAGCTCAACGAGTGGGATCAAGCCATTAGTCTGGCACAGAAGCACAATGTTAAAGAGATTGATAATTTACTCGCCAAGTACGCTTCATACCTGCTGGAAAAGAAAAAGACTCTTGATGCCATTGAACTGTATCCTTGTAACAATGCAACAGTGTTGTTAGATTGTGACAGTAAATTTTATCTCTCATTTATCCGGCTCGACTCCGAGCCAGCGCCAAAATCACATATTGATTACAGCACCATTTGACTGATATGTATGTATAATGGCGTCTTTGTTTTACTGTATTAAAACGTTTATGCAGCTTAGGCGTGGCTCGTGCAAAACCCTTTTTGAACCGATTCTTGACCATGTGTAGATACCGCAAAGCAAACCACTTTATTGATGCTGCTAAACTCCTTTTCAAGGTGAGGATTCGTTTACTTTTCACAGAGGTTATACTGAGACAGAGAAACAACAGAGACAAATCTGTAATAGGAATACGCAATTTTCGCTTCGTATTCTAACCGTTCAATGGAGACCAACGACTAATTTTCAACGAACATAATCTCTCTGGTGCTGTCACAAGATCTTTAATGGAACAAAAAAAATTAAAAATGCAACAAGTCCTCTTCCAACGGGATTTTGCGTAAACAGCAACGCACGAGTTCCATTTTTCGTCAGATTTTTCTATCGGTGTTGTTAGTTACAAAGTACTGACAAACTCGTCTCTGAGCATCAACAACTTTTTCTCCGTGTATAGCCCATGAAGAGACAATGCCTGTTTGTTAGAAGTTTATCTTGCGTCTGAGCCGGAACTTTCTCTTTTGTTTATTCTAGGTTACTGCCGAAGTGTCAGATGCCAAGACAAACCCACTTCGTGCCAAGAAAATGTACGTTTTGGCTGCTCTGCTGGTATGTGTAAAAATCTCATTGTTATTATTGGTCAGCGGACTGGGCTCGGGTTTGAGAGGTCTGGGTTCGAGCTTTGTGTAGACTAGCATCCTGAGCAATTAAGGGTCGGAAGTTATCCAGGCTTGTCTCTGTTTTGCTTTGATACGCTATGTTATTGTTCCAGAAAACTCAAAATCAATCTTTCCCGCCCTTCTGGCATTTTTCTTGTTTTTACTTGGAGCTCTCATTGGCCTACTGGGATATTTCCATTGTTCTGTTTGGTTGGTGTGTTTAATTGGTTTTGGTTTTGGCGTTATTCAGTCAAACTGCGCTTTATTCAACTGACGTCGGCATGAGCTCGGACCAGATGGAGTACAAGGCTGTCTTTATCTTTTTACCTTCCACAACTAAGGTAATAATGCAAAGTGTACTTTATGCCATTATCGCTATTTTGCGTTGATTTAAGGTGGAAAATTACCATGAACACATTAAGATGACAAAGATGAGAACAGCTTCTGGAAAAGAAAAGAGAGGTGCAATAGAGGTTGGTATATCTATATCTGATGTAGCATTAAATCTATTTAGATAGAAGTAATTTTCGTCCGGTTACTGCAACGTTTGTAAGAAATACTATTCGGGAAAAATTTCTCATTGTTAGATAAAGGTTTCTCCGCAGACGTTTCTTTGCTTGAGCTACTTTTTTTCTTTTCACACAAACCCCATTTTTAATAGTGCAATTATTGAACAGCCAGGTGAGGAAAGGTAGACAGTGGAACCGGGGAGGTAGAATAACAGTAATTTTGCTTAGCATGTGTTTCCTGATACGTACCCTTCGCTATGTTTCTAATTTGGGGCTTTACTATCAGTAATTTTTTTATCTGTTCAGGCGACGTCAGCGCTGGCTGGTTTGCTTGAAGAGGACTCCATTGCCACAGATGAGAGCAAACTCATTGACAACGCATGGAGAGGAGCTGAGGTTTTTTTTTCCTCTCACAACTTTATTTAGACCTTGGGTCGGCGACCATCATGAATGCGTCAATATAGAGCAGTTTTCAATTGAGGATAGAAAGGATAGAATTGCGCTTGCTCTACTTTGTTCTGTGATTGCTTTGAGGAACACGTACCATCCTCTTTCCTAATCAGATGCGTTACTGAAAGCAATCGCAAGTTTGTCCCTGGTTCTTCTTTCCGTGGCTCAGGAAGTTTTCTTGTTGTTATTTCGAGACCTCATTGGATCTCTTAATGTCGTTGTGATTAGACTAAGTCAACAACAGTCAACCCTCAATTGACACCCGTTTGAATAATATTTCTGATTTTGCGTGTAGCTCTCGCTGCTTTGTCTCTTTCATAGATGGCCATGTAAAGGCAGTATTAGGTTCCAAGTAAAACGGCAGTATGAAAAAAATCAAGCGACCAAGTTTCCCGAGATCGGTAATACGCCAACTGCAACGACCTCGTGAAGTGATTTTGCAGCAGGGCACTAAGCTCAACTTTTTTAAAGACTCTTCTGAGGTGCTAGTTAATATGCTTATGACTCGCATTACTGAAGCATTTTTATTGCTTTCTCTCCTTTTATAGGCATACCACTTCTTCCTCTTGGCACAAAGACAAATGTATGAGGGAGCAATTGATGCTGCAATGAAAACGGTAAGAATTTCACGGCAGAATTTCTGCTGAACTGGAAATTGCTATTCTTTAAACTAAGCTGGTTCTCCGCCTCTCTCCAGGCCCTTCACTTGTGTGACTATGAAGATGTCCTGGATCCAGTATGCATTCACTCCCTTCTAGCACTTGTCAGTTGTGCCAACAGGGCATTCGGGACTTGCTCTAAGGTAAAAATTTTTCTTTTATCAGTATGTACCACCGAGTATTATACCGCTGCGGCGTCGTTACGCTTCTGGGACTAAAATTAAACTCCGCGCGCTCAGATTGATCAAAAACTATTGCTAATCGCACCGATAAAGCTTTAGCCATTTTACCATAAACTGCACTTTCTAGAGGTTTACCGAGCTGAAGGCGAACCATTTTCTAGCTTTTCGACTTTTCTCCTAAAAATCATGCGCGTGTTGTCACCTCGTTAGCTGCGATATGCGTATTTGGTCAATTAATCTATCACTAACCCGCGGACGATAATGACACGGCTTAAAGGTTTAAGCCGAGCATCCTTGCTGCCAATACCCCTGTAATTTTGTTTACAGGGACAAAATAATCTTGAAACTTGAAATGATCAAAAGCAATTGTTCAAGGCCTCACGTGAAAAAAGTAAAACTTCGTGCAACGTGCTACTGAAGGAGAAAACTCTAGAACGTTAACTGAATTTAAGAAGAGGACACATATGATTAAGGTCATGGCCTAGTATCCCAGATGCATTATTAAACCTTTACACCTGACATCAGCATGCATATTCTCCATACTGTTCTCTATACATTTCCTAAGGTGCTGACAAGGAGAATTAGCTTAACTATCCAGAGTTTCTGTAGTTTTTGATCATTTCCTTTATTCTCATGACCTTAGTGCGTGATTCAGGGTTGATATTGTGAGGAGAAATTAGGTGCTAGTCTCTCTTAGGGGTTAAAGGGTTAGGCATCATTGTACCTGCTATTCATCTTACAGTTTTATCCCTATGAGTTGTCAGTATCATTATTGTATGGAATTATCATGTTGTAAATTAGATCAGAAAAGCCTATTTTAAGAGTATCTAGTGAAGTGTTGCTTTGCACAAAAGGCAGTCTAGAGGTTGTTGTCGTAATGTAACACCAAATTCTTTGAACTTTTTGACTGTAAGAGCAGCTAGAGGAGAGAGTTACGAATCGAGGTGTGGAATTATTAGGTTAAATTTGTTTCTGTATCTTTGCAGGCCTTTATAAAGTTGGAGTCAATTGATAGTCTGACTCAGGAACAAAAAAAATCGTATGAAGAGCTGGCCCTGGAAATATTTACAAAGTATGTGAACAATAGCTTTTTCCGGTTTCCTCAGCATGAAGCGACTGGGGTTATTATTACCCCCACCCTCTCCCTCCCCCAACCTCTCTCACTGGATAAGATGCCTGTCAATTGCAACTTTACCCTCCAACATTTCATCAGGCCTCCCTGACAGTTCGCCAGTGGAGAGAGCTACTGTGGGAGTAACGTGTTTTGCCCAAGAATATAACAGAATGACCCGGCGTCCAGTGCAATAAAGATTTGGCCATTGCTTCTCCCACTGCGAGTTCTGTGAAGAACTGATACTTAGATCAAGTTATTAGGAATTTAATGCAATAAAGGGAAATAAGGAAATTTTGCAAGAGTTCTGTTTGGGACAATTGCGTTTTTTTGGTGCTTCCCTGTTGGGAATTGGTCAAGTCTCGCATTTTTCCTTTTACTCTTTTAATGAAAAAGTTATGTGAACCCTTTTTTCCGTGCTATATTTTTAGACACTCACCAAAGGACTCACGTGGTAACAAGGCAGAGTGCACTAGCTGCGAAACCATGATACCCGATTGGTAAGTTTACCTTAATTTAGGGTGTTGTAGAGGAAAGGGGGGGGGGGGGAGGGGCGGCGGCGGGAAGAGTGGAGGGATGGGGATGTGGTGTGGTTGATGTCAAGCCTTATGGGCCCTGTGACTCATTATTTCCAGGGCTTATCCAGCTGTTTATATCATAAAGAGTCTGGCGAAAACCAGATCTTTCAGTCTCAGGTCCAGCGCGTACACCACCGTGTACTCCTTCATTCAGGGAGATCGTGTTCTTCTGCAGAAAAAACTTGCGATGTTCTCCTTGCAACTGCATTTGCAATTTTCGCATCGTGGCATTCATGTAATAGTCGTTATTACGATGTACTCGTGCATGTTTCATGAATTTGAATGACGATTTAGGGAAAGGAAAACCTTGGGTACCTCTTAGAGAGAACTTACAACGACCGATATTTGTTTGTAGGTTTGTAGAAAGATACCTGCTTAGTAATCTCATAAATGGAGTTGTTTGTGACATTTCTTTACACTTTCCTCCCCACACCTAGGAGCCAAATCTGTCCTAACTGTGACACGAAGTTTCCAACGTGCATTGTGAGTGGACGCCCGCTTATGGACTATCAGTTCTGGTTGTGTGGCACCTGCAAACACCGAGCTTACGAGCAAGAGATCAGTGCCCTCAACCACTGCCCACTTTGCCATGCGCAGATCTAGTTTATGTTGCATCGTTACTATAACTGAAAGACAGAGCTGAAAAACTTCTTTCGTGTTACGGAATTTTTTTAGGGGGAATTGCCATACAATGGCATTTTGATTCATGTTAGCGATTGAACAAGTTTGCAGAAAACAGCGTAAGAAAGTTGTGGCAATTCCTCATGGTGAAATACGGTAAAAGAGCTCTTTTCGATTGAGTGTCGTAAAAACCAAAACCAAGGCAATCATACCAGCCAATCATAGGAAGGGAAGTTCCACGAGGAGCCAATGAGAGCTTAAAGTAAAAACAAGCGAACTGCCTGTAACGCGGGAAAACGCGGGCGACCAAGTCGTGATTGATGTTAGTTTAAGTCTGATTGGTTGAGAAGGTGGAGCGAGTTTTCTGGACCACTCAGCAAACTGTCTGGACCAATCACATAACGAAATAGTCCCGGATTACTTTCGACGCTCAATAGAAAATTGCTCTGATGAAGTATTAGTGTTGATCCTAACCCAGCCTGCTGTTTTGCCCCACATTTTAATTATATCTTCTCAATGTACATACAGTGTAAACATTCAAATACATCGCCGGAGAATAAGCAAAAATCACTCCTTTTGGTGCACAGGTGTTGATCGTAATTAAACCTTTTTAAACATATCGTTTTTTTTGGAGTCGTAGAGATACATACACGGTAAATTGTATAGTTAAGGTAACTCTCGCTAATTTGCGCGTAAAGGTAAAAAACGAACTTGCACTCTAGGTCGTAGCAGAGACAAATACATCACCCTTGCTTGGTCAGTTTTTAATCTCGTTACTTCCCTACAGCAAGTAATTCAATCCTAGAAACTCATTTTAATAATTAGATTTTCCACTTGCACGCCACGGCAGCCATTTGCTTTCATAGAGTAACTACTTGATACAATTATTTAAAGAAAGGTGGATTAAACTTCAGTTACCTCTTCAGATAGTTATAAAAAGTGAATTGCCATTTTGTATTTTTCTCATCTCATTAATAGTGTATAAACCTGATGTACTATCGATGCTCAAAGCTTGAAAGCCTTTTTTCCTTTCGTTCGACGCGTTTCTGGGCACTCTCATCGAACGCTGTATTTCGAAATCTGGTGAACAGAATTCATTTCAACCAAGCAATGTTGGAAACATGAATAAAGGGGTAAGTTTCTAAAAAAACTGTGGTGTTGCGTCGGTGGGAGAGTATAACAGGGTAATTTAGTATTATCAACTGAGCCGATAACGTAAATTGACCACCGTAAAGAGTTTCGAAGATGAAGTTTCGAGCGTTCGCCCTTCGTCAGAGCAAATGTGAAACGAATGCGAATTGGAAACATGTCGCGTTAAATAGAGAGAACTGCTTCAATTATATTTACTGTGTAATGCTCGTAGACAATGCTTACCCTTTTAACTCCCAGGAGTGATTAACGTGTAACGTCTCCCTATAGTATCTAATCATTATCCGGCAAACAGGCGATGAAAATACTCCAACTTATCAGGTTTAAGTTGCTATCTTGATCCAGCACCAAATTCTCGTAATTAATTTACAAGGAAATGTGTAGCAGCTAGAGGGGAAAATTAACAACCAGATCTTGAGAAGTAAAGGATTAAAAGACTTTCTCTGACTTTGTCTTTCTGTGAAATAAATCTATAGAGGACTGTTGGTTGTGGTTACTTAAGGAGGATTTCTCGTTGAATATCATCTGCCAAAATTAAGCTTACTGCGTGTTCATCGATCATTCTATGTTTCGTCATTGAGTTATAGGACCTTATATGTGCTATTTCCCAAGCGTGTGGTCCATATGGCCTCACGTCAGCCAGTTTCTTTTCATTTTGCGCTTTTGTATGAAAAAAAGAAGTTTGTCAGTTTCAGTCCAATTTGACTGAGAAGGGGTTGGTCAATAAAAGATTTAATATCTGACTAAAAGATATCCCAAAATGATTCATGAATCAAATCAACGGAGTTCGCTGTACAGTTTTCGTTGTTTTGAATGTCTTTTGGACAGGCGGTTGTTGTGTTTGTGTCACTTGTTTGCTGTGAAATTATTTTTCGAAAGTTATAGTGTGTTAAAATCGCGAAGAACTTAGCAGGGTGAAAGCATTTATTTCGATTGAGGAAAATTCGCTTGGGTACCCGAGGAGAACAAGGGCTTTGCGTTGCTTCGCTTCGCTCGGTAACGCAGCCAGTCAAAAATCCAAGAAAGATAAAAGTATGCCCAGCTTTAGCAGCACTTCAATCGCAGTGCCTGGCTTTGGGCAGTTGTTCAAAGTAATTTCTTTGCAGTGATTTCAGCTGTAAAGATTGTTATGAAAACTAATCGTCACTTTAGGGATCTCATCTGAAAAGTGAATGGAAAACGTCGCATAATGTGAAGTTTTGGATTGGTTGTTGTAACATACCATCTGCTTATCCGTGTCAAAGAACGAGATAATTTAGGAGACACATCAAAATTTTGTAACAGGGATCAGTAGGTCTACTCGAAAACCTCAAAATGCCGTGCAATTGGGCCATTGTTTCATGTCCCTAAGACACTCGTGTGCAAAATTCACGAGGTTATCGTCAACTCATTTGTAAAGAAACGTCTAACAGGTATCATATTTTTCTTTTTGTATATTCATGTAAAAAAAAAAAAACAATTGAAAAAGTTTGCGAAGGATGGTGACAGACAAATGAGGATCGTTGGTCGGGGATCATTTAAAATTACGATTCATCGCGAAACATTGCCAGATAAAACTTTGTTCATCACACACGCTGAAAAGTAATGTGCCGCAGTAAATGACGCGCAAGTCAGGTTGAGGCCAAAGCAAGCACTGTTTATACATGCAAGTATGTAAACTTCCTCAGCGTCATTCTTTCTTAAGTTCCAGTAAAAAAAACTCGATGAAAAAGCGGACTAGCAGTATTACTCAGATCTTTTTCGGGAGTTTAAGTGGATTCCCAATTGCCGGGATGAAAATTTTTTTTTCCTTTTTAGCGCCTCAGCCCATTTCCTGGGATAAAATTTGAACAAAAGAATTATATTTGTCCCACGCTGCTTTACCGAACTCAAGCTTTACCATCTTTTTTTATTCTATTTACAAAAGTGCTTATTTGTTTTATTCAGTTTTTCGTTTTTGTTGCTTTGTTTTGCTCTTCGCTTTGGTTTGTTTGTTTTTATCTCTGTAACCGAGCGAAAGTTTTCCAAATGAACAAGAGCTCGGCTGAAATTTCAGCTGGCCAGCCGGTTACAGCTTCCCCATATATAGCAAATTTTTTCATTAAAACGAGCCAGCTCAGCTTACTAGGGGTCATGAAGGTGGTGGTGCCGGTGGAACGGGCTATCTCTTAAAATTGGTGTAACTACGCTCGTTATCAAATCTTCAAAGTCCATGGCAAGTTAAGGCTTATAAAATTATCCTAACAGTGAGTTTAGAAGTAGGAGACTAAGATGTTAAAACCGGCCAGGCCCTACTATTATTTATGGAACAACGATCAACGACCATTGTCATTTGATTTTCCTTCATCAAGGAGAGGAAATTTGGAGTTGCAAAAAAAATTCTGGTTCAATCCCTAGCCAGGGTCTTTGCCTTTTTTCGTTTGCGGCGAGGGGCGAAGAGAACTTTATTCCTACCTCGTCCATCCTCATAGGAGCACAAATAGCTGCTAAAGAACCGTCAAGCAAACCTGCTGAAATGTTGGCGGGGGTAGCCTGAACTAGACAGTTGGTATAATGAAGCGCGATATTAATCGGCGCGCGAGAAGCGGAGGAGTGAAGAAACGAGAGAGGTCTGGGTCGGGTTGCTAAACCTCCATCGCTTTTTCACTTCTCCGCTACTATATATCGCGCAGGTTATTATTTCGCTCCATTTTGCTGACTCGACGTCAGGAATATACTAAGAATTCCAAAACCGTCCCTGCCCTTCTCGAGCAATCAGATCAAAACAGAACCGATGGTGACCAGGTCGTTCGCACTGCAGCGCGTTAGAGATTTGTAAAGTGTGTTTAAATGAGATTTCCTCGAGTCCTGGTAGCGTTGACCTTTTCTCTGCTGAGTCGTTAAATAAACATTTTATTTTTAATGAACCTTTTTAATCATTTTGGTTTCACAACGGTCAACCGTAAATACGAGGGGAATATTTGGAGAGAAAGAATCAATTAGTATCCAGAAGACCCCATATAAGGGAGATTGAGGCAGCTGCACGTACACGCGTGTTAAAGGTGCGTAATTACCATTGTAGGATCGTCACACTACAAGCTATTTTCTCAGTATGATGGGTTTTTACGATATTTTCATCTTTATAAAGGCTATCTTAGAAAGCCACCGAAGTCTCAGTGTAGGTCACTAAAATTAGTTAACTTTCATGTTCACTAAGGAGTATAAATCGATACACCAGAGGCGCTGAGGCAGGGAACAGCTTCAGAATTTTTTTCCTTCGTCACACCTCATGATAATTAATGTTTTCAAAATTTTTGTTTTGCTAAAACATCTTTCTTGAACATCAGTAATATTGATTGAATTCTAAAGCGAGTTGAGATGGCAATCGGAAAAAGAAAAAACTACGTGGGGCGATCATTGCAATGTCAAGCTTGGTTTTAGTACAAAGAAAATCACTCTTTAACCGAAATGACAGCCACTATTATTACTGCCATTAAGTGAAACAGACAGAATGTATAAACACTGTCCGAGAGCTGTGCAAACATAGAATTAAATTGTTCATAAATCGACGCTTTTATGTACGGGAAAAAAAATTTCAATTGACCGGAAAGTAGTTGTCCTACGGGGTTTAGCAGCTGATTTCATGAAACAGGGCTTTAGGAGTTGAAACGATACGCGAAACTCTTATTCGCCGCCTTTCAATTGGCTGACAACGGTGAATCAGCTGTTTAAGTGAGAGCAGGTGAAAGTTACTTGAAAGAAACAAGTTCAAATTACTTTCAATAGATGGTTTCATTTTCCCACGACACTTGATATGTTTTGCCATGCCGCGGTTCAACATTCACGTGAAGTTTAGGTAAAATTGGCGTTCGACGAAGACGCTGTGGAAGGATCGAGCAAAATTCAAGTTCGTGACTTCTAAAGCGTTTTCAATTATTCAAGAATCACTGAGATGAAATTTACATAAGTGGACATTTCGCCGCGAACGTCTCTTTTTAGCGAATCAGTCGAGCTACATAAACAAAGGCACCTCTCAATGTCGACTTTGAATGTGTGATAAACAGGTAATTGATCGATGAAATAAGAGGCAATGAAATAACTAGCTCTTTAGGAAAAAAAAAAAAAAGAAAAAAAAAAGGCAGAATGTGCATCGAAGAAAAAAACGTGAAAATGAAGTCAACTTATTGCCGTCTTTCCTGTGGCTAAAACATAGCGCTCTGTTTAAATGCTCCGTTCAAAATATATTTTTGAAAAATAAAGGTTTCCATAGCGATATGTTACCCCGTGTGCCATTGTTTTCACAGCCTTTTATCGTACGTAGTTTCTTTACAAAACAGGCGTGTGCTAATCATTATTGAACCAACGTCTAGAAATTGAATATCACATTGAAAGACCTATTTGCTCTTGACTCTCTTGACTTAAAGGAGTTTCTCCAGAGAGGTAAGGATGTTATCTTTGGTTGATCATTCCACCAAGATTTCATACGTAAAAAAAAAAAAAAATGTATCACATTTGTATAAAACATTCAAGGTGAGCCAAGAAAAAAAAATATACTCAGTGTGGTGGGCGTGCATGATAATTCTGTATGGCTTGTATTTGAATGAATGAATAGAGACGCGATCCAATTTAAGCTTTTTGATTTTCTTCGCCAATATATCGTGGACCAAACGTACAGTTTTTTTTTTAAGCAGATCGTTAGGGTGAAGGAGGCCCTAAATCATACTAAACGTATCAAATTAGTTACACTTCTCTCAGATCACACCTGCCCCGTAAATACTCCCTTGTATCGCTAAATAGACATTTTGCGTGTATCTTGCCCTAACAAACCTGAGTAAAAGGATGTGAGTTGGATACTAAAATTTACGGGGAAAAGATAGTGTTAGACTCACGGTAGTTTCCAATTACTAACAAAGCTTACCAAGCTTTGAATTAAAAGTGAGGTTATTATGTCATCTGGCGCGTGTTTTGGTCTCTCTTTGCTAAGTCAAAAATGTACTTTGGACTAAGAACGTTATAAGAGGAATCGAATCGACACACAATTTCATTCAGTTAGCCCTAAATAAGTGGAAAAGTCAAAATACGAATAATTCATTGTAATTTTTTTAGCTTTATAATTATTTTGCTACTTTTTCTTGGAGAGAATACTTTATTTACGGCAGAAGGTTTTATTCACAATAACAACTAGCCGGCTTTTTAAAAGAGCTTTTTATTTGTTTACATAGAGGGGCTTAAAACTGCATCATACTTTAGTGATACCATTATTATTGTATTCTCATTTCGAACAGATGGAATATTTTGTTGTGTATCTTAAAGACCACTGATGATCAAGGTTTTGATAGCTTTTGTTAATAATACTGACATGTGCAGTCAGAAGTAGCTATCTCAGCGTCATGGCGTCATGGCCGAGTAATTATGATTGAACTGTAGATTTGACAGAAAAAAGAAAAGTTTCCCCTATTTTCAGCTTTTATTAATATAATTTGCCACAGAAAAACTCTCCTGAATCAACTTAGTAATATTTCAAGTTTTGTTTTCACTGCGCTTTCGTACAGGGTTTTATTGCATCATGAATGCTCTTTGAGAATGCGAAAGCACACAAGCTGGCTATGACCTACAGAATCGAGACAGAATTTGAGTCTTCGGTGAATTCATCCAGCGGCTAGTTACTAGGCGACCATTTTGAGTGGCTATTAATGTATTTTACTCAGAGTATAAAACCTTTCTTCTGCTGTGATCTAAATCACTTGATAGTGATTCTTTGACTGACAAGGCCGAAAAAAAAATTGACAAAAGTAACATTCCCAATGGGTTGACCACTGAGTAGCGTGGAACGTCATGTGGTATTAAAAAATATTTATGAAGCCTATTATTTTCTCGGTAATTTTTTTTTTAATGAAAATAAATTTGTATTGATGATAATACGTTTTCGGAGGCTAGAGTGCAAACTACGTCTAAAAAAGTAATTTCATATTTATGAGAATTTGATATTGATTTTCTTAAACTGAGCCAATGACTGGAAATTCTGTATTTAATTTAACGGGTGTGTCGTCCTGCTTCCCATCTTGACAACGAGTAAAGCTAAGTGACGCACGAAAAGTAAATTTCAACGCGATTCGAAGTCGGTTCTGAGTTTCAATTCGTCAATCTCTACTATCCTAGTACAGTTTTGATAAGAACACCAAAATGCAATTTACTTGGTCAAGCAAAATCAATAAATCACTTCATGTTTGCTCTAAGCTTTCGTTTGATGGGCAAAAGCTCCCGATAAAATTGAATGCATGTAACCGTCGCCCCGTAAAAACTATTCACACTCAGATGAACGCAAAGGAAGTTGACAAGAAAAACGGTTGAAAACTTTCCGCCCGGCCGCCAGCTAGTCTAGATTTCTTGCCGCTGCTAGGAACTTCAAATCTATGTAATTATTCCAAATAAAAATTAGCTATACAAGAGAAAATTAGCTCTTTGTTCCAAAATATCAAATACAAAGTGTAAAAATACTGAATTACAATGAAATCGGTAAATGAATTCTTAGGTTCAATAACGTTATTTAAAATTCGTAGTACTGCTAAAAGAGCTTTTATATTCTTTGTCTAAGTATAACTTAGTACATAAAGATATTTTTTGATCGAATCTTCTTTTTGTTGCCAAATGCCGATGACTTGAGTTGAAGCGCCGATGATCTGATCAAGTCAAATATTGGATTTTAAAGAAATATCTCCCTCGCTTCTATTTTAATTTGCCCGGTAGTGTGAACTAAAATCGTTTGAACAAGAATTTGTAAATGTGAGCTGTTACAACTGAAAAACCTCGTTCGGCTTTTGTCGCAAATAGTATTCAAAGAACAATGACATAATTTAGATTCGAATTTCGCAAAAGCTGAGCAAACACCAAAGTATTTTGCATGTATTATATCCATGTAACCAACGAGAAACAATCTGTAAACGTATACTTGATGTTCCTGTGAGACAGGCAACACCTTTGAACTCGTTCACATAAACGAAAAAAAATTATTAAGGCTGTGAAGAGATCTTAAGAAGTGAGGGTAAGTGGAAAACAAGTTGTTTTAAGGGAATATTCCGCTTGGTGACTCTTCTGAATTTATCTAGGGCTTAAAAAGGTGACATTTAGCTGCTTCAAAAATTTCGGCAACATCGCCTACGAAAAAAGACCCACTCATTGTTTGTTGGAGACTTTCGATTTCACCTGTGTGTGTTCCATCGATCATAGTTGGACTTAATTATTGAAACTTTCAGGAGTCTCAATAAAGGCGGTACCTTCATGACTTCTAAATTCAATTTTGATTTCTAGAAATCAAGTACACTTAACAAGTGATCCTTTGATGCTGTAAGCTGAAAGGAAAGACTCTAGGTTGGTCTGAAGTTGATTAAAAGTTTGAGACAGTGAGATCGCGGAGGTGAGAGCGTTAAGATTTTTCGGCGTCTCGCAGACTGGACCTTTTCAATCGCACGAAAGAAGAAAAAAAATTGTCGTCTTTCTCAGTAAAAAATGGAAATATAGCAAAGTAAATAACATGCCGAAAATTTGCAAAGCATATATTGCTAGAAAAAGAACAGCGAATTACCGAGTTTTATCTCCAAGTAACTGTCTCCGTAGCCAGAAATATGTTCTTTCATTTAACAAAGAGTTATAATTATTTGCCTTTTGGTCCGATTATATTGTTGTCATGAAAGAGAATTGTTAATTAAGGGATGCCGTGCTATAAGTAACATGAATTAACGACTACTCCTGTAAATGAAAGAGGTTTCTTCATTGTCCACAAATTAAAGAAAATGTGTTTAAACTCTTCCGCCAATCGCAGTGTCCAGTAAATCGTTGTTATGTCAGCTGATGCAGATAAGTAAACACGGCTTAACCAAACTTGTATCATTCACCGTCGTAACCTTCTGAACTCCAGTACAAATCCGCAAGACAAAGAAGAAGTTTGCTGGTTTTTTCCGGTAAATAATAATCTGTAAGGGTTTGATAGGCTTTTATATTTCACAAGGGTCAGCTTTTACGAAAGGGCAGAAAGTGAAAAACTTCGAGAAATCTGGAGAGAGATAGAGAGAGGGAGAGAGATCCGTCGGCTGTCCTGTGAATATGTTTGTGAGGTTTCGTTTCATTCCCATGCCAAAATCAAATATGCCACGTTAAGTTTGGAAAGTAAATAGCCTTTGCTTTGCTCTTTTGCAGTTCAAAAAGATCCGTCAAGATGCCAAGATCCTTTCTCGTAAAGAAAACGACGCAAAACTTCAATCTGAAAAAGAGGACTTTCGATGTTGGGAATTCCTCAGTGGAAGCAACCTCACTCAGTTCTCAAGGTTAGTCCAGGAAGCTATTTCTTAATGCATAGAGTTTTCCTTTGTGGTTTTTTCGACTATGTATCTATCACCCTTCAAACGACAAACGTTGATGCGAGTATGAAAAAAAGAAGAAGAAAACAGAAGAAAAGAACACTGGTAAAACGATATAAATTAACCTCTGGCCTCAAAAATTTGCTCTAGATCTACTGATTCACGATATCAGTTCTCCTCCGCAAGTTTCATGTGCGAGCATGGAGGTAGCTCAGAGTAAGACCGCGTGGTTACAGACAGTCTTCAAACCTTTATACTTAAGAGTTATGATTTTTAAGAGGAAAACTGATACTTAATGGGTTCCCTCGGCCTTGTCTGGAATCCAAATTTGCTATAATTACGCATTTAAAGATTTATTTGAAAGCCAAGTGCACCACGGTGACAAGTTTTTGACGAAAGAGCGCATTGAACGCGTGAGAAGATCAAATGCAAGAGCGGATTTTCTTCTGATAAACGAAAGTTCCGAAAAAGTAATCAAAAGCGAGCGGTTCCATTTTAGGTAACTAATATTAGCGTGACAAACTACGAATTAATTTTGAGAAGAAAGTATTTCAGGTTCTGTTCCACCTACGACTGTTAATGAAAAGAGATTATCCTGAAAAAAAAATTCCATGTTTTCTTTTTAACAAAATCCTTTTCAATTGATATTAACTTAAAATCAGAACCGTTTTCATCGAAAGAGGAACTGTTTACTTTTATGATAGATAACGAAATTCTCGCCACTGGCTGACAAGGCAATGTGCGCCAGTTAGAGAGGAGAATCAACTCTTTGGTCTCGGTGGAGAATGGGTTGATATCAAATTAAACGTAAGCCGATTTCTCAGTTTATCCATTCGTTTAAATAAACTTCATTAAAAAAAAAACCGGTTTAAAGGATAAGCCGCCTAACGTTTCTGGTTTCATACCATATCTTAAACAATGACTAAATTTTTAATTTAATTTCAAATAAAAATCAAAAGATTTCCTCGAACGATTTGAGACGGTTCCAAAGAATATTTTACCACTATTCACAGAAGTGGAGGTAAAAAACTGTTTTGGTATACATGTACACTAAAAAAGTGAGATAACATAAAACACACACACACACACACACAAAAAATTATTTTAACTCATTTATTTGTGCAATTATTACAATATTTTCGGGCGAAAATCGCGCGCTTAGCTCAGAGGTGAATAACCAAAGATATTCGGAGTTTGAGTAACCAATCAGAGCACGCATTCAACGCTGTTTTCCGTTTCAGAATATACTAAATTTTGATATTTGATATTTGACATTTTTTAAAAAATTGTTAACATAGTTAAAACTTTTACTCCCAGATCTCATTAGTAATTCTCATAACTGTCTACCTTACAATTATTTTGATAGTAGTTTGGGGAATTGAAATCTTTCCTTATTCTCATCACTTGTCTGCTTGATATGGTATCGATATTTAAGAAGAAATTCTGTCTTGGTCACTAATGGAGTTAAAAGGGATACGTCAACGATCCCTTTTACTCCAACAGTTGCGATCACTTACTGAAAGAATAAACCAACATCTGTGCTTTTTCATTCACCAGTTATGGAATGAAAACCAACCATGTCCTCAGCCTTCTCAGATGCGAGCGTTTTCTAACTTAGTACAAATCATTAGGGGCAATTTTTTTTTTTTTCAGAAAACTTCGAAGGCTCTTCGAAGAAAAAAATAGCATGGAATGCACTCTTCCATCGAAAATATTTTCTGGGTTTTATATTTGTGTGTTTCCACATGCAACATGCTCCTAGATAAAGCGCCCAGTTTTTTCTACCTATGTTTAACACCCTTTAGAGTGACTGACATCTAATTTCTCCTCAACATATCACCTCTGAATCAAACACTAAGGTAACGAGAACAAAGGAAATGATCACCAAGCAAAGAACTCTTAATTGTTCAAAGGAAAATTCTGCTTTTCAGCACCTTAAGAATTTATGGAGATTAGTGTGGAGAATGTTCATGCTGATGTTGGGCTGAAAATATTGGTTCATGGAAAATTATTGTAGAAATCTTTACTCCACGATAGTCCAACAGAAGCAATATACATTTTCCTTTTCTTTATCTGTACAGAAGAAGCATTCATCGAAAAACTGCCACATGCTGAAGTACAAGCGACCGAGATCGAAGGCCCTCACACAGTCGACATCCAAGGCCCTTTCCTGAAAGAGAGAGGGTTGGAATTGAATCATTTTCAAAAGTCCTCAAATCTTGAGTTCCACCAATCAAAGGAGAGAATTTTCACAGCCAATCAGAGCGCCTTCCAGTACCTCAGCGCACCCATGAAGGTTGAGCGCGACTCTGGTGATATAAACTTTTACGGTGAAACCGTTGATGACGTACAACTGTTAAAGTCAAACAGCACTTTTGTACCGTTGAGAATCAAACAAGAAGTCAGGGATGATGGAGACGATTTACAAGACGTAGAATTGGAGAGAGATGGCTGGGAAGGTCATGTTACTGAAAGCATTTCACGAGAGTTCTTTAACGAAAAATCGGTGCGCCATCAATCAGATGTGGAGAACAGTGTCTCACTATGCAACTCTGCCTTAAGTGTCAACTTCGAAGAGGATGGAGACGGAAAGTTCGAACTGTCTTCGTTCCTTCAATTCAGCGACCTCGGTAGATTTGTAAAACAAGAGAAAACATCAGCAGTTCTTCCCGAGTATTCCACGTTCCTCCCGTCAAGTTCTGAAGAAGATTTGAAACTGGGTCCGCAGAATGGCGAAACTGCAAGCAATGTAGAGACGGATTTGCAACAAAAACCTGCCAAGACAAATGCTTCCTCCAGCAAGAAATACCGCTACACTTGTGATGTATGCGACAAATCTTTCAGCCGCTCGAATACGTTAACGACTCATAAACGCATCCACACTGGAGATAAACCATTTATCTGTGAGCAGTGTGGCCGCGCCTTCAGGCAGCCGGGAAACCTGACACGTCACCGACTGACGCACACCACCGTAAAACCGTACGTGTGCGTGCAGTGCAACAAAGCCTTCAACCGTGCGTCTAACTTGCATACACATATGCGCACGCATACTAATTACAAGCCATTTGTGTGCGACTTCTGCGGAAAGGGATTCCATCAGAAAATTGACATGAAGATCCATCGCTACACTCACACGGGAGAGAAGCCCCACAAGTGCGACAAATGTGGGCGGGGCTTCAAGCAGTTGACACATTTGACGTACCATCTGAGAACCCATTCCGAGATGCGCATGTACCAGTGCGAGTATTGTGGAAAGGGTTTTAACCAGAAGGGAAACTTGCAGGCTCACATATATGGCCATACCGGTGAACGGCCTTTCAAATGCCAGGTCTGTGGGAAAGGATTTACACTGGCTTCCACTTTGAACACGCACAAGAGAACACACGCTCCAAAGAAACCTTTCCAATGTCAGTTTTGTAGTAAAGCATTTTATCAAAAGAACGCCCTAAAGACGCACTATATTGCATCGCATCCATATGCCAACGGAGTGAGCCTTCTTTAAAATAGCGTTTTAGAGACTCGAAGTGCTGTCGTTTCCAACATAAACTGATAGAATCAAATCATCGTTAAGTAATAACAAAACATAAATATATCATTAATTAGCAGTAAAAGCGCAGTTAAGATATAAAGCTAGTCTAATTTTAAGTTCAAGATTTAATGTCAGGCGTTTCTACTTCACAAGCAGAACGTCAAGTAAGTCATGGCACCAGTCCTGGTCACGAGTCTGACTTAGATTTGAGATACGCATGGACTTGAGCACCTTAGTGAATTAATCGGTATTTCGAGCGATTTGGTAAACGTGATGCTGTTTTTCTCTATTGTACAAATTAGTAGTAAGAAGAGCTTATTATTCCTTTAATCCTTAAGAGTGACTGGCTTCTAATTTCTCCTTACATTATCTTCCTTGAATCAAATACAAAGTTCATGAGAATAAAGATAATGATAACCAATTCCAGAAGCTGCTGATTGTCAACCAAATTCTCCTTTTCAGGATTAGAGGAAATGTAAAGAGAACACTGTGGAGAATATAAATACTTAGGTTAGGGTGTAAATGGTTAACGCGTTTCATGTATATTTAGGGGAACACGTTTTGCACAAGGAACATTTTTTGCGCATTAAGGCAATTTTTAACTCTATATTTACGAGAGAGTGCTAGCCATTGGGCCAATAAAGTAGATTAGTTTAAGTAATTCGACATCCTTTCACGCTTTATAAATCATCTCCACAACGAATGATGGAAATAAAATATTTGAACAGTTCTTCAGCTTCATTTTTTAGTTATATTGTGTACCTGGGCCCAGTTTTGAAATCTGCATAGTAATTGTTGGAAAAATTTCAAACAATTGAAAAACTTGGCTTGCTAATTTACATCACCGAAACCTTTATTTTGACGTTTTTTAACTATTGATTCACCTATCACAATGCAAAACGTTTTGGAAATGTTTCAAGTTCATTTGAACGAACATTGTAATTCGTTTTTTCTGTAACAGGTAGATTGCGGGTGTCGTTTACATATGTCTAATAAGCTCGCATTCGGTGAAAAAACTCAAGAATCAAAACAATTCTCAGAGGTGACTGCACGTCTATCTTCAGAAATTCGAGGAAATTAATTTGCAAGGAATAACGGGAGCTTGTGCTGTTTACTTCAAGTACAAACTGCAAGCAGAAAAATCGATTTTTCATGCCAAAACAAAAGGATCACAGCCAAGAAAACTGGGAAGAAGATGAGGAAATGGTGCTCAGAGCACAAAGAGGTGAACTATCGGTGGATTTCCTCATTTGTTGTTTCTTTTGGTGCTCCTGTATTTGGTGGGTCTAGAAACTGCAGGAATCAGAGAGCAGGGATATACAGAAAACACATCACCCACGATTTAACAAAGCACCTTTTGCAACATCACTCAGTGGGGATAAATGTACTCGTGCTAAAACCAAAAAGTTAATATCTCGTTGAATTCCGAATGTGGCAATTATTTGAGCTTTAGAACTGCATTTATAATGATACTTTATTTCGCTGCCCGTCTTTAAGCCGTTTTGGCAATAATGTAAACTGAAGAACTTTTGTTGCTTGATTGGAAGTGTTTTGTATTTCTTCTTCGTGAGATGTATTTACAATTGCTGATATATGTACTGCTGTTGTGGCTTCATACTTAGCGAATCACACTATTTTGAATAAAAAAAAGTAACAACATTATTTTCCATTAGCCTTACATGGACTGTAGATGACAGAACATTAGTTCATGTCGAAGAAGATATCGCTGAAATTTTTCGCCGAAATTTTTCACTTAAAAAAAGTCGGCAGATATGCAACACAATCCTGATTTGTTATTCAAAGTTAACACGAGCTGCTATAACCTTACTTTAAAAACGTACGCGAAATTAAAAAAAAACATGAATTTTATACATATATTTTGAGATATGAAAGTAAAAGCAGCGACCAAATACATTCTAATCACATTTTTTTGACGTACACGTTCTTTGATAGTGTAGTCTAATCGTCTGGGTGAGTGAATTCCTGAGAAAATTTCTCTGGTGTATTCCTCCAGATCCTACTGATCGCGCCTTCCCCCTTTCGTGCCTCCCTTGGTATTCACGCCCCGCAGGCATATGTAATCTAACGGGTGTTTTTTTTTTTCCCGTGAGTTGTTTATCAACAAATGAATGACATTTTTTCAAATGTCAACAGTTTTTAACTTTATTCAAAGCCTTTCTTTTATTTTGACGGATAGATTTTTATACCTTTGACTTTTTTTTCTTCCTGAGACAGCTGCGTTGTAGTGGAACTGGTATGAGCGAAAACACATGTACCTTAAGCGCATTTTGCACGCCATGTATTCCTACATTTTATAAATGCTGGGGGACTAGAGCGAGTCATACCCAGCATTAGCGCGGTATTTTAGCAAGATGGCGGGAGAATTGTAGTGGAGTGTATCATTATGCTTGGGTTTGTAGCAAATTGTTTCTTGAAAATGAATAGCCAGGAGAAATAAAGAAAATCTACGATTTAGGAATGGCGAATACTTCTAGTTCTATGAGCGAGAAACTCGCACCCATTATGGCGACATTAATCGCTAGACGAAATCCCGAAAGGTACGTGGAAATCGGTTTTTTTAATTTACCATGTTGATTTCATTATATGTAGCTACCGAACATCAGTATTCATATTCTTCACACTGATCTGTCTACATTTCCAGTGGTACTGACAAGGAGATTTTGCTTAAGAATCATAAGCTTATTCATCGGAGATCATTGCCTTTATCGTCATGGCCCTTACATTTGCAGAAATTAGATGCTTGTCACCCGCAGGGGTGGAAGGTTTAAGAACGTGACTTGGGAGATGATGTCGATTGATTTGAGGCTGACTGTCGAAGGTGCAGACACAAGAGTGTTGATGTAAAAAAATGGGGACATGGGATTGCAATGTTTTAACTTGTTACACAGTAATCCCGACGTTTGTAATAAAAACTGCGATTTAGTGAAGTAATCTTGCTGTATACATATCAAGTATTGATGAAGTTAAGTTTATATTTTGCTGACTCACGTGAGGTTTTTTTTCCCCTTTTTTCAATTCCATATTTATCCAGTCTTAGTACTCAAGAACACTATACTTCAGCAAACCAAATGAAGAAACTTCTGTGTGAGTTTGTGAATAGCATATTGACTGATCTTGATGCTGGTATGTACAATTTGTTAATTGGTGTAAACTTTTGCACTTTGATTAGTATTAGAGCTATAAGTAAGAGAGTCTATGAACTTAGCTCTAAAATGCGTCACATTTTTTGTTAGTCTTGGAAAAATACTTCAGTGGTTCGGCTTTTTTTTTCATCTTTTACACAGGCCATATTTGATCAATACTATGCTCAGATAGACCATGGGATGTATTTCTTATAGTACAGAAAAAGAAAGTGGAATAGTAGTGGAATTAAGAATCCCTTATTTACCGGTTTAACTTAAAAAGCAAGTGGAAATCTTGCTCATATCTTTAATTTTTCCTTACTTTTGTAGAGCTTGAAAAAATGCTACACAATTTACAATATATCCATGCAAATAAGGTGTATTGAAACTGATGTGGAAACTTGATGATTAATGGGGGAGGAGGAGAAAGGGGGGATGGGGGGAGGGGTTTTGAGCCAATATCCTATCTCCCACCTCCTACCACAGGAACTGGAATGGGCTATGAAAGCTGTCATTGCATTCAGTCTTTACCTTAATTTACTGTTGTTATGACCAGGACAATCACATTGGTTGCAAATATCTTTAATTTTTGTGTACTTAAATTTACAGTTGCTGTCCAGTTATCACGAAAGACTGGAGGTACACCTCATTCTGAGATCTTTTGGCAATTCTTGCATCATTGCCTGGATGCATTCCCAGAATGCTTTGTTAGTTTAGAACCCCAGAATACAAATGATGGAATACTTGCCATTGGAACATCCAGTTCACAGGGTAACAAGATCTGCAAATCAGGAAAAGGTAAACAGAAATTTAAAGATTTCATTATTAATTCTTACTTGATTTCTTTTACAAACCCCAGTTTAATAAAACTGTAGCCTTTATCAATGCAAACTCCTAGCAAACCTAACAATTTGTTTCCACACTACTGTTAGGAAAACATGAGATGATAAATTAATAAGGGAGTGGTGTAATCATTAGTTTTTCTACCAATGGTAGACCTTGGGTCAGCTGTGTCATTACACACAAGTCTCTCTACACTGATGCACAAGCAGATATAAAGTAGTAAAAAATGATATTTTTAAGAGTTTGCATCATGTTACTTACCTAAGTCTTCTTCTGACAGTTTTTACATCATGGATCCTCTCAAGAATTCTTTGTGTTCTTGCTGAGCCAGATTGCTCTCAGTTGCATGACAAATCTGTGTCTGCCATTCTGTCATTAATGCAGGTGAGTATGAGAAGTAACTGTTTGTCTAGTACATGTAGATGTCCTCTGTACCTAAATGCTTCATCACTGAACCACAAAGGATTTGATGGTGAGTTAGGCTGTTGCTAGGTTTTACGCTGGTCTATTTGCTCAAATCAGACCAGCTAATTCTAGTATTATTTGGGACACATGCCACACACAAACCTACACAAATAGTAATGGCCAAACTGACTGTAGAGTTCTCTAACATATATTATAAAATAAATTTTAGAAAATTGAAGTGCCAGAGGTCTGAGGTTTGAATCCATATATGGGAACTCTGTATTTTTCCTTTGTCTATAACTTGTGACAAACCAAATAATAAATCTCCTTATTCTACTAGCAAGCCAAAAATTCACTATCTTTCTAACTATATTGAAAGATAAACATTTATTTAATGATTGTTTACATTGTATAACTCTCAATAATGAGCTATGTGTATGACTGGCTCATTTTAAGTTATTGTGTTTACCATCACTGATCACCTCTATTTGTCTCCAACAGCTTGTGAAAGGAAAAGACCTTGTATATTACAACACATGTCTTACAGAATTTGTTTCACTTTGGGAGGGTAAGTAATAAAAAAGTCCAATGAAGATTGATTATCCAACAGCACTGTGTATCCAATGTCTTAATGTCCTGATAGTGGACTAACTTTTCAACTGTACACATGTTGGCTCTCTGACTGTGGATATATGAAAATCATATTAATATGTGAACTGTGGATTCTGAAATGAATTTGAAAGTGATCTTTGCAGTAGTGAACCCTATTTAAGCAGTAGTGAAAATAATGCCTGTTAACTCAGTTGATAGAGCACTGCACCAGTATGGCAGAGGTCATGGGATCAAATCTTGTACAGGCCTGAATTTTTTTTCAGGTTGTATTTTCACTTCTGCTTGATTAATAAGTGGTGTGCATTACTGCAAAGTTAATTTTCTTATTCATTTTTTGGCTCTCTGTTGGTCACACAGGTGGCTTACTAGCCTTGGACTTTTGACTAGTTAGTGACCAAGTATACACCAATTATTGACTGACCATTGAATGACTTATAGCTCAACCAACTGTCACTACATTGGCCAGTAAATCAAGTGAGACCACAAATTGTACACTTGATTTGATTGTTGGGAAGACCTGTACATTTACTAGCTAAGGGTAATACTTCCATTTTATGACTGATTGTTTATGATCATTTTATCAATTTCTCACTTCAGACCTTGTAATGATTGATGAAAAATTGTTTTCATCTGGCACCTGTCCTGTTGATGCTTTGCCTCTCTATCTTGGCCATTTTCAGTACACAGAAACCTGTGATAAAGAGGTATGGTTATTGTATTTGAGAGGTCCATCACATATTTCTAAGATCAAGAATGAAACAAGTGGTAATAAAGGGTTGTTAAATCTCAAACTAACCTGAGTAATTAAATGTAGTTCAGTTCAAACCTACATTGTACACTGATAATAATTGATAGTGACTGGTTATGAGCCTTTAAGCTGGGTTTTTTATTTTATTCACATTATCAGTTATCATTATCATTAACATCAACAGTTATCATTTCACATTTCCTCATCGCCTGAAGAAGACTAGCAGTATGCAGTCAAAATGTCACGATCTACATCACATGTGACTACATCGTGAGACAAATGAAAAACTTAGCTTTTATTGTTATTCACCACAATGAATAACCACAACCTTTTCCACAAAATTTTAAAATATGTTTATCTTTTTATAGGAGGAGCTCAACATGGTGAAGAAGTTCATTTGTATCAAGCATGCAGAAGATTGCCATACTTTACAAGAAGGAACAAGGTTTGTTGTTCACTGCAGATGTTAGTACAGTATATAGAGTTATAGTTTCGACTCAGTTAGAAGTAACAGTTTATGTGAACTTCTCATTAAGGCTCTGATCTTCCTATCAAAGAAACTGAGGTCAACTGAATGCATGTACTAATGAAATTTGATACTAATTTTTTTGACTAACATGATGGAGTTAAAATGCAGTTTTATATGGCTAGCTATAAAACCGATGTCAACAATCAACACATGTCAAATAAAGTAAGATTACAATTGACAAGAAAAAAAAGACAACAACAGATAACTTTATAAGATCACGCATGACCAGTTGACCTTGTTGCCTAAAGAAGACTAGCAGTATGCAGTCGAAACATCGTGATCTACATCACACATGACTACATCATGAGACAAATGAAAAACTTAGCTTTTACTGTTTAGCAAATAACAGTTCATTTTAGGGTTTTGTGGATTTCATGACACAAATTCTTTGAGAACATTTTTTTTTATTCCTATCTAAAACTAAAAATAATTTTTATTTCTTGATTCTTTTAGTAAAATTATCAGCCATTTGGTTTGTGATATGTACCAATATAATCACAGCAGTGTGACAAGTTTATGGACCATCTGCTGCCACCTTCTTCAGACTGGTCTATTTCGCATTAAGCAGGTTTGTTTCCATGAGTAATCATCTAAAATTAGAGTTCATTTTCCCATCCATCCTTTCTAGTAAAATAATTTGGGATCAATAACAATTTGCCAATTGATAACAACTTAGGGTTAATGTTGGATTAATATCCATAATTTGTGCATAGTATTAATAGGCTGCTACAATTCTTTTAAGACTTGACCAAAATTTGAAAGGTGTAAATTTTTTTTTCTTTTCTTTACAACAGTGTAGGCTACTGACAGTATACAATATATGATTTATTCATTAACTCTCTTGCAACACATTACTTACAATACCTTACTTACAATGCATTACTTACAATACACTACTTACAATGATCTGCTTACAATGAATTCCCCACAATTATTACCTACTTACAATGCTAACATTAATCAAATACTTTATTACTTAACATTACTAGCATCAAGTTCATAATTTTAATAATGTTAAAGAGTTGCTTGGCATACTTGAAAAATGTGGCAACAGAAAATTAATTGCTTAGCATCCATTACAAAATGTGATCAAATGTTGATTTAATACTTCTATTGTCCCATTACCTGTAGAAGATATCTTTTTCACCCTTTTTGTTGGCTGTTTGTTAATGTAGAGTTCTCAGGTATTTCATTTTGCTTAAGTGCCAGTCAATCTTTTTCATTCAGGCAGCACTAGATATAATAACAGGTCTGCTACCTTGGAGTGGACTTCCCAGTGTACCTCTTCTGGACAAGTTTGTCAAATGCCTTTGCTCTTTACTAGAGCTTTTGGTATCAGGAGTTGCCTCTAAAATTCCAGTAGATGGGCGGTAAATATGTTTTCATGTCTTGCTGAGTATTAATGGAGTTATAGACAGTTTTTATGTTGTAATAAAGGAATGTGGAAGCCCTCTTATTATTATCTTAGACCCTATTGCTGTATTTCTAGGTAAGCAGGTTTAAAAGAAGGAATGGAAATAATTATCTCAGGCTTATTTTATCCAAGGCTCTTTTAGGGTTAGCTTAGCAATTTTGGAAGTTAGTAAGGTAATGCACTGGAGGTCCTTTTCTTACCAAATATTGGGAAAGATTGACTGAAGATATCCATGAGGCTGCACTGGACTGCCACTCCATTCATAAGGGAATCTCCTACTTGCTGGAGAACCATGTATAGTCTTATGTAACCTTCTAAAACTGTATGCAGACTTAACTTTCCTTTCCCCTCTTAATGTCTACAGAGAAAAACTCACCACATTGGAGGTCAGTGTAGCTAAGTGCTTAGATGTCCTATCAACAGACCTTCCATCTGGGAAAAGAGATCCACTGCAGCTCACAGGCTCAACATCAGAAAGATCTCTCAATGCATTTCCTGCATGGCATGTGAAATATTTTCTTTTGAAGCTTAGAGGTGTTTTTCGTGGAGGTGGTCTGCAGAAATTTCTGACCAAAGAGTTAAAGGTGCAACACTTTTTTTTTTACATTTGCATGAATAGAACTAAGTCAGTTTCAAGCAGTGCCTGAGTACTGTTTGCAACAGTTGAGTGACTTTTCCTTCTTGCAGAAGTCACCTGCCATTGCAGTAGCTGCAACCCTTAACCAGTATGCAAACTATCAGGGCCCAGTTGTAAGGAGGGTGGATGATGCTATTCACTGGATAAATCTCTATCCAGTGGATAGTGCAGTGTGTTTAGTGAACACTTAGTTGTTGGATAGGTATTTGTCCATTAACTCTTTCACTCCAAGGATCTCATTAGTAATTCTCCTTACAGTCTGTTATACAATTCTTATGATGTTAGTTTGGAGAATTTGGTATTGTATCAACTAATAATTCCCTAATTGATATTTTTCTTTATTCTTATCACTAGTCTGCCTCACTAACATTAATAATGTAAGGAGAAATTCTGTCTTGGTCACTCATGGGAGTTAAATGGTTCACAATATCTTCCCTTTAAATTACTAGGCCCAGTTGCTTTGTCTTACACTTGCTAACTGTATGATTGTGTATATTTTCATGTTGTCAGGTGGCTGTATGTCAGTTCATTTCTGGCATTTACAAAGATGTGCCCACCAATGCTGGAAAGACTGGTCTTTTAACGCAACACCATGTCAGAGATGACATAAATAAGTGTATAGTTAGTTACCTTGGCACTGAACAACAGCAACAGGTAAGTGCTTTTATTTGGAAAAAGTTCTGGGGAGATGGACATGCACATTCAGCACCAAACATGTAAAAGTGTTTCTAAACTGCTAAGTTGTCACAGGAATATTTATAGAAATGCAGCTTTAAGCTGTAAATTAATTTTCTGCTCACAATCTAAGAGGTCTACATCTCTGGGGCTTGTTTTCATAGACAGGAGTGAGTAGGAACCTCTTTTTAGGGGGGTTTACCCTTTAACCCTTGTCGCGTAAAACTCTAGGTGGATATACTCCGACAACTTACTTCGACACTCCGATATGTGATACTACAGAGATTATGTAAGCAACAGGCTTTAAACATGATAGGCGGCTAATAACACGATCAAATACGCTCTGATAAATGATTAAAAGAATGAACAATGAAACGATAATAGAATTTAAACGATAGTAAATAATCACACAAAACAAAACAGTTCAGTTCATTTCAGTTCAGTTCGCTTGCTGAACGTTCGTCACAACCCTTAAGATCTGATTGTTAATTCTCCCCTCCAGCTGCTACTCCTACTTGTGAATTAGTCACAAGAATTTGGTGTTAGATCAAGATAGCAGCTTCTACCTGATACATTTGAGTATTCTCAATACCAGTTTGCTGGATAGTGGATGAATATTGTAGGGAGAAATTACATGTGAATCACTTCTGGGAGTCAAAAGGGTTAAGTCCATTTAGGTTACCCCCTTCAGCATTTTGTGGGTGGGGAGAAGAACTCATGTTGTGGAACTTTGGAACCAGGGGCCTTATGTTGTGTCTTTCTTAGAGACTCAACACAAGGATCCTGGCCAAGGTGTTTCTGTTCTTGAACCCAGAGAACTAATGACTATACTACCGCTTCACCTGCAGCTAAAGGGCATACTTGCATACTTGCATACTTGCATACTTGCATACTTGCATACTTGCATACTTGCATACTTGCATACTTTCTACTTAAAAAAAGGAAAAAAAACCATACATTTAAAGTGTACTCAAAGGGAAAAGAATTCATTATGATATTCTCATGATTAAGCCATCTAAGTCCAGCTTGCAACAACTTCATGAATAAATTTTCCATTCAGGAGAAATAGCATTGAGGGATGGATTGTTTTGTTATTATCTTGCTCCGTGTAATTCTTTCACAATACCTAATGATGAAGCTATAACTTTTTTTTTTTTTTTTTTGAGAAATGTCATGATTGCATTTTTTTCCTATAGTTCTTGGTTAAGTGCTTATTTGAGGCAGTGATTGCAGATAGGTGCAACAAGAAGGGCACAACTTGTGTCAAGGTAACTGAAAACAATTCTTGGATACACATGTACATGTTGGTCACATTTCTAAATGTCAGTCTATCTGGGAGAAGTGACCTAAGGTTTAAAGCCATAAACTATGGTTTGAAAGAAATTAAAGTATACAACACCAAAACCATTTTGACTAGTAATATGGGCATGTCATTGCTATAATGTCTATGGTGTCATCTCCCTCACCCATTTGTTCTTCGTTTCTTTTATTCATCATCTTTGTCTCCTTTGCCAACTTTTTGTTGCGTCTCCACCTCCGTCTTTCCTGTTGTGCCAGTCTTCACTTCCGTCTTCTTCGATGCCTTTTAAAATCTCAGTCTTCAGCCATCCCTTTTCTTAAAGTGTGAACAAGGAGTATTTATTCCCTGTAGCCAATGTTTTCTTTTTTGTCTTTTAGTCTGATGCCTCAGGAACAGATGAGGTCTCAAGTGAAGAAACAATGGAGAGGTTTGTGACAACGTTTAATCATTAATATCTACCTTTATCATAATTATAGCTTGGGTCGTCCGTGGTTAGTATGAAGCGAATCCCGTCGTATCATTGGCTACCTGAGCAGGCAAGACATCCCCTCTTGCCTGCTAGCGCAAGAAAAAAAATTAGTCTGGAGCGGACTTAAAAAGTTCGTAAGTTTTGAACAATGTAGGTGATGAAGTTCCTAAAAGCAGCAGGAGTCATTCAAAACAAGTAAAAAACATAAACGATTCTCGTGGGTTTAGTATGCCACAAAAACAGGTGGATTTCTTTCCCGGCTCTCGAATTCTTGATTCTAATTAAAGTGAAATAATTATGCTATATGATACAACCGTTATTGACCAAGTTTGATCGTTAAAAACTTCTGGATATTACCCTCGTTTCCTTTTGGTGTTTTTATGGCCTTTGACTTCGTCTCGGTGCTTAAAAACGACCGCGGTCAATATTCAGTCATCTTCACCTTATGCATGCTTAGTAACGCAAACTGTACCTAACTGTCCAGTGGTGATTTTGTAATAATTTGGGTGCAGTTCAGTGGCTTTAAGTATTCTTGGCACAGTTTATAAATAGTTTTGTAAATGCTTTCTCTCTTGCACAGTAAGACTAGCTCATCAAAGAAAAGAAAAATGACCACCAATTTACAGCCTTCTCTGCCAAGCAAAAAGAAAACGAATGACTCAAGTTCAGGAACAATGAGAAGACTTCTTGAAAGAATCAAAGCACTTAACATGTCTATAATACGTAAGGGAGATGAAAAGTTGCCTAATTTGGTAAGTGCGAATTCATTTGCTTTTTGTTTTGCGTGGGATTGGCTTGTGGGGGAGGGGGGTGGGTGTTAGGGCGGAGTCAGAGGCAGAGGATTCTACTAAAAATTGCAAACGTATCTGCTATACTACAGCGCTGGTCTTACTTTATTTCGAGTGGAAACTAAACTACTGAAACTGTTTGAAAAAAAATCTTTCTCGACCCTAATTTGTTTGTGTACATTTTTATCGTAAGGATGAGTTCGCCTGTGAGCTGGAAGGCGTCAGAGTCACTGTGGAAGTGATGGTTCACCTTTGTAGTCAGCAAACAAGGAACCTCGGCGCGGAAAATCCAAGTGACTTAAGTGAGATTAAAGGTGATCTTGTGAAGCACAGTATATGGCAATTTAGGAAATTAACAAAAGTATCATTCACTTTTGAAAAGTACTAATCTCGTACTTTTCATTTACCATTATTGTATCTAAATCAATGTCTCTAAAGGTTTTCATTCATTTTAAACTTGAAAATACATTTTAAAACTTGAAAAGGCACTTGCAAGATTATTTAGTGCGGGAAAGATATCTGATGACTGGCACTGAAAGTCGCAGCCTGTTGGTCTCCAGCTATTAACCTTTTGACCCTTAAGAGTGACTTGCATCTAATTTCTCCTTACAATATCACCCCTGAATCATACATTAAGGTCATGAGAATAACGGAAATGATCCCTAACTGTAAAGCGCCTTTGATCATATAAATGTCCTAACAGCACCTATAGAAATGTATAAAGAACAGTATTAAATTATTATTATTACATTAACTTGTTTAACACTTGAAAAGGCACATCAAATGAATGGGATCTGTGTCTGGAAGAGATCGGTCATAGGTTACTATTTACTCACCAATGTGACAAAAAGAATAAAGTACAGTCATGGAAAACATGACTAACATGTGCATTTGTACTATTTGTCAAATCTGCCCCCTAAGAGTGACTAACATCTAGATAACGTCAAAGTGTATAATAACAAAAAAGTGGCACACACATCAAGGTATCAGAATAACGCACATTTTGACGTCTTCTGAACAGACGCACTGTAACATAAAATCTATATGTTTTATACGGTAAAGAAGCAAAAAATAGGCCATTTTACAGTTGTGTGCCTAGTTGCCAAGCCTTTGATTTGGAGTGAGGCTGAAGGTGACCTTGTTGTGATAGAGACCAGTATCTAATTAGCATGATAACAAAGTAATTTCCATTTGAAAAGCAGCAAGGTTTGTATCATAACAAGGTCAACCTTAGCCTCAATCCTGTTCAAAGGCTCTTCATCCAAGCGCACAACTGTACAGCGGAGTATTGTTATGGGTTGACGTCATTTATACGACCCCCCTCTAGTAGATCATGAGTGAGAACCCCTCAAAATTCGTACGTGATTAGTTAACCATTTCACTCCCAAGATCTCATTCGTAACTCTCCTTACCGTCTGCCATACAGTTCTTGTGATGTTAGTTCAGAGAATTTGGTATTGGATCAACTAATAGTCCCTTGACTGACATATTTCTTTATTCTCGTCACTTGTATACTTAATATTGTATTGATATTGTAAGGATAAATTATGTCTTGGTCACTCGTGGGAGTTAAAGGGTTAAGCCTGTCACAGAGATCATGCTAGATGTTGGAGGTACGTTGTTCTGTAGAGAAGGGTGTGAAATTTAGAAATCAGTATCATTCTTTCTCTCGAACACTGTAACGAAAAATTGCGCCGTGTCTTCTGATTTGCGTTGTTGTTTTTGTGCTTCTGGAACATTCGTATTAGTTGTTATTAGTCTGAGCCTTTTTCAGTAGGCGTAGGCAATTATTATTCTTGGTATTTGCAGCGATATTGTTGTAATCCCTTGAGCTGTAGTTTCGTTATTTTATTGTTCAGGTCTCCCTTGTTTTGTAAATAGTTTTCGTGTTTGTCACCTATTATGTTTAAATATGTAGACTTTTCTACTTCTGGTGTTCACTATGATTCATGTTGTTGGATGTCAAGATGTAATGTCGCTGTTATGATGTTAAACTTGTTTTTACCGCAAATTCTGAGCAAAGTCGCCTTCATCGAAACATCGAACATGTAACAAACACAGAGCTGACACAAAACATCCTTAAACCATGATACACACCGTCCTCAACGGAATATGGTAGCTGAATTACAGATAATTACATAAATAGATACATAAGACAACTTTGATTTCCGTTTGAATTGAAACTTAGTTTTTCTTTTTTAGAGTTTTTTACAAGCTTGGATCTCGGCCACCTTTTCTCCATGTTTAAAATATCTCTTCAAATCATTGTCCAGACTGCAGAGCTGTCACCGCACGACACAGGGAAATTTGATATCCTTGATTCGTCTTTTAGAAAACTTGTACAGCTCTGCGGAGCATTGTACAGCATATCAGATGTCATTCACATCCCTCTGGCATTATGCCAGTTCTTTATATTTCTGGTATCCATTCCTTGGCTGTCAAAGAGTGATCCTCCGTGGGTCGATCTTCCGCATGGGTTTGGTCTCTCGCTGGACGGCATGGTCAGAGTCGGGAGGTCACTTGATCCTGTGATTGACAGAGACAGTAGGGTCGATTGTCTTCATTTAATGGCAGTTCTGGATGCAGCGCCAACCTGGAGAATGCAAGTGCTTCTTCTAGTTCTTGTAAGGGGCATTTCTTTCAAAGTTTTCGTGCGTGAATGATATTATTAAGTGATAGCACTTATTTGTTTGAGGTTCAAAGGAAAGTTTTTAAATGAATGTGTAATGTTCAGGTGGCTCCGACAGGTGTCGCCTCCGTTTGGTTGGAGTGGCAGACTTGCGTCACTCTCACGGCAAATTACAAGTTAGCATGAGAGTAATTATGATTTGCGCGCTGGTATTTATCGACGCTTAAGGTCTTCTACGTCTTCTCACCTTGGCCTTCCGTTGGTGCCTTTAGATCCTGGCAGTAGCTTTCATTAGGATAGGCCTTAATAATGGTGATTTGTGTCTTTTGAAAAGATTCTCGTTACTTTTTACTCACATTGTTTTCCCTTACAAAACAGTAATACATTGCACGCTACAATTTATTTTCTAATGAAAGAAATTTCAATTGACCTGCGGATGAAAACTAAGCAAAGAAATCATAATCGCAATTCCTTTGCTTGATTTTTATCTGCAGCTCAATTGAAATTTATTTTAATCAAAATTGCGATCAGATCCCTTTATGGGAAAGATGAGCCCTCGAAAATTTGCCTCCCTTCCATCGTGTGGCTTTGCAGCTCAGTTGATGGTAAGCCCAATCCCGTCGAACCATGAATTTTTTAGGCTTCTTTTTCTACAATTACTTAAGTGCAGTCCACCTGCTAGGATCATTTCTTTGCTTGAAATTCAACATTGCTGTCATTTATTCTTTTACACAGAAAGATACAAGTGACATGAAGATTGTGGCTCTCAAGTATTTACCTCTGTTGCTGTCCTCTCTTGGCTCCTACTCTTTCCACTTGATCAATAATATTCTTCCTGGGCTCCTCTCCTGCGGTGAAGGTGTCCAAGTAGAAATTGCCAAAACTATTGGCTCATTAGCCTGCGTGCTTACAGAGAATACAGTAATAAAGAAGTTGAGGAACGAACTGCCTTTTCATAAGTCCATCTCCAGCAGCATCACATTTCTTTGCCCTGATTGTGATTCTGTTATTCAAAACAAAGCAGGTAACAAATTGAAATGGTTTTTGGTATAACGAAATAGTTAATGCTGTAAAGAAAACTCATGACTTAAACGACTTAAGACTTAAGAAAGCTGCTTTTCTGACTCAGAACAGACTCTTTTCAACAGATTTCAAGCATTTTTATGCCTTAACCTCTATGCAGAACCAACTTCTTGACATCAAGAACAACGGTAACCAACGAACCGAACGAGGAATCTTGACCAATCAAACTGACCAATGAGTTGAAAGAATGCTCTTTAGTGTATCTCCAAGGCAGAAGGGGCCAATCAGTTTTTAACGAATTGGATCTATAATATTTAACTAAATAATGACATTTACATGTCATTTGACTGGGAAGGGACATGTGATTATGCTGTGCAGTAATGTAATTTTGCCACCGCGAGCCCTTTGTTCTGACGAAGGGTTCACGCTCGAAACGTCAGCTTTATATTCTTTACAGTGGCCAAGTTACATTATCAACTCAGTCGACAAAACCAAATTATCATGTAACATCCACACTGACGTAGCACAGAAGTTTCTCTAGAAACTTACCCTTTTATTCCTTTCTAGATGACATGGAGGGAACTAATCCTCATGCCATAGTAAATGCAGCAAACTTCATTCCTTACCTTCAACTTATCTCTCCTGAAGCAAGCTCTTCCGTCAAGTGCGCTTTCATTAAGAGCATGAAAAGAATGTTTACACACATGGCTGTGGCACCTGATAATGAAGCTCAAAGATCTATAGTTAGTGCAACGTGCTTTGATCTTATCGAGGACCCCGATTTTGAGGTCAGGATGCAGTTCAGGTCAGTGATAGAAACCTGTAAGCTTAACTGATGGGAGATGTGGTGGCTAAATGGCATACGCGGTGAACTTCAGATTAAACAAATGAATAAAGGGGCTAAGTTTCTAAAGAAACTGTGGTGTTGCGTTGGTGGAAGAGTATAACAGGGTAACTACAACTACTCGTTTCAGTAGTGTTCTTAGCTGCGAGGATCTCTTAATTTCATCTCTTCACCGCAGTGCAAATATATGAATTTCATATATCTAAAATCATAATTCATTACTTGGATGGTTTATTTGGACCCAACACATTGACCAGCTCCTAGTTGGCTTGTTAGCTCAGTTGGTCAGGTAGAGCGCTGCACCGGTATCGCAGAGGTCATGGGTTCAAATCCCGTACGGGCCTGAATTTTTTTCAGGTCCTATTTTCAACTACTCGTTTGAGTAGTGTTCTTAGCTGCGAGAATTTTTTTCAGGTCCTATTTTCAACTAAAATAGAACTCGTTTGAGTAGTGTTCTTAGCTGCGAGGATCTCTTAATTTCATCTCTTCACCGCAGTGCAAATATATGAATTTCATATATCTAAAATCATCATTCAGGGTAATTTGGTATTATCAACTGAGTTGATAACGTAAATTGGCCACCGTAAAGAGTTCAAACGCTGACGTTTTTAACGTTAGCCCTTCGTCCATTGCTCCGAGGAAGTGCTAACGCCTGAAACATCAGCTTTTAAACTCTTTACGGTGGCCAAGTTACATTATGAACTCAGGTGATAATACCAAATAATCTTGTTCAGATTAAACAATCTCGACTTGTAAAATGTTCTTTACATTTGAAATGTTGGTGGCTACCAACGTCAACGAAGTGGTCAAATGCCTGCGGATGCGCGACGGTTGTATTTGCAAGGAGGTGTACTCTCACATAGACAGTCAGAGCACATTTGTCTCTCAGGAGTGATAAACAGCCGCACAAGACAATGATCACGTTGTTTTAAAACAGTATAACTTTTTTGATAGTGCTCAAAACGAGTGAGAAAATCAACAGGATGGCATTAATTAAAGAACTTTTGAGTTCGACAAGTGTCGAGGTTTATTTTCGTATTTTTACTTAATTTTACAGTTATCTTTTGAATTTTTTTCTTATGAAATTTGCGCGGGGAATTGGCGCACGATCGGCCAAAATCAATCCAGCCGCGCATGCCCGACATTTGGCCGCTGAGTTACTTGCGTCTAATAGGCTCTTACCTTATTGTTATAGAAACAGGAATAATCGGTATTAATGCACTATCGATCACTATACCTGTGTAAGACTGTAAACATTGAAATTCAATATACTCGACAGTTGCAAATAGTTTTCTTGATGTTTGACAGCAACGTCGTCCCTTATGTTGTTAAACCTGGAGGAGCCGATTCAGATGAGAGCACGCAACAAAATGTCATTTCCAAGCTGAAAAAAGTGTTCCTTGAAGCGTCCTCGCAAGGCAACTGCAAACTGCAGGAGACGGTAGTTTTAACAATTGGTCAACTGGGAAAAGTTGCCGAAGGGGAGCTATTGCTTGTTGTTATTGTGAGTTTGCTAGAGAGCCTGACTGCGCACTCTCAGCTTATTAGAGCTGCAGCTTTCAAACAGGTATGTATACGAACAAAGGGGGTAAGTTTGTAAATAAAATTTTGTATTGCGTCGTTAGGGTATAACAAGACCATTTGGTTTTATCACATGAGAGGGTAATGTAAATTGGTCACCGTAAAGATTTTCGAAAGTTAGCCCTTTGTTAGGGCAAATGATGAAGGGCGAACACTCGAAACGTCAGGTATGGATTCGCTTCTTTGGATGTTGTGTTCATCCAAAAATCTGCAACTGCGAACCCATTTTGGATAATTCTATTAGTTACTTTGGTTTTATTGTTAAGTTAATGTGGTTTTCTTCAGGAGAAGAGACATTTAGTGCGTTTGTACAGGTAAATCTTTTCGTAACTTTGCTACAGCAAAGCTCATGTCTCTATTCGGCGTCTACTTAATGAAGAAACTTTGTAGCCTGTACTATAAGATGATTGATCCTGAGGATCGATTCCTCACGGGGACTTCAATGTCTTTCTTTGTCTCACGCTCTTGATAAGTCGAATAAACGTTTTCTCAGGCTCAAGGATAACGCCTTGTTAACGTCTTTTGTAAATCCTAAATTTGCTAAAAAGGAAGATTGTAGCCTCCAAGTGGTCGCGATAGAACACTGTCTAATTAGAGAATTTCGTATTAATTGTAATTCACTCATGGTTAATGACTATGATTGTTGTTTCTTCTAGAAGACAAGCACAGTTCAATGAGCATTTCCAACGTTACGCTCAAAATTAACCCTGGCCTTTTTGTGTTTCTATAAGGTCCAAGAGGTGGCCAGGTTTCAGGGCAAACAACTCAAGGATTTGTTTGCTGGATTCAAGCAACCGATTTGTAAATTTGTGGTAGATGCAATGGATGAAATACAAAGCTTGAATCCCTCTTCTAAAGTTTCTTTGGATGTTGTCTCAGAAGTTGCCAGTGTGTTTGAGTTTAGGGATGTCCATTCATTTCTAAAGGTAATACAAACATCTCACGCTAGAGCGCTCTTCGACTGAGTGTTGTAAAACCGAAACCAGAGTTATCGCAACGACCAATCAGAATAAGGGAAAATACCCATAAGAACCAATGAAAATTCAAATTAAAACCATGCAAACTGCCCAAAGCGCGGGAAAATGCGGGCGACCAAGGCGTGATTGGTTTTCGTTTGCATCTGTTTGGTTACGAGAGTAGCGCAAGTTTTCTGGACCAATCACAGAGCGGAGTAAATTAAAACCCCACGCAATTCCGGATTACTTTTGACACTTAATTGAAAATTGCTCTATCATGACCAAGTGCGAGAATTGTGGTTTTATTTTTCTTTTTTTTTTTTGTCTAACTTTCATTATTTGGGATCTATTCTCCATTTTTTACAAGGCTTAGAAAATATTCTCTTACTTACTATTGTCCTTTACACTTAAAATGATTCACTGAGTTATGCACACATTTTGATTGGTTCTTCCCTATAATCTATTGGAGGACAGACACATAGATGACGTCACCTTAACCTTTTACATCTAACATCAGTATGTATATTCTCCATACTTTTCTCAATACATTTCCTAAGGTGCTGACAAGGAGAATTTGTTTAAAAATCAAGAGCTTATTTGGCTGGTGACCGTTTTCTTTATTCTCATGACCTTAATGTGGGATTCAGGGGCGATATTGTAAGGAGAAATTAGATGCTAGTCACTCTTAGCGGTCAAAGAGTTAAATAAAATATATTGCTTCTTTATTGTATAAAATAACTAGATTCTATGTTGCTGTGGGTTTGTTCTATAATAGATGGCAGAAAACGTCAAATTATGGCAAGAACATCAGCGACTCACTCAGCTGCGCCTCATGTGCAACTTTTCTGTCCTTACCATGTTTTTACGTTGTCTGTGATTTATTACAGAACGGACGCATGGCAACATGGAATCGATTTATTCAATACTGCATTTCTAAATTTCTCTGTCCTACAGAATACACTGCGTTTTGTAATCCCCTACTTGGTCAAGAAAGCATCGCCTTCCTCATCGGCAATCTTAAGACATATTGCTAAAGAGCTGAAGATGAACAGAAGGGAGATGCTGTTGGAGAATTTCAAGTTTATTTTTTCTTTCCTTGTGAGAACATGTTCAGCATCTGAGCTAGAGAAAGCTCTGGGTTATGTACAGGTAAGTCAGTGTAGTATACATTTGGGGACCTACAACTGGGTGCAAGCGAACAAATTTTTTGATAAAGCTTGGAACAAAATGACGAATCAATAGGATATTCGTACTAAATGAGCTTTATGTCCGTCAGGTCTCGAGTTTCCTTTTCCTAACTTTATAGTTGATGTCAGGGGATTTAAAAAAAGAGGCCTAAGAGAGGCCTAAAAAAGGTCTCGAGTTTCCTTTTCCTAACTTTATAGTTGATGTCAGGAGATTTAAAAAAAGAGGCCTAAAAGAGGCCTAACAAGGGCACTAAGTAGCACTCTCACTACACTTTAGGATTGTCATTAGATCATGATAGGCTAATACCAATAGCTCATCGCTACGTCAGTCATAGTCACAAATCGTGGGGTCGGTTACTTGCTACACACTGATTTTAGAGGTAGGGAAGGTGTTTTTGGGAGTACCGATTTGAATGGGTTCAGAAACGACAAATCTACGGAACTGCTCAACCAAATATTATTATCCATTAAAAGGTGGGAGGTTTTATCAGAGCTCATTGACTCCCCGATCGACCTATAAACTTCTTGCAACTGGGAGCTCTTATCAGAGCAGCGCCATCTTTATGTCGTTGTTTCCAAAACCTGTGGAGTTGAACTCTGTTTCTTAAGTCTGCTGAACAGGACAGGAAAGTTTTTCGATGTATCACTTCGCAGAAGGTACTTATCTCTCCTCTTTTCTGTGGTAGATTCCTCACAGATTGTGTGTGCGGATATTACGTTGTTACTTTCCATTGCAAACTACATTAAAATCTTATGTGGTATTACTCCGCAAAGAGAAAGCATTGGGACCGGGTTCTGTGAATATATCTTCTTCCCTACTCTCTTGAAATTTCTGGGCTATTGCAGCTAGAAAGCTGTACTCAATATGAAATCCTCTAAAGAAATCATAACTTTCTCTCACCCTTCAGGGTGTCCTCTGAATTTCATTTGCCTTTGTATACAAATCAAGACCAATGGTAAGGTATTTTTCGAGTGAACAGCTTTTTTTTTGCTATATTTTACAAAATCTCGATTTTACTTGGTTTCCATTGCAACCTTTGCCATAGTAACGGTCAACCAACCAAAGTTACATCACCTTCCCAATTTTTTTTTAATTTGGTTGAGTAGTTCCGGATGTATTACTGAAAAGTTATTGAAAACTTAACTATTAGCCGCCCCTAATAGCAGGTCACTGACCCACAATTTGTGTCTACAACGAACGTAACGATGATCTCTCGGTATAGTGCTATGATAATCTGAGGTCAGACCTTTTGTGTTTTGGAGCCTCTACGAGGTCGACTTTTGCCGGCTTTTCCTTCACTATTACATGTAGTTCACTTCTAAAGATTTCTATGAAACTTACCATATCTTGATTGCGTGATAGTTGTTTCTAAAGTTTTTCCTTTGGATTTTCTGGGCGCGCCTGGCCAAAAATACTTTACTTGCACATGACCGATGTTTGATCATTACGTTCGAAAGACCAGCATGCAATTCAGGAAAATCAGCAATACCTCCGGTCGCTTCATGCAATAGAAACCGAGATAAGCTCGGGCAGTAATGCAAGTCATTCTCTAAAGCAGACTGACCTTGCTGGTACAGGATATGTTTTGTTATGCGTTGTTTATTTCAGAAAGAGACGGATGTAGAGCTTGGTAGCCTATTGAGATCGGAGGCCCAGAGTGTTTATAATCAGCTTTTACTGTATCTAAGTGTTAGCTACAGCAAGGTGTTTAGTGGACTGGCAATGCTGGCCTCGAAGGATGACACTTACTCTGGGCCAAAGGACCTTAAAACTGATCAACATCTGGTAGGGGCTTTACTATCTAAGTGTTGTTGAAGCCAAACCACAATTCATCGTTTATATAAAATAATGCTAAGAGAAAGTCAGGCTACGATCTTCAATCGGCAAAAGTGTAAGACCACTCTTGCTTTTTTTGCTATTAGCAACAACAACTTCTTCAATCTCCTCCCTTCCCCATACCAACAGGGAAATAAAGGAAAATATTACGGCGACGGCAAATAAAAGATCTAATGGTCAGAACAATAGCTCAGCACGTGCGTTTAAAGCTGTGTTCATTTTTAGCTGTCCAATGCAAAACAACAGCGTGAAATCACCAAAATTTGCGTGGTCTGAAAACAGAAACCCCGAAGATAAATTATTTAATTTTCCATTTGGATCTCAACGCTTGCTGTTCACACACGTTATACTAAAGTTAAGATGTGGTGCCGTAAGAAACAGCCATTGGCGTAGTTCTAACTTAAAATATAAATTCATTTTTTATTTGACGTCTTCCTCGCCGTTGCCAACCTGATTGCCCAAGGTCCCTAACCTGGCTTAAAGGGAATTCCAATAGAGTATACTGGGATTTTATCATTTATCTGTACGTCGCAGTGTGATTAGTCCAGAAACTTGCGACTCTCTTTCGACCAAGTAAATGTAAGACTTAAACTATTCGTGACCTGGTCACCCGTGTTTTTCCGACCTTCAAGCAAATTACTTTTACATACTCGGTGGGCGTGTCCGAAAACTTAGACGGTAGACGATAGACGATAGACGATAGACGATAGACGATAGACGATAGACGATAGACGATAGACGATAGACGATAGACGATAGACGATAGACGATAGACGATAGACGATAGACGATAGACGATAGACGATAGACGATAGACGACAGACGGTAGACTGTAGACGATAGACGATGGATTGTGTGACAGAACATAAACACGAAATTCAAAATTGTCACGCAATCTCTTAGCTCCTCTTCCTTGTCCTATTTTTCTTCGCTCTTATCTAGATGTTCAGAAAGGTGCTTTCGCAATCAGAAGAAAAATAAAAGAAAAATTTTATTTTCCTCATTTTTCCATAACAATATTTGACCGTACTATGAATCTTGACGTTTTAACCAAAATTAATAGTTTGTGTGCAGAATAACACCTACATTTTCTTCCTCTAGGCTAATTTTCTGCAATCTAGACTGCTGGGTATCCTGGCCTTCTACAACACTGTACTTCTAACAAACACTGATCTGGAAGAGAAGAGATTAGCTCTACAGAGTCTCACCAAACTGATGCAAGTGATGGGGCGGAAGTACATCACTTACGTACGAGTGAAAGTCATGGGTATCCTGCGGTTGTGTCTGAGATTCCAGGATGAAGGCTTTCCTGAGCTATCGTGTGATGCATGGGAGAACTTTGTGCGGAATGTTGAACTCTCAAATCTTGGGCCCATGCTGAGCCAGATCATTGTGACCCTTTTACCATATCTGAACAAGCTTCCAGCAAGAGTTACACAGATTTTCCACTTTCTGATTGTTGAGAACAAAGCTGCTCTACAAGGTTATTTTCATGAGATCTATTTTCTACCCGATATTCCCGAACTACGCCGAGTCAGTGCAGTGCTGAGGACGTGTAGTGGGAATGCTGCCAAAAAAATGGACCTGCGAGCTCAGTTGAGACAATCCCTGAAAGGAATATCTCATGAAAGCGTTGATGTGCAAAGGCATGCATTGTCAAAACTCAAACAGCTGCTTCATGATAACCAGGTAAATTTTGCTTTTCAGGCTTTTCCCATCCAGATCGTCGCATCTAAAGCCTTCAATATTGATCTTACACCGCTAAACAAACCCTCAGTTGCTCATCCCATCGGCTCTCTTTCTTAAACTTCTGAGAAACCCGTGGAACCCATGGAATACATGGTATACGTTTTTTTAAATTAATTCCAGAAAAAAAGTTTGATCAATATTAGTATCTGAGTGATTGGGCACCTACTCCACCCCTAACCCAACAACAGTCTACTGATAACAATTAGGGGTTGATGGTGGGTCAGGGGAGGGGTAGGTGCGTAGTTGCTCGGACATTGACATTGACCGAAAAAGTGCAACCTTTTTTTTTTTTATCTATTGCTCAGGTGTTTGATGCGCCGTATTTTTGCCAACCCGTTTTACAAAAATTCAGCCACAGCTGTGTACTTACATGTGTGTTCATACATGAATTTGTCCATGGTGTTCTTTACCTTTTTCCAGGCCACCTTACATGGTTATGTCCTGAGTAATGAAACCGTCGATCCCATCATTCCGCAGCTAATTAGTGTGGTAAGAAACGATAGCTTGTTGACAATCCCTACAACTCCTGTTTGTAGTTTTAACCGGATATAAAAAATGACTAACATCGCATATGATAAGAGTTTTAATTACCATGGTATAACTGTTGATTTGGACATTTTTCAAAATGCCCATTTTTTTCCAAGTGAGTCTTAAGTATTTTTGTCAAAGATGTGACTTTTAGCTGTACGACCGGTCTTGATTTTTATTCATAATCAGGCGACAAAATACACAATGAAACATAGAATTATGGGTTAGTTCTTGATTATCTGAGCTCAAATGATGTGTGTAATTTGCATCATTAATTCCCATGGCTGACCAAGAAATAATTCCTCCTAACAAAATCAATACAATAACAAACAGACAAGTGATGGGAATATAGAAAATTATCAGTTGGGGGATAATCAGTTCATACAATAAAAAGTTATCCGAACTAATATCAGAAGAATTGTATGGCAGACAGTAAGGAAAATTACTAATGAGATCTTGAGAGTAAAAGGGTTAAACATGACGTAGAAACTGAACAACATCTTGTATGACAAAGAAATTATGATTATGAACAGCTCATGTCCAGTTGCCGTGTGACTGATGCTGAAGTGAAAATTCTTGTCGCTGAATGTCTCGGTGAGCTGGGGGCTGTCGATCCTGGCAGGTTAGTTTACATTTGATCTTGTTTGTGTGTCTTTCTTCCCAAGCTAGTTACATTACTTCATACGTATGTGCTTAGATCTGCCACAGAACAGTACGCCCCAGTTGTTCGAAGATTGGATAATGTTTTCCAACGGATAAATTGCTATCCAGTGGATACGTGTTAACAACATGTTCTGTGCTATCCATTGGATAGAGATAACGTTATCCACTTTTCGAACAACCAGGGTGGTTACTAAACCAGAATTGATTAGTTTTAGTGTATGTGGTGGTTTTAATGGTGTGGCATGATGTGAAAAAGAATCCCTTAAATAGACACACACCTCGCTATCATTAAGACGGTGTTCTTATGTGTGCATTCTGTGGGAACTCTACTCACCGAAAATCCCAAGATCAAGCTTTGTAACCTTCAACATTCTTGTTTCGTCTAATTTATCGCTGGTTTTCAGTTTATTAAAATAGTACTTTAAGCATTGCTATTAAAAGATAGCAATTGCTTTCCTATGTCAAACTGATGAACGACAAAGTGCTTGTTTTTTACGCCATGATTAAGATGATTAAGTTAATGTATTTTGTTGTTAGACTGGATAAGCTTACGCACGATCCTGTGGATGAACAAACAGTTTTTGAGGTAAAATACATTTGCTGTATGTCCGTTTGTAGATAGTGCTCCTCAAGTACTCAGAGACACACATTGCATGATTATTGTATTATGGAATTATTGTATTGTGGTCAGGAGCGGTGGCTCTGTTTGAAAGGTAATGTTTCCTCAGTCAGTGACACGAGATTGAGCGCTAAATTTACCTTGTCCAGTAAACGTCCGGCACAGTATTCTATCACACAACGAATTAACGAATTATACTCTGCCGAATTAAAATATGGAAATAATTGTTGATCGGCGGAAGCTGGAACAGCTTGGCTTAGCGGTGATGAATTTAGCGTTACGGCCCAAACGCCGTGGGAGGGAGAAGGGAGGACTTTTCTTTTCTTTGCGTTCCTCTGGAAAAACTGAGTGGGAATGAAGTGAACGAATTTTCTTGGTATTATATTGAGCTCTAACGTAAGCAGTGCGAGGAATGATCACCAAGCCGATAAAACTTAGTTGTTATTGCGTAATTTAACTTTGCATATCATTATGAGCGTTGAGAATAGGGACAGAATTTGAGGTTAAAGCTTTGTTTTCTTAGAAATGATATTTTTGATTATTACTGCCTCAGGTATACTTGGACAGAGGCATACTCAGAATAAAATACCACTGTTTAGCTAGTTCCTTCAGTATTTATGTAAAATTGAAGTTTTTTCTATCACTACATCTGTTTACAGAGCGGTTGTGATGATAAGGAGTTTGCTGTTGAGCTTATTAATAAGCTGGTACAGGCCTTCTTAGCAGCTCATGATACAAGAGCACAGGTAAGAGGAGGCAACAGGAATTACCAAGAACAATTTGTGATTGCGTTGCTTTTTCTTCATTTTTTCCAGTGATTAGTTAAGACCACCTGGGTCATCTTTTTTACCCCAGCAATTTTCAATTGAGTGTCGAAAATAATCCGGAATTGCTTTGATTTTGCTTTTACTTCGCTCTTTCAGTGGTCTAGAAAACCTTCATGCCACGAATCAGATGCAAAACGATCATGACTTGGCCGTCCGCGTTTTCCCGCGCTTTAGGCAGTTTGGTTGTTCCTTATCGGCTAAAGTAATCGCATGATTAATTTTATGTCCTCAGTCCTGAGAGAAACTATAAGCGTTTCCACTGTTTTTTGTGATGTTCTTGTATTAACACTTTAATCAAAAATTCGTTTGATTGTTTTAATGCACGTGCGTTGTGCATTTTTGTTACCAGGACTGCTCTGCCTATGCTATTCAAGAAGTTCTGTTAACGTATGGCTGTAGTGAATCAAAGAAGGACGGGTGAGTGTTGTTAAATTTTACATAGCCCACCCTTCTGTATCGTTCTTTAACAATCGCTTTCAGCCCAAACGACAAGACTTTAATGAGATACAGGTAAATGTTGGTTATATGAATTGGTCTAAATTTTTTCAGTGAAAAACGAAAATAATCCGAGATCGCATTTGTTTCGCTCTCCTTTCGTCAGTGACAGGTTCAACCCCTAGATCCCCAAGAGCCGTTGACTTCTTTTTTCTCCTAACAGTATCACCCCTGAATTAAACATCAAGGTCACGAAGATAATAGAAATGATCACCAACTAAAGACACTCTCGATTGTCACGTGAATTCTCCTTGTCAGCTCCTTAAGAAAATGCATAGAGAACAGTATGGACAATATGCTTTTTGATGTTAGTTTGTAAAAGTAAAACTCATGATGACTTGATCTGTCGCGTTTACTCCCGCTCCAGGCAGCTTTCCTTTTTAATGCTTTTTATTCATACTTACCTTGGCTGGCCCATCCTTGTAGTATTCTACTATTTTCTTACAGTTCATGTTTTGGTTTTTTGCGGCACTAGATTAATCCGGAATTGATTGTAGAAATGATAACACGATTTCTCCTTGGTTAGCAAGTTGTAATTAAATTGCTTTAGGTCTCTAAGGAAACGTATCAGGTTTTTATAAACCTTTTTACTCCACATAGGGCTGGCTATGACCTGTGGCAGAAATTTCCAGAGCATATCCAAGAAGTTCTTCGGCCTCATTTATATTCAAAGTAAGTAACATTTTTATTTGAAGAAACGACCATCGTCTTTCACTTTTTTTTAACAATTTGTTTTTGCCTTAAGCAGTTATAAATGTCAAAAACCGTTAGTATGATTAAGATAATAAATTGTAAATACATTGTACTGTAGATATTAAAAAACAATCAGATCGTCAGACGTAAATTTATATCTTTGGGTCATATTTGTGAACAAGTGGCAATTCGATTCATATCTCTGTAAACTGTCATCTCCTATCCTCTCTGAATTAAGTTCTTGTTCCAATAACAGATACCTTAGCTCCAGCACTCCCAATTGGTCTGGTCTCCCCAAACCGATCTACAGAAGCACTAAGGGCAGGGTGTATAATGAGTGGGTCAGCACATGGACATCATATATGATCACCAAGGTATGCTTTTAACAGATGCCGACTTTAAAGGTATATCTGTTGGTTTAGACCAATTTTGGGATGGGAGACAAATTGAATTGTTCGTCATTTACTCTGTTTGTTTTGATTCATTTGTTGGTCTTTTTTTAGGTCAAAGGCCAGAAACCATCCCATACATTCCAGGCTTGCAGTAAAATTTTTAAGGTAGACCCTGTTCGAGTAGAAAATTATACCGGTCTGTTTTCCAAACATGGAAACTTTTTAATTTGAAAGCGATCTTCGCAGTAATGAACACTACTTAAGCAGTAGTAAAATAAGGCCAGAAAAAAGTTCAGGCCTGTACGGGATTTGAACCCAAAACCTCTGCAAAACCGGTGCAGTGCTTCCACCAGTTGAGCTAACAAGGCGTATGATTTCATATGTGTAAAGTTATTTATGGAAATTTCTGTTAACTTGTTATATTTTTGTCAGATGACAGAAAGTATGTGAAAATCTGTTAATCCTTTGCACCCATTGTTTTTGCAGCACGATGTTAAGACCGCGTTATTCTTGCTTCCCCACGTGCTGCTGTATGTTCTGTTGGATGGCACAAAAGAGGACGTCGAAGAGGTGAGTAGGAGGATGCACAATCAGCTATTAGCAGTCGGATCGGGGAAAAAAAGATAAAGAGAAGTTCAGCGAAACAATTTCTTGTTCGCAAAAGTATCTATCGTAGAGAAAAAAAAAACTAATGAAAGCGCAACTTGTCCCTAAGAGCTAAGAAAGTCTCTCTTCACTTGTAAACAGAAAAGCAAAAAACATAAGAGCCTCTTTCAAGCTCGGTTTTACTTACGTCATTTCATAACCAGGTTTACGGAGAGATCATGGCAGTTCTCACTCATCTGCAAAGAAACGAAGAGCTTCCTGCCCCATCCTCAGGTAAGTCTGCCTGAAAGAGCGCAATGCTCTTTTTGTGAAGCTTTGTTTTAAAGAATAGAATACCTAATAGTTAGCGCGCTGGAAGCTAGATGTAACGGTGCAGGTATGTGCATGTATGTGCCTAAGATGGCTTGTGTATAAAGTCCTTGAGAAAGGCACCTTTCTCTCACAGTTCTTCTCTCCACGCGGGATCTACCAATTTTTTTTTCTATTTTCTTTTTATGGCGGAGAATTCTACTAGGTAGGTAGAGGGGGGAGGGGGGGAGGGGTGCAGTACTCTGAACTTTAGAAACCAGATTTTACTCCGACAGCTATGTATATCTGGCTCTATTAGAGTCTTTGTGTGTTTGAAGATTTCCGCCAGATGAGTGCTCAGACAATATTTTCCGCCTTGGATTATTTGAACCGTTGGGCAAGAGCAAAGGCTTACAGATTGGTCTTAAAGAAACAGTTGGTGACTTCCAAACATCGAAACAGTCCGTCAGTCTCAGGTACTTATATATCTTTAGCTTTCTTTAGTGGAATATGTGTCTTCGAAGAGAAGGAGCAATTCTCAAAAGAGAGGGATTTCATAAGTTTTTCTTTAAGCTTCTCTCTGATTGGTCGAGAAAACTTGTGTTCCTTCTCAACCAATCAGACGAGTGACAAGCTTCTAATTTCTCCTTACATTATCACCCTTAAATCAAATGTAAAGGTCACGAGAAGAAAGGAAATGATCGCCAATTTAAGAAGCTCCTGATTGTCAAACAAATTCTTCTCGTTAGTTCTGAGAACAGTGTGGAGAATATGGATTCTAATTTTAGGTGGAGGGGCTTAACAGTGCTTGATTGTATATATTAATACTGTTAATCATAAAAACTACAATTTCCTCGATTGTGATTAGTTTAAAAATCCCGTATTTTCCACTAATTTACTTGCTAAGTTGTTATCGAACAGTTTGTTACGGGACAGTTCGTTATGGAACAGTTTATTGTCAGACAGTTCAATAAGATTGTATATATTAATTATAGTTTAAATCAGTGTTAATCATAATGCAAAATTTCCCTCTCTTTCATAACTTGGCTATTCTTCTCGGAAATTATAATTTTTATGATTACTTGATGTCGTCTTATTCGGTCTGTAATCATACTCGTGATCAACAAATGTTATCTTCCATCCATTACAAAGTAAAATGTACTTCCATCGTAATGCTTTCATATCTTACGTTATCGCTCGGGTGAGGATATTCCCGAAGAAAAATGTCGTACCTGTCAATGAGTTATATTTTCGGATACTGAGCGGAAGTTTTTACCACACTTCATCCCGATTTGACTTTTAATCAGGGAATAAAATCGTCAGTAAGTGTTACCGACAACGGTTCTATGACCGCTCCTACTTGAAAGTTGACATTACACATTGCGTCACGTCTTTCTCACTTCCAGGTTCACGTGAGGCTAAATAGTGTGGATAAAAAGAATATGTAAAGTAAATACAGCCGAAAAACTGTTAATCGTAATAGTTCAACATGCCTATTATTTTATGCATTTCAAGGTATCCAAGATGAGCAAAAAGCCGTGGAAAAGTTCCTGGAAAAAATTCCCCAGGTAAATCAAAAAGTGGCTCACATCCTTTCAAGGATTTAACTTTCAATGGAGGCATTGGTATCACAATCAAAGAAACTTGAGAGTTTGTTTTGGATTATAAATTCACCACTTAATGATGCTGAAATTCGAAATTAGTTTGTGGGTGAAGTGAACACATTCAAGATACAAATGCTTTATCCATGGATGGAATCTGTGGGAATTTACTTGATACGGTTTGGTCGCCAGGATTGGGAGGAAAGCGACTGAAATAAGAAAGGCTTTTTGATGTTTGTGTTTGCAGTAAAAGTAATTCGAAACCTTTATTGTGTTACAGGATGTGCTGGCCTACGCATCATTCCACTGCAAGGCATATGCCCGTGCCTTGATGCACTTTGAGGCATTCATCTCAAGTCAGAAGCAGGATGTCCACCGCCATTTAGGGTTTGTTCAGAAGCTCTACATAGTTTTGGACGAACCTGATGGAGTAGCTGGGGTTGCAGCCAGCAGGAAGCAGGAACCCACTCTCCATGAACAGATCCTCGATCAGAAAAGCTCAGGTAGGACCCAATGAAGTATAGAAGGCTCCACAGCTTCACGCTTGTAAGAAGCTAAGATGAGGTAATACAAGGTCATTGTTCTTAACTTGACCAAGGCAGAATTTCTTCTTACAAGATCAATGAACAACAAGCATAGAAGTGATGTTGAAGAGAAAAATGTCAATTTGTGGATTATTAATTGATTCAATACCAAATTCTCCAAACTGACATCATAAGAATTGTATGGTAGATAGTGAAGATGTTTGTTTTGACGTTGGTTGTTGAATTCCACGACCGAACAGATCCATCTTACAAATGTTGGTTGAAAGTGCAAACCATTAAATAGAAACTTGCACAGCAAATTTGTACCAGTATCTAGATAAGCAGTACCCTAAGGCGTTAATTTTACAAAGCGTTTTCTGGTCAGGTGCTGTTTTAGTCGGTAGAAAGTGAGTTTAACTTTGAAAAGGATGAATCAACATATATTTTTGTGTTTAGGCTAGCAACCTTTCCTTCTTAAAAACTGTAGGAAAACTTTGTGATGTTTCCGCCCGTTATGAGAGAGCAATTAAAAAACGTTGGTTTAAATTTGAAAAGGATTAATGAAAAGATAGTTTTATGTTTACACTAGCCTACTTTCTGATCTGAATGGTGTAGGGAAGTTGTGCGATGTTTCTGCTCGTTATGAGAGAGCAATTCAAGAAGAACCAGATGAGATTGGACATCACAAGGTGAGGATAGGGTTTGCTGAAGCTGGAATTAACAGTCTTTCATCTGTTTCAAAAACGAGTTCTGTTTCTGGGCAATTGCAAAGAATAGTTGACACCGTGATTTTCAAGTGAGGACAGTAAATTCATATTCATCATTCTAGGTAATTTTTAACTCTCAATTAACACTTTTAGAGTCGTTGCGGGTGTTAAATTACTAATCTTAGATATATGTTATCAAAGAGTCGCTGCAGTCCAGCTGCTGTAACATCGGATAGTGAAATCAGAGCTGGCTGAGGTTGGAAAAATCAAAGGGAACTTATTCTATACTTTGCCACACATTTGGACCACATTTGTAGCAACTTTTCGCAAGGAGCAGTTTTGATTGTCATTTACACTATTCCTCATTCTTTTTCAAGGGCCTGTTACAGTGTTTTATTGATCTTGGTCAAGTGACGACTGCTCTCACTCATGTGGATGGAGTGGTTACTCGCAGGTTTGTTGAAACAGTAACTCAGATGAAAGTCTGTGTTATGTGAACTGTGCATAAGCTGCATTTTATATTGCGAATTCATATTCCTACAGTGAGTAATCGCGCCTGATTTCTCACCGTGGACTCCACACTCATGGCAAAGGTATAACTCGAAGTTTCAAAGCTTTTACAAGCCTGGTATTTTATTGGTCTCAGAGTTTAAATTTTATATATTCATTTACTTAATCATAGGAAATTCATGAGCTATTTAAAAATAATAAAAAAACTATTAATTATTAATGATTATAAAAATACTATTAATTTCACTATATTACTGCTTTCCACGAATACTGTGCTTTAGAGAGCTTCGTTGATTTTGTCGTTTGAACGACACGATGGATTCCGCGCACCTAGCCTCGCGAGAAAGATTATTCCACGATGTGGCGCCACCATGACTAAAACTATTTTTAAAATAATTTGCGCGTGGTACATTAAGTCTGCGCTCGGATTACCTCAGGTTTTATCCGCTGTTAAGGTGTTTTGTCATTATATAGTCTAAATACTTCCTTAAAATGTATTCAGCCATTCATGTAAGATCTTCCAAGTGAAGCTACTCCACCTACTAATTTTTTTTTCTTATTTTTCTTACCACTCTCTTGTAAGCTGACCATGATGTGTTAATTTGTTTGTTTTTCTATGTTATTCGATATCTAATGTTTTTTTAATTCGTTTATATTAGACCTGAATGGGAGAAGTCCCTGAATGCGTACCGTGTTGAGGCTTCTTGGAGACTAGGACAGTGGGACTCACTTGAAAGTTATCTTAAACTGGTATTATTCTTACTAATACAGAATGGACCTCCTATGTACAGAACTTGTACAACAGTGATGTGCTTTTTAGGCCACTTTATTTTACTTTTGCATTCCTTTTTTTTTAATGCGCTTATCTATGCAATTACCTAGCTTTTTTGTGGTTATTCTTTTATGGATTTTATAATCTTTACTTGTATTTAGGAAAGAGGTGTTGGTGACTGGGATGTTGGATTAGGACGGATCCTGTTGGCTGCTAAAGAAAAGGTTTGAACTAAATTTTCGCGATGTGAATCTGTGAAGGAATAGTAATTGTGTTTTGGGTTTTGTGTCGACTATCACATCATTTATTAGCTTCTTCTTAAAATGCGTTGGCCTCGTAGTTACTTTCCAGGAAGGTGTGGAATAAGCCCTCGACGTATCATGGTGTTGTGTTATTGGGAAGGGCTCTTTATTCGTACATTGGTAAGGGTATAAATGGGCACCAGTGATCTGTCAGCGAAATTTAACCAAGGAATTTTTATTACTTTCAACAATCCAATATTCAAGTTATCTTGGGCGTAATGAGATATGTATTCAAAAGTGCCACAATATTTAGAAAGATTTATTATCCTTTTCTTTATTTATTGATATCTATATTATTTCTTTTGTCACCAGAATGAGAATGAATTTAGACGTCAACTAAAGGTAGTTCGCAGTCAACAGATGGGATTCTTGTCCGCGGCAAGTATGGAGTCTGGGTCCTATCAACGTGGTTATGAACACATTGTGAGGTATACAGTGATAAGTTACTCGAAATAAAATAAATAATATTTAGATCCGCGGACGGAATAGAAAAGAATTTAAGCTGCTGTGAAAGAAATTGCAGATGAGAGGCCTGGAAAAATTAAGGCCTGAACGCCTCTCGAACCCATGCCTCGCAGATACTGGTCGAACACTGCTTGGTCGAGCCACGAAGCTACATATGGAATCTCCTCGAAGCACGAGTTTTCTTAGGCTGCTTCCCGACGGTTTTTGTTAATCGCAGCTCAAATGCAAAGATCAGTTCTGTACATTGAAAAGCTGTGAATATTGTTAAAGCCTTCATCTTGGTCGGAGCTTCTAGGAAAACTCAGCTGAGATTTTTCAAGATCTTCCTTCTCCATCAATTTGTGTGTGCTATATTTTTCCGTTTCAAAAATGCTCCGATTTTGACAACAATGTTCACTTCTATTTCCTTCTTAACCGAACGGAACGCTAAGGCTGCACATGCTTCGCGAGGTGGAGGAGGCAGTGCAGAGGAATTTCCTTGTAGCAGCTGATGGAATCGATACCATAGGCGTGACAAATAGCTGGCAGTCACGTTTGCACATCTCACAGGTTTGTGACAGCAGTTCATCATTATTACAGTTTATAGAGGAGACTAATACTGGTGAATAGGACCGAGTCTCCACTCGGTCTCTAATCACACATACGAGTGATTAACTAAATCAGACATCTACGGACAGCGACACAAACCCCTGTTACTAAGAAATAAAAACTATGATAGAAATACTCATCGATCAATCGTGTTCATCGAAAATAAAACATAGCAGCTGACTTGCATGTTGTTTTCTTCTAATGAGAAAATTGAATTTAATAGTCTCTCCAACTGCGGCCGTAAAGGTCCCGTACCGTCCAATTACATAGAGAGGTAAGATAAAATGAAGTGCTCGGCCATTGGAAACACAAAAGGACAATATGGCAAGTTTGGACAAACCCTCTGTTTTTTCGCTATGGAAATCTATTAACTCTTTAAGGTCGTATGGCTCGTATGCAGTAGAATTATTGAAAGGTGATGTTATTCAGTGCATGACGCAGGCGTAATCGGAGAAAAAGAGCTCCGAGTGCTCCGAACAGGAGTCGAACCTACGACCTTCCAATTAGTAGTTCTTTTCACCGAGTATCCCTGTGACATTCAACGAATACATTATCTTTTACTGAAATCACATATTTACCATCCTCGTTATGTCATCAGCAGAATTATTGTTTTCTTATTTTTTTGTTTTTACTCAGAGTACTTTAGAACTGCTTGTGATATTTTAGTTATGAACCTTTTTACATTTCTTTTTTCTCATATACCAACTGAATGACCTATTGTAGACATCATTTCGCACGAGGGAACCAATCTTAAATTTGAGACGAGTTGTTTTAAAACTGTTACCAAGGTTAGTGTCTCCTTGAATTAAGAGTTAAGTTTTCAAAGAAACTGTGGTGCTGCGTCAGTGGGGAGTAATCCCAGATAATTTGGGGATATCAATTGAGTTGATAATATGAATTGGCCACGGTAAAGAGTCTCTTAAGCTTACGTTTGGAGCGTTAGCCCTTTGTCAGAGCAAATAGAGGAATTGTGGGTTGTGTGCGTGCTTATATGCCGAACATGGAGCTTCGCTATTGGTGGGAACATTTAAGAGTTTTACGGCTTTCCTAACTACCAGGCAGACGAAGTTCTAACGCTCGAAACCTCAGTTTCGGAAACTCTTTACGGCAGCAATTTTACATCATCAACTCAGTTGATAAAACCTAATTGTCCCCTTGAATAGGTTTATCAGCATATTGTTGTTAGCGTTGGTTTTACTAGATATCTTAACAAGGGAATAACGTAAACGAAAATTCCATTTAACATTAATGTTCTTTCCCCTCCCCACTGATTTTGTCTTTCTCTGTAAGGTGTTTGCAGGAAACCAGTCTTCTACATTTTGACTATAGATTAAGACTGCTTTTATGAGCTAAAATTATATACCGGCAGTTGAATATATCACACAGCAGATCCCAGAGGATGTGAGGACGATTACCAAGACAAGGAGTGAAGTTTTTGAAATAATGTTTTGTGTTTTTAAATTGTCTTTAGTTCTGAGGAGTTACAGAAAGAACAAGGAAAAAGCTGGCTTCAAAGTGCAAAAGCAGCTAGGGTGTAAGTGTCGCTCCATTTTTTCAGTCAGTTGCAGTGTATTTAGGGAGTATGCTGAAGAGCCTCTTCGTGTCATTTTTTTTTTCTTTTAAAAAGACGGAATCTCTACTCTCGGGTTTGGTTAAACTTCTACTAAACGACCACTCCCAAGTTATTATCCTTGTAATGAATGTATCGGTCGACAGTTACTTCGAAAAGTGGAATTTACTCTTTATTAATGTTTTCTTGTGAAGAAAAGTATGATAGACTTCAGTTTACAAATGATGAGGACATTTTATTCTTTCCTTTAGAGCGGGTCACGTCCAAACTGCTGACAGTTCGCTTTTAAGTGCTAGTGCCTTTGCTTTGCCAAGTTTATGCATTGAACGTGCGAAATGGATGGCCAGCCAGGTAGGAACAGCGAATCAGTCTTCTTATCAGTAAGATATTTACTTTGTGGATTGTATACTAGAAATGCAAGACTAAGGAGGGGTCGCTTTTGTTTCTTGATCACTTGAGAGTCTCGAAGCTCAACCTCTTCCATATGGCGACCTAAAGTCAAATAGCATTTTAGTCGTCAGAAAAAACCACATCGCCTGTCTTTCGGGTAAGCATTATGCCTGCCATTCGTTTTCGCTGATTCACGTGACTCAAGGCATATATAGAATTCGGGGAACCGAGCAGAAAGAGGCAATTTTTTATAGAAGGAACAAAGGAGATTGAGCAATAATTTTATTTAAATATTTGTCCCTCTTAGACTTCAGGCCATGAAAACTAACTTATGAAAACGTCGAAACTGAATAATGTACATGACCGCCGAAAACAGATCACGAATTCGACGACTTATGCTAAAATCTCCGTCGCCAAAATTTTATAGTATTCCCCACGGCGACCAAAATAGCCGCTCCATATACAAGAATCTTGGAATTATAAACTTTTGCATTCCGTCACGTTTTTATTAGTGTCATTTTTCGACAACATTCGATTACAAGAGGCGAGGGAAAACGTAAGGGTTCTATCACTTTACAGTTCCATGTAGAACATTAGTAATCATATTTGGGTGTTATCTTTCTAACTAAAGAGTTGGGTATCCCTTTTGTTTTGTCATAGGGTGATGTTCATAACGCTCTGATAAGTTTGCAACGGGCTGTCAGGTAAGCTCTGTAACATTTTGTATTTATATTTGAAGAGAATTTTTCCCTGTTTCCGAATAGTTGGTAAATTTATAGTCAGTTTTAGGATAGCCACTCCTGTATGCGCAGTAACTTTTTGAAACACCTTGCTGGTACAAAAAACGATGCAGAAGGATTCGGGCAGAATAAAAGCTATAAATCCAGAGGTTATGAAAACAATATTCTCCGTTCGCTTTCCTAATTTTGATTAATTTTTTTAAAAAGTAGACTCAACACATCGAACGAAAGTTTAGAAAATTATGGAATAGAATTCACGGAATCACGATAAAACAAGATATTCCGCACTATGCCATGAGGCCTGGCAGATTTTTTCCTTTTCTATCATGATCAGGCGATTTCACTAGTCAGAAACATCCTTTCAAAATAAACATTATGGTTTTTGGTCTTATTTCTTAACAGTGAACAGTGGCCACATGGCAGCAGTACAGTGTCAGATGGGGGACTGGACAGATTCATCCATGCAAAGGTTGGTAGCTTTGTGGACTTCGCCTCTCTGTTTTGCGCGCGTGTGCTTCATTCCTTAGTTAGAGCGAGATATTATTAAAAGTCTAGCGCTTGTCTCACCTCGTGGTTCCTAGAACGAAATAATCCTCTGGTGCCCTCTTCAATGGATAACGATGGAATCATGTCGAGTGTAAGCTACGTGTACCAATGCTTTTTAGCGTTTCATGGTGTTGTCAACTTTTTCGTTTACATTGCCTGACGAGTTCGTGACAAGTTAACTTAGCAACCTCACCTCATGCAAATTAGTTTACCTCAAGTTTAAACATCTCGGGGACGTTTTCGGGTTTTGGAAGCGAGGAAGCAAGAAAGTTTTGTTGTTAAAACCTGATATTCGGAGACCTTTTGCAGTGAGTTATTGGGTTTTTGACTAAATCTCGTTATACAAAGACCGGAATTATCACAGGAGCCGATGAGAAGGAAGGAAAATACACAAGAAGCCAATGGTAGCTTAAAGTTAACACAAACAAACTGTCTGAAGTGCGGGAAAACGCGATCGACTAAGGCGCCATTCGTTTTGGTTTGAATCTGATTGGTTGGGAAAGTGGCGCGAGATTTCCGGTCCAAACAAACAAACAAACAAACAAAAACTGAAAATCAAACTGGATAGAAAGTTTTAAGCTATGAAAAAGCAGACCACAACATTAACATTATTTTTTTCGTCCAGGCCTTGCTACTTATCGGCCGATGGATAGAGGAGACGGCTCATTATGCAGCTAATCGTGCCATTCAACAGTACAAGGTAATGTGATGCCTTTCACTTGGTCTTAATGAGTAACTTGCCTCGTCCTAACACTTACGACCATCTTTTCATAACAAAAAGATACAAGCCGATAGTTGAATCGGTATTGGGTCACTCATTTTCAGATTGGATTCAGTAAATGCATCCCGACCGCTATTCAACCGCTGTCTCCTTAAAGACAGGTCGGAGGATTTGTTGTTTTTGTTTTTGTTTTGTGCGAGTCCTAAAGCTCTGCAAATTACTTTGATTGCAGTTTATTAATGTGTATATAATTGCCCTTACACAAATTACTCCTCCAATAGACCAGATTAAGACTTAATTTGAGTGTTAACTGGTTCTTGCTCATGTGCCTACATTGTGCACCCGTTTCTTTTTTATGAAAACCCTGCAGAGGTCATTCTTACCGCTTTTATCGTAGGAGGTGACTGCACTTCATGGTAGCTGGGAAAATGGCCATTTCTATTTGGGAAAATACTATGACAAGCTGATGTCAGCGTGTCCGGAAGGAGAAGAAAAATCGAACAAAGTTTATGTGTAAGTACAAGTAATTTATGTGCTATTGGCATCGTAATTGTCTTCAGTTGTTTTACTCGCTTTGTTTTATAATTTATGTTCCCCGCCATACCATCAAGATCTCCTAGAGGAAAGCTGTGGTGTAGTTACCATGGTGACTTCCTCGACGCTATGGAAATCGCTGTCCTCTCTTCTGCTACCTTAACGACATCTACCCTTCATTATTGTTGCTCCGGCCTTTTAACCTTGTTTAACAGTTTGAATCTCTTTAATGCTTATTCTATGCTTGAATCATTATCTTTCCAGGGACTTCATTCCATTTGTTCTTAAACATTACGGACTGTCTCTTCAGTTTGGAAACAAATTTATCTATCAATCCATGCCTCGTCTCCTAACTATTTGGCTTAACTTTGGCGCTACAGTTTCTGATCAAGGTAATGCGTCTTTATTTTAAAAATGAAAAAATCGATCAATTAAAAAAAAAAAAAAAATTATGGATACAAATTATTATACAGCAGCGTGCGGGTTGGAGGGCAGCTTTTCACAATTGATTTTTCAATTTTTCTTTTTCATTAACTTCATGTAGATACAAGCTCACAATAAACTTGACGATTTTGACAGAAAGGCGCTTCCTTTTTTGGCGTAGAGGAACACTCTCTATGGCTCAAGAGGTTTCAGCATCTCTATACATATACTGAATTTACATACACTGTATACATGCACTGAATTTATTTGATATTCACCCATACTCATGCTTGAATCCATGGTAGTGTAGACGAGAAATGCACAATTGTTTCAAAACAGTTGATGGTTTAACGTGAGTTCCTCTGCCACAGCTCTTTTTTTTTTCTACTGTTCATATCTTTGTTACTCCACAAGACAGCTACTTACGCCATGCCATGATGGAACTGTTTCTTGTTTTGAAAAGATAAATAATTTTGATCTACTGTGTGAACTTTGCTAATGTCGAACTTGCCAACATTTTTATGCTCAACGAAGGTCGACAGACCAAAGCATCTGATAGAGGAGGAAAGAGGCAAAAGTTGGCGGATTGCAACGAGGTTTGAATGACTTTTGTTCACCATCGTTACTTTTTCGGTATGGGTTATATTTTGAAACAATGGAAAGCAAACCGTAAACCATGAATGAAATTTAACCATGACGCCCGGTAAATTTATTAAGACATATCGTGATCGATTATTCCTATATTTTTTCTTTCTTGCTCTTTACTACAGATCATGTCAGATCTGACCAACAAACTGCCGGCGTACCAGTTCCTCACAGCGTTCTCTCTACTTATTTCTCGCATTTGCCATGCGAACCAAACGGTCTTTCATAAGCTCGAGGTAAGTAGCAGTGAGAAACTGGCTCAATATTGCTCTCCTCTATTCAGTAGTGCATCTTCCGTACTGTTCTCTATCCATTTACTAAGGTGCTGACAAGGAGAATTTGTTAAACAGTCAAGGGCTTCCTTGGCTGGTGATCATTTTATTTATTCTTGTGGCGCTAATGTGGGATTCAGGGGTGATATGGTAAGGAGAAATTAGACGCTAGTCACCCTCAGGGGTTGAATGGTTAATTCACCATATCGTATAAAATATGATGCAGCCATGCATATGCTTGAGCAGGGTGGGTTTTACTAATGTGCCATTTTGTGTTGAGTGGTATAACATCTCGTTACCCTATTTCATGTCCTGTGATTTTTAGACGCAGTATTTTCAATCATTAGCGCTATTAATTTTTTTGCTTTGTTCTTCTGTGGAAACATTTTTGCTGTGTTGTCCTCATTCTTCCTTTTTATTGTTTAGGAGATCATCGCCAAACTGTTAGTGACGTACCCACAACAAGCGATGTGGATGATGATGGCTGTTTCAAAGGTTAGTCATTACAGGGAGAAGTTCAAGAAATTCCATGACCCTTGCATTTGGAAATAACTGTGTTTGGAGATCATAATTTGAACTATCGATAGAAATGCTGTATCTTGAAGAGAACGTATGCGCCTAATCGTCTGCTTGAGGGTCTGCTAGGGGTCTGGTACCAACAATCAATTGTAGACCCGGTCCAGACCTCTTGTCGGCTCACGTTGCTCACGGCCTCATACTAGGGACCTTAAGCAGTCAGGACGGCAACGCCAAGGAAAACTTCGATTAAAAAATGAATTTCTGCCTTAAATTAGAATTTCAAAAATGGCTGCATTTGTTTACCGTCTCATACAGCGCCACACCTCAACTTCAGCATACCGTATAAAAGAAGCGTTGAGTTCCAAATGGAAATTAAAATAATTTGTCGTCGCGGTCTCGGTTCGTAGACGACGCAAATTGTGGTGATTTCACGTTGTTGCTTTGCATAGGACGGCTGAGAAATGTACAAAGTTTTAAAACGCACGTGCTGAGCTATTGTTCTGCTAATTAGATCTTTTGTTTTTCCACGTCCACGTTGCAGTCGCCGTCGTGGTTTGCTTAAGGTCCCTACTAACCCGCGACGTAGAAACACGGTTGCGTTAATTATTAGGAAGAAACACCTAATTATGAGGAAGAAACACCGAAGCGCTAATTATGAGGACCTACTCATAAATTATTGGCAAATGGAGAAGATGCTATCATAAGAGACAACCGAGGAGTTGTTTTGAACAGTTTGTCACTCGATTAAATAAGTCTTAGCGAAAACTGATTGTCAAGTTTCGGTGCATCAACAAAGTTTAGTTGCTCTCTTTTTTTCTTGATTATGGCTTCATTTCAGGTTATCGAGACGTCCGTAAAGCCAAACAGCGCGGATTAAAAATTATTGATTTGCTTTTTCCACAGTCTTCTTTCGCCATGAGAACAAAGCGTTGCTATCAAATCTTTCATAAGGCAAGGTGAGCTGAGTTTCACTGTTTCTCACTTACTGGAACCACGTTTTATTTTTGTTTAGTTGAATTAAAATATTGTGCGCATTTTTTGTTCAGAAAAGTGGGGTTATGTTTTGAAATTTTCCACGCTTTCTGATTAGGTAATGAAAATTCATAACCTTCTCATCCAGAAAGTGTTACCATGATATTGCAATAAATTATGTTACCAATCGATAAGTAAATGTGTAACAGTTAGGCAAGAAAATTTTTCATCAGATCTGGGAAAGTAAAGGTATAATGCATAGGTTTATACTTTGCCATCAGTAGTGTATGTTTAACGAGCAGTTGCTCTTTTTTCATGATTTTTTTTTTAGTTCGCGCGACATTACGTTGAAAAAGTTCCTTGAGGTGAGTTTTTGACGTAGTGCTCAACCATTTTTGTTGTTCTGCTTGCTTTGACAATGGGTCGGAAATTCCAATGCAGTTAAGTTTTTACCTTTTTGTATTAGCGGTATACAAAAGGCCTGTCCTACTTGAAGTTGATTTAAAGGCCATCACACTTGCGAACTTTCTGAAGCTTACTGGTAGCTTACCTGGCGGTAAAGGTCTGGGTCCGAGTTTTCATTGTTTAGAGAGAGTCTCAAGAGGGAATTAGACCATGGATTTTCCTTGCTTGTAGCGAATGTGTAAAATAAACTCAACAATTTACCTCAACATTACTTAGTCTTTCCCTTAAAGATACAATTTTTGTATCTGAAGGGCCAACGAGTGAAAGTTAAGTTTGTCATTACCTCTAATAAAACGAAGAAGATTATCGAAGTCACCTTAAGAGAGACACGTTTCGATTGTACCATTCAGTCGTAGTGATTTTCGTTGGTGAGATGATTGTAAAACACCAAAACGGGAAATAAGGTTGGACAAGGTAAGCAAAGACTGCAAATTACCTAATGAAAAATTTACTTTAAAGGTGGTTCAACTGATATGTATTGGTTTGTCTATGTCAATGAATGTACACGACTGCCTGGTGAAGTTAGTATACCTGTGGTAACATGCTTTTCTTTTCCACTTCGCAGCACTCCACAAGACTAGCTGATAGACTGCTTGAAGTTTGCAACAAGGAAGTATCTACCAAAGGTCCTTCCAAAGACAAGTTGAGCATGAGTCATGACTTCTCTGTTCTCAAGAGGCTTGTGTCTGATGGGTGAGACGTTGAACTCTGCTTCCTCGTGATCAAACACTTGCTGGCACGACCTGATCGCGTAACTTTGTTTGCCATTTGCCATTTAGTTATAATAACAAAAGCTTTGACTGGCCCATCTAGTGGATAAGATTGTCTGATGTGTCAATTTACCTGGCAAAGAATTAAGTTTTTTATCCTTGCGAGCCTTTGAGAAAAAGAGCTTAAATACTCCTAAAAATGGCAATGCTTGTTCGGTGAAGCTTATAGAGTTTAAATTGAGAGGGTACTAACGTTGCCAGTAATAATTTATTATTATTTTGATTTCGTCTTTGTTGTGTTTCGTTTTCAGAGATTTTAGTCCAATTATAGTTCCTCTCCAGTCTGCTATGACTGTGACCTTGCCTTCAGGAGCCGGAAGCCATCACGATCACAATCCGTTCCCAGGCTCGCTAGCTTGTATCATCGGCTTTGAGGACACGGTTAGTATGTGTGTGTTGTGTTCCTAGCCAAGATACGTTGCAAGCCATTTTAATTTTGGAGCAACGAAGACGATCATAACATTTCAGTGATAAGCATTTTGGAAGGTCGTTTCTTTGTTTTTGTTTGTTTTGTTGTTTGTCGATTTTTTTGCTTTTACTTTTACTTTTGCTCTTTCGTACTTGTATTTTTTTTTTACATTTTTTGTATCTTTTATAATAGGTTGATGTTCTAGCGTCTCTACAGAAACCGAAGAAAATCACCATTAAAGGCAGTGACGGAAACTCGTACACCATGATGTGTAAACCCAAGGTTTGTTCTTTGTCCTTTTAACAAATTCAAAAAGAAATGTGCCTCTTTAAAGCACAGGTATGAATATTACCGTCCCTTTGGATGATATCGAGGCAGTTTTATCAAATTTCTCAAGTAAAGATCCGCCGTTGCATTTTACAGGGAATGAGTCAGGAGAGGCACTATGTGATTGATATTGGGGTTTTTAACCTCAGAGAATAAATTCATCATGATAAAACACAAAAAAGACAAATGTGCTGTGCTAGTTTTTTTTTAAATTTTATAATCAATCTTGTAGCTTAATCTCACGTAAGAAAATTGTACAGTGACAAAACAGTTAACATAGCTCAAACGTCTGTATTAAACAAACTCTAAATTCCACCATCCTCTCTTCTTATTTGCTCTGTATTCTATTACAGGATGATCTTCGAAAGGATTGTAGAACAATGGAATTTAACGCCCTCATCAACAAGGTTTGATCTTTGCTATAACAATTGTCGATCTTTGTATGACAAATTCAGTACAGTCGGTTAGTCAGTCATTCAGTCAATCAGTCAGTCATGCAGGCATTCATTCGGTTCATCGGGTAGCCGTTCATTCATCGAATAGATTGTAGCTTTCTAGTTATGCATCAAGGATTATTTGCAATTGATTCTGTTTTGTTAGTATTCCTCAATCTCGGTGTGATAAAAAATATTTTTATAATATTTCTTTTCTCATTTTAGTGTTTAAGAAAAGATCCTGAATCTCGACGAAGGCAGCTGCACATTCGTACTTATGTAAGTCGTGCTGTTTTAGGTAAATTGAAGGTGTTTTAGAGAGGAGCAATCAAAAGAAAAATCAGTGTGTTTTCCTCGAAGTGCAAATTTAGTTGCTTTCATTTTTTTATGGAAGTTGTTATGGTAATAGTACTGAGTTGAGTTCAATTCGGTCTGTAATCATCCGAGTGGTTGACAAAATCGGAAGACCAAGAAGTGAACGACACTCAGTCCTGTTACCAATTTATCAAAACTATGACAACATCTAAGAAACAATTTAGCCATCGGTTATGCGTTTTCGTTAAAAAAAAATAAAACACCTGCATCTCAGCGAGGTGCGTGATAACAGTGCGCTTACATGCCACCTATTGAGAAATTACACAAGCATGACACAAACCATTCACGTTCGATAATTTTGCTATAGTCTTGATTTCTTTAGTTAGAATGACTGTCAGCTTCTTGTTGCTATTGTCATTGATGTTGTGTATGTTATTTCAAACATTTTTTTTCCTCTCTTTTATGGCATGCCACAGCGGAACATTCGCCATACTTTTTCCCAGTTCAATTATGAGTTCCTTTTTTTCCCAAGGCGGTGATTCCTTTAAATGAAGAATGCGGACTGCTAGAATGGGTACAAAATACTCATGGCTTAAGAAACATACTCACGAAAATTTACAAGTAAGGACGTCGTTTCTCCATTTTGTCGTTTTATTCCTTTAACCCATGAGTGACCGAGGCAGAATTTTTCCTTACATCATCAATATAATAATATTGTAAATTTGATAAATATTAAAAATATTATGATTAAAATTTAATATGATAAAGTATGCAAGTGTTAAGAATACAGAAAAATATCAGTCAAGGGATTATTAGTTGATCCAATACCAAATTCTCTGAACTAACACCACAAGAACTGTATAGCAGACAGTAAGGAGAGTTACTAATGAGATCTTGGGAGTGAAAGGGTCAAGCGTGTCTTAGTGGTTTGATCCAATACTCACGAGTTGACAGAAGTGCACAGAGGTTCATGATCAAATAAATCAGGTAAAAAAATTTGGTCAAGGAAACTAAATCACATCTTTGACTACTTTGTATTTTTACAGAGAGAAAAATATGTATACTCGAGGAGCGGAGCTAAAAAAATTAATGGACAGAGCAGGAAACAAACCTGAGTGCGTCTTTTGGTGGTGTTCATTTTTCTGTGTGACTGTTTTCGTGTTGTGTTCTCTCTTTGGTTTTCTATTTCTTCACTGGTGTTGAGAAAAATTCTGTACTTGAAAAAAATCCAAAGTAATTGAATCTGATTGATTGAGATGGTGGCCTTGGTTTTCTAAACCAATCACAGTGGAAGGAAAGCAAGATCGGTGTAGCCATAGATTACAACACTCAACTGAAAACTAATTCGTTATATGCTTCCTAACTTTAGGGACAAGAAACGTGTCTTCTTGAATGAAATCCTTCCCAGGTGTGTATCTATGTGAGCTGACCCTTGTGGTTTGTGTCCTTTTTGCAATTTTACATTATATGAAGTGAAATGATGACATTGCCATTCCACCTTTGTTCACGAATAGGCACCCTTCCGTTTTTCATGAGTGGTTTCTGAAGACGTTTCCTAATCCAACTTCGTGGTGCGTATTTTTTTCAAGTTCTTTATGGCATCATTCGATCAAGAGGTTCTGTTCTTAAAATGTTATAAAATGCAATTAAAGTCCATTTCTCTCTACTCCTTATTAGGTACATGAGCCGCCTGGCTTACTGCCGAACGTCAGCGGTTATGTGTATGGTGGGTCATATCCTAGGTCTTGGTGATCGCCATGGTGAGAATATTCTGTTTGACGCTACCAGTGGGGCCTGCGTCCATGTCGACTTCAACTGTCTGTTTAAAAAGGTCAGTTCCTTTTATTCCGTATGCGAGTTCTGTCACGTTACGACTTCCTGGTTGTGCTAATGAAAATATTGAATCTGATTGATCCCTCGTTTACTGCTTGGCACGGCTGCTACTGAACCAGAATTGTCCGATTCAACCCGTCCGATGATCAGAGGCTAATTCTGATTGGACAGGTCAAACCAGGTAGTTTTAAAACTGGCCAATGAGAGTTAATTGCCTTGCACATGCTTGTCTCTACTCTGAGCGCTTTGTTTAACTCAGATGTTTAACCAACTGTTTAACACTTTTATCTTAGAATAACAGTTATAATTTATTGCACTTTTCATTGAGCTTATTAGCTGGTAATAGGATTTTGTCCCTTGCCTTTTAGGGATAATCCTGCGGTAATTTTAAATGAGCCGTCCGATTTACATTACTAATATGAATTTGTCATGTGGGTCAGACTTAAAATGGTCACCCGAACAACTGTCCGTAGTTGTACATAAATATGGTGCTCACAAATTTTGCTCTCTAGCTTGGTTACAAAAATATTTTGATTGCATCGTTGACTGTGTTGTAGGCGTAATCCTTGTATGCGTTGTAGTTCAATTTTATCCTTGGTTCTTGTTATATTTTCCTTTGTTTCAAACTCACTATCATACTTTGCAATGCCCAAAAACAAAAGAAATAAAATTTGAACCAAGGATAAAATTTAACCACAACATTTGCAAATTACTCTCAATCAGAAAGAGAGGAATATTAAGGAAAATGTGGAAAATTTCTCTGTGACTTAGGTGTACTTCGTTTGATAGGGAAGGTTCACCGCGGCAGTAACACTGATCTTGTTGTGCGCCGTTTTTTTCCTTTTTCGCAGGGAGAAACCTTCGATTGTCCGGAACGCGTGCCATTTCGATTGACACATAACATTGTAAATGCTATGGTAAGCGATTCCAAAAAAAATGATATCTTAAAAAAAGATACGAACAAGCGAACGAAATATGGCAAGTGAGGTCTCGGTTTTCTGATTTTGAAGACAGCCGTAGTGCTTTTAACTGAGATTTATTTTTCATCTTCATATTTTTTCCTTTGGTAGGGTCCTCTTGGATACGAGGGAGTTTTTCGTCGCTCTTGCGAAGTTACCTTGCGTCTTCTGAGAAATCAGTGCGATTCTTTGCTCACGTGAGTTCGAAAATTTTTTGTAACACTACTCAGGCTTTTCGAGCGAGTGTTTGTTGAAGTAAGTCCTGGGTAATCACATTGGCCAATCAGGCGTGTTGCGAATAAACAAAGATGGGTTCAATTAGAAACCAGAGTACATACAAGTATTGAAATTGCTTAAAGCTCGGGAGTGACTGAGTCGTGTTTGGGTTTCGTTTTGAATCTGAATATTTTAGAAAGTGGCGCGAGTTTTCTGGACCAATCACAAAGCATAGTAAAGCAGGATTACTTTTGACCCTCAAATGCAAATTTCTCTTAAATGCGCCAATGAAGTGACGCTCTAACCTTTGCTTCCTTTCATAGTGTCCTCAGAACCTTTATATATGATCCACTTGTGGAGTGGCAGAGGACTAAGGGAAGGGAATTACTTTCCGAGGCTTCAAAGAATAAAGAAACAGGGGAAGTTACAAATGAAGAGGCGAGTATCTTAATTCACAATCTTCGTGTAAAGAATGTGCAATTTTATGATATCTGTAAGAAGATAGACAGCTTTATTTAGTACTTGTAATACTTGTACAAGAGATAGTCATATGTTATTCAAGGTAGTCAAATTATGGAGCCAACAAGCATCCCTTCTACCAATAGGAGCCTATTCCATTTTCCATTTAAAGTAGTCCATCCAAATATTTCCGTTGAAACCTTGAGAGTTAACATATAATTCTTAAGAGTGCTGTAAGACTGATTTTCGCAAAAGCAAATGCAATGTAATTTTTAGCGGCCGAGCAGGAGAAAGAAGAATGTCAGACGGAGCCAATTGTCTCTTCTCCATTTTCAGGGTCTTAAGATTCTGAAAGATGTGGAAAGGCGGATCAAAGGCTTTGAAGGAACCAGTAAGATCATGATTCCTCTCTCGATAGAAGGACAGGTGCATTACCTGATCGAGGTGAGGTCGCTTGATTGTGTGTTGATTTTGGTTTGTTGTTTCATTCCCATTTTGTTGTTGTTGTTTTTTTTTCCACGAATAAAAGCTGCTTTTTCCTCAAGTAGTTGAGCAAAGTGTGGGAGAAAAACTGCGTGTGAATCATTTAAGCGAAAGTTCTAAAATTGTTTGTGTTATAGTTAGGAAACTGGAACCTTCTAGAGAGGTCTGGTTTCCAGACCTTATGTCATGTCCCTTGGGTGGACCCTTTAACCTAAATAACCCTTCCACCTACTTTTCTGACGTTATCAAGATAATGGATGTTTTTTCCATTTTGCAGGAGGCCACAAGCGATGACAACTTATGCCGGATGTACATTGGATGGGCTCCTTTTCTCTAACGAAAAAAGGGAAGATATGTAAACAAGAGATCTTTGTAAACCATGGTAAAGAAGAAGGTTTTTTTTTTCAACGAACTGACTTGAGTAGGAAACGCGTTATCGGAATCCAAATATTTGTTTGCGATATTTTTAAGATGGCGGCGATACTGTAGGTTGAGTTCTAAGGGCCATGTTTTCCCCACATATCTTCATGCCTTAACGAAAAACTTAAGAAATGTCACCGTGGATAAATGTTTTGTGACAGAATTGTTCAAATGATTATGACTCGACTTGCGTTTCTTGCTTCTTGTTAAAGAGATATTGGGTTATAAAATCACAATTCTAGAAAAATAATCTCTGCTTACCTCATTTATTTGAGTTACAACAGTGCGCTGATATTTATTTTCTAGTTGCCCACTGTTCCTTGAAAGCTTCACTCAGAGCGAGGATTAGGGCCAAGTCAGGGTTCCGCGTGACGCGCCGACCACATTTTTTTCTTTTTTCGGACTCGCGCGACAGACTTGACCGAAAAGGAGAGACTGCCTAATGTTTAAGATTTGATGCGTTTGTTTCCCTTTGCGTTTCTGATTTTTTTCCCTATCTCGATTTACTTGTTTTTTTCGAGAATGACTCGATGTTCTAAAAGAAATAGAGGAAAGCAGCTCGCGACACGGAATAGCGGTAACTTATCTTCTCGCAGAGGGTCGGTCATGGGTTTTTTCTTCTATCGATCAATTTTTGGATAATTTTTTTTTCTATCTTTGCGATAATTTCGCTATATCTTTGTGATAATTTCGTGATCTCTTTTCCGTCGTCGACAGCACATTTCAATTGAATACCTCATGAATTCAGCATCCTTTTAGCGTCATGTCTTTCAATCAAATTACGAACAGCTGCTCATGTATTTTTTGTCAACACACTCGGAGTCACACACTTTAACACTCTCGTCAGGTTTGTTTTTCCTTAAGACTCTTAGTCATCAGTCTACAAATTATCTAACCCGGAAAACCGTCACCATTTCTCGACAAAAATAGAAAATATTCCTAAATGTTTTATGAAAAAGTGTATTTATCCTCTCTTCACACATGACTAATTCAACGCACTGCGCTATTTTTAATTATTTTATACTGGAAAAAAAAAACCATAATATAAACCATTTCTTCTTTTTGTCGGTTGATCTCTCAAAAATGTATTTAGACACATTTTGCCCGCGGGAGAGAGAGATCTTGAGCGCCTTAGCGTCTGGATATGAAATGAATAATTAGATTATGGATTTTATAGACGAACTAAAGTTACGATTACTAGAGTTTTATTACAGTTCTCTTTCCTGTCGAGATAACCGGATACATCTGTGTGCTTGAATGAATTTGTTTACTACAATAAGAGACATTTTCTTTCCTACTCTCCACACATGAAAAAAATTCGATTGCTTATCAACAATTTCCACTCCACTAGATTTAATTATGTTGCCCGTGAAACTGAGCTCATTCGAGGCGTAGAGGTACTAAATATTCAAATCTATGTCCTATTGGAAACTGTCGGAAAGAACTCAGCTGTTTTCATCGTCCTCTTGTACAAAGTTGTATGATATAGATATCGATGAAATATCAGAATTTCTGTTTCGAATTAACAAATAGAGAAGCCTTGACTGTGCTCTGTTCTGTTATAAAGCACGCAGGAAGCGGCTAGAGCACGAAAGAAGTGTAGGGAGAAACACGAGACGTAGTCGAGTGTTTCTTCCCACTTCTTGAGTGCTCTAGCCGCTTCCTAAGTGCTTTATAACAGAACAGAGCACAGTCAAGGCTTCTCTATTTGTTTTATAATAAAGAATCCGTTAAATTCCCCATGCAAACATTACTTTCAATTTTCAAAACAAACTTTATTTCCAAAGCGAACAACAGTGTCGTCAGCATGCTCTATACTCTCATAGAGCACGCTACAATAAGCCAATCAGAATCCCTGTTAGAATAGTTCAAATAATCTGATTGGCTGTACAAGACAAAAGCTGTCAAAAGTGTCAAACCATCAAAGTTCAAAAACCATCAAAGTTCACACTCTGCGATAGTTTACAAACTAAAATAATTCGGCAGGTCAAATTTAACGCTTTTGCCTGAAGTTTTTAATTCAGAATCTTGAAATGAAATGTTCAGTGAACTTCAGCCGAATTATGGCTCATAAAAACACGCGGGTTTTTTCACATGACAAGGTAGAAAACAAACTGTTCAAAGCGAGTGTTTTTTAAATGAACGACAGCCGAATTCACCGGAACATGAAGATCGCTCGGGATGACAGCGCCGCAAAACTCGGCTGCAGTGACTGAAGTGACTTTCCACTCAACACATTGGAAAGGATATCAGAGCGAGCTCTTTTTTTTTCACTCGAAGGGCGGCCGATGTAGTTTCTGAGGCTTGCTTTACTGTGATGACCGGAGATCGGCATGATAAGCGAGCCGCGATGGACTTCAGCATGATCATATTTGCTCAGATACCGTCATGATTAGTATGAATTTTAACAGTTATGCCAGTTTGGTTATATTTTTTAATCATTTCTGTTTTGTTCTGTTTTGTTTTTGAACTCTGAACTTTATATACTATACGAGTGTTGGCTGTGTTTGATTTTCATTACCGTACGTAAGCTTGCAATCTAACTGAGCGGGAAAATCTTTAAAACTCGGAATGTCTATTTTGTTTTTCCTTTGAGGATTTTCGTATCTGCCCACGTTTTAATAACGTAAATAAAGGCGCCTGGTATGTTTACAAACCTTTCTTTGGTTCTTCTGTTACTACTTGCCGGCTCGCTTGTTCCGAAATTTCACTTTCAATTATCGGAAAAAAGCTAAAAAGAAGTCCCGGAAAAGGTTGAACATGGTACAATTTGGCAGATGGCGTGACAGCTTTAGCTCAGTCCATGCTCTATACTCTCATACAGCACGCTCTTTCAACCAACGTGAACGTTCCGCTTATCTCTTTGCACATGCAGATGAAAATGACATCATGGCAACCCGCTTTACCAAAATGGCGGTTTTACTTTTCACTAAGGGCTTTTTTTGTATTACGAATATCAAGCCTGGTTCAACCTTAAGTTCATAGGAAAAAATTATTTCGTGATATTTTTTCATGTCAAAATTAAAGTTTCTTGTCCACGGGCTGAGTTACCGTGCAGGTGTCTTGTGCATTCGGTGCTCTTCAAGTATATTTTAAATTATATGTGATCTAAATGAGCGATCGTTATCCTTATAATAAATGGCAAAATAACTTGATTAAACTTTGCTTGATTTTAGTTTGGAGGCAGGGACAGCTGTACACTCTTCATTCATCTTATTTTTATTTTGCACTATTGAGGGCACGGTCCGTAAGAAGGCCACTGACTTGTTCTGACAAGCTCAAAAGTATAGGTGTGTTAATTTGAGCAATAACTTTAGAGCTAGAACTATCAGATTTGTAAAGAGTTTATTTTTTTCGTAAAACGACAGGATATTTTGCTTAGATAGGATAAAGGAAACAACATATTTTTATTATTGGATGAAATTCAGACTTAACATGTGTGAACTTATGCTGCAAAAAGCAACCCTATATAACAACAGGGCTCTGTGAAGCATGAAATTGAAAATGTAAGAACGTTATCCTATTTTCTTACAATACTCCACATTTATGGCTCCTGCCTCCTATAAATGTCACTACTCAGTAACAATGCCAACAGTCCTCCTATCTCAGCTGACTAACAATTAGATTCCGTATCTTCTCCCTCAACCTCAACCAGCAGGCGAGTGGGATCGGTTCGTAATATTCATAGTTCTATTTCTGGCGTTCGGCGGTTTCTTTTTTCGATTTTTACCATCTTAATGGCTGGTCCCCTCTTTGTGCAACACAAACGCAGCGCTTGCTGAAACTCAGGAATTCTGAATACATACACAATCGGATTGACAAAAGAGTTAGAATAATTTAGAATGATCGCCATGTGATAAAACTTCCATGGTATTGATTTCTTAGTTATAAAGATTAATATGTTCAAGATGATTATGGGAAGCCAACATAATAAAGCCAGTACGGACACCAGAAGCAGGGTCTTTGTTAAGCGTCTGTTTCGGGAAGCTCCATTTCGATGCTGTGAGTCAACACTCTTGTGTTGAAAATTTCTCCAGATGGCGATGTTACAGACACATATGATGACTGTTATACCCAACAGAACGGGGACAGAGACATACAAAGCAAATTCAATTGAACTTGAAACATAGAACAAAGTTATTAATGTAGACAACAAGACAGCGAATGTCCAAAGAAAGAAAATGGTGATGCGGTATGTTCTGGTGGATAATAAACGGTGTTTAAATGGCCAAAATACGGCATAAAATCTCTCACAGGAAATAGAGGCTGCAGATATGTACGAGCCAAACAAAAACATGTTATCGATACTTGTGTAAAATATTTTGTAGGCCATGTGTTCAAAGTCATATTTCGCTGTCCAAAGCTGATAGTAGCTCCCGACAAAGAAAATGTAAAAGGGCAGAGTGAAGACTCCTAACATAAAATCAGCAAACGCCATATTCCAAACTAGGAATAAACTTTTCCTGCGAAGTGGTTTGGCAACTGCAAAGAGAACCAAAGTGAGCAAGTTTCCTGCAATGATCAGGACAGAAAATAAGATGAAAGCGCTGCATAGTGCGAGGCCTTCTGATTTGGAAGGAAAACTTCTTGTGGATGCAGATGCATTCTCCAGGGTTTTGTTCACTTCCCACGAGTCAATCATTATTAACTTATGACCAAATGAATTATGGTAAACAATTTTTTGTCTGAATGAAATGCGTTTTTTCAAAGGAGAGGAACTCGATCTTTTGCAACAAAACCAAACAACAGTAGCTGAAAAGTTATTTGTATCTCGCGGTAATGGTATTCAAGGTATCACGTGGTCCAGATAGACAAGACATCTCAGGTTAAACGAATACCGTCAATAAAACGGCTGTTCATCAAAGAACGTATCAGCATGTATTCTCCTGCTATAACGACAAGAACTTATTGCACAGTTTTACGCTTGTTTAAGTTTTAACAAATTTCTTGTCTGGCTCAAAACTACTGCACTAGTGGACTGGAAAGTTATCCTTTCTCAATGAGATAATCCTCATTAGTGATAGACGAAAGGTGTAATTATACTTCAGGATAATTAGCTCTAGACACATGCTGGTAGATGCACTGTTTAATTTTGCATAAATGAATAAAAATAAAAGAATCGACAATCGTACAGTGCGTTCGCGCTAAGGCTCTAGATGGAAAAATGCGTTGAATCATGATTACAAAAGCAACAATGGGGGTCATTTTCAATTTACAAAATTCTTATTTATTAAACTTGGCCTTACCGAC